ACATTAATAACGTTCCGCTACGTGTGACCTCAAATGTCACTTTAAAAATGTAATCCGTTGCAGTCGGAGCCGCTGGAATGGCGGCTGAGCAAGAATAATGAAGGTCTTTGAACCGCTCTTCTCGACACGGGACGACATTCTTGTGGTCACGCGCTTCTGGAGATGCGAGCGGAATTTGTCGTTTCTTATAGAATACAAGGAAAAATGCGAGCCAAAGCTGAAAACAAGAAATAACTGGCGGCGATTCTGCATTCCTATGATCCAGTTTTATTTCTGTTATTAGCAGCCACAACCATAAGCAAAGTATTTAGTTTTTCAGGCTTATGATTGCTATTATATTTTTTGGCATGAGATATCCATCTTTCGGCTATGCTAGGTTAGATCAGACAAAGCTGCATCGTAATTTCTCTACGTAATCCAACCCGTCATGGAAATCCCGATGTTATTAAGTTCCTGATGAGCCATCTGCGTCTACCGGCTTGTTTTCTGCCGTCAGCGGAACTGGACTTCTTTGCCGCATAACTTTCAGGCCATTGTGTAATTATCAATTGACTTTGAGGTGATCATGAGTTTTATGATGATGGAAAATTTGGTTTCACGTCTGCTACTGGAAACTCAAACAAGAAACGAGGGACGAGGATTTTTTAATTGAGTTTCAATATCGAATTTCTTTTGATGGATTTGACTTATGGGAGTGATAAATAATTAGGCCACATGGAGTGATGACCAAAAGTCGAAGATGTAAACATTGATGTCGTAGGAGCTCAGTTAGCTGACGCTTACGCGTCATTCCAGAGAAGCTTCCATGTGAGAAACTCGTGGCAGTTTATGGTCGTGTTATGAGCGGCCATTTGTGGCATAGTTATCGTGTGTGAAGGAAAGAGCTCTGTGATGCTGCTGCCCTTGTAGCAGCGACCTGATCACTCAGCTTTAGGCAAGACACGCCCACCCGCACGCTGCTGCTGCCCTGCCGTGCCCGGGCCCCTGGGTCCACCTGGCTTCCTGGTGCCGGGTTCCTCGAAATAGTCAAGCTGGTTTTTTTGTAAATAAATGTAAATAATGCGATCGTCGTGCTTGATTGTCACGTGCCCTATTCCGGTTGTAACACGATTGCGTGTCCGATGCTGGTCGTAAGTAACACGATTGTTGTGTATCTGATGCTGGCCGTAAGTAACACGATTGTTGCGTGACCGATACTGGTCTTAAGTTACACGATCGCCATAAATTTTTACGTGTTTAATACTGGTCGTAAGTAACACGATCACAATAAGCGCTTCCTGGTGCCGGGATCCCGTGATGCTTAAAATTGTGTTGCATGATTTATCTACTTCACTGAAAACATAAGCAAACTGTAAAACTTTGTGTTATGTCGAATAATTGTTTAGCGATCGATTATACTCTGCTCTTCTCTTTTTGCTGAAATATGGTCCTTCCACTGATTTCAGATGTAATTAAATAAATTTTATTTAATTTGCAAATTGAATTTAAATTAGCAAATTTTGGATGTTTTTAAATGTGGCGCATATGCGATGAATCATCGCCGCGAAAAGCATGGTTACCTCAATTACAAAATACGTGTGCATTATCAGGCGATTGTGCGTCCGGAAAATACGTGTGCATTATCAGGCGATTGTGCGTCCGGAATAACTGGTGCAATGTTCATACAAGTCGTCTGTTGGATTTCCGTACCTTGGCATCGGACACCAGCATGTTGCTCCACCTGTTGATCGAAGTCTAGTCTGTGTCACGGTAACACCTGTAGCGTTAACCTCTTACGTTCCGAGAGGCAATCTGTTGGCACACGAGTCTTCTTGTTTGATTCTGTTTATTTCTTCGGTGATAACTATTGCTTTGTAGAATTCTATCATGGAACTCTAACAGCTGGATCCAGCATTACCCCGAACCAGAAGTATTCCTTGTTTTTCGCACTACGCGTGTTGTATCAGTGAATTTACACGAGTCAGTTCTGATCAATCTTTCTTGGAGATATGTTTCAGCGCCATGTTTTTGCACAGCGGGCAAAATGTAATCCCGCCCCAACCTCGCTCCCTCTCTCCCGCTTGTGTACAGTGACGCTATATTATTCCCTCTCTTGTTCTACGGGCGCAAATTCACCTCAGAAATAAAAAGCTCAGGCCTGGATCAATATAGCGAGGTGGGCTGTCGCTGGCGGGTGTCGCTTTACATGAAGCCTCCCCACTCAGGGCACTGATGAGGCGCTCTCTGTGGATGGCTGCTGGAACACGACAATTTGACCTGTGCTGTTTCACCAGCGGTTTAATTCTATGACACAATCTTGGTCTGAGTTGCCAGAACGCCTATGGACCCACGGCAGGTCTTTATAGAAAGAATCAATTCCAAGTATTATGTTCAATCAGTATACTACTAGCAGCAAAAGCATGCGTTGCTCGGATTAGGTAATCCCAGAGATGTATGAGAATATTCAAGAGTATTTTATTACTTACAATACAACAGAATAACCAGCTCAAAATACATTCCAGTCTTGCAGGTAAGATCCCAACCAACATTTGCTGTGGTTGCGCGCTTCAAAAGCCTCTTCATATTTACGGTGCAGGGCTTCAAATAAAAGCCAGCTTCCACAAATATATAATTGATTCAGGAGTTCGGGTGTGAAGTCATAATTTCCAAGACTAGAATAACTATCAAAGGCGAGTTTGTCGAGCGCATATATATGCATTGAATCGGATATCACGAGAATGGGGAATTTGAGATTTAAGATTCGGATGGTAGGATATTGTAGAGCAGAGTTTCTTTTAAATTCAACTTGATTCTTCATTTGATAACTTTAAAATTGTCAAGAAATTTTAAATGGATTGCGATCGGAATTTCGAAAAGTTATTTAAATAAAGGTTCATGTATTTTACCGTGAACGAGTCTTCTTCAATTCACAAAATATATTTTGAAACTAATTATGACATAAGGGAAAGCTCGTGTTCTTTCTCAAATGATGACAAAATCAGCCTCATAGTTGCCTGCTGATTAGCTTTATTAGTATTGGATGGCAGAATTTGTTCCCTCAAGCAGGTTTCATTGAAGAGGCAAGCTTTATTTGATTGGCTTTAATGTATCTCTGTAATGTATTCAGACGCGTATTCATGATACTTAACATTAACATGACATTAAATTGCAATCAGAAAATCACCTAGACCCAAAATTTAATATATCTTTGGAAAAAGCTACCCGTCATGTTAAGAAGGGCTCAACAGCATGATCCAATAGATTCACGCTACTTCTTTCATTTACTGGAATGGCGGCACGCGCATAAAAAATCACGGAAGTACGATTCATAGCAAGGATCTCAGCGTGTGTTTCATTAAGGCAATCTCGCAGGCAAGAACATTTGTAATGCGTATTTAATTAAGCAAATTGTGTAGAATTTAATCAAAGGCTTCCAATGAACTTGTGGACGAAGTATTCTCGAGGCGGCAGGTTCAGAACGAGCCTCAGTGCTCAGGGCGATGAGTTCATCCTCATATTTTGAGTGCTTTCGCCAGAACCCATCTGCATAACCATTACTGCGGCTCTGCACCCAGTGCGGCGGAGACGAAGATGAAAGCTGCGATGAAGGAAGAAGCTCTAGTTGTTTTGAAGCGAAGCTGTGCTCTTGACATTTAATTATTTCACCTCAGGATGACAAAACTAAATAGGCCTCAAGAGTCAACGCTCGAAATCGAACGATGTAACTGTGGACATATGCGTGCAAGAAGCGTGCATATCCATTCAGATCAGCCCTGGTGCAGAGTAAGTCAACACTCTTTGAATTCTCACAAATTTAACTTTTATCGTAGACTTTCTTTCAAGTCTAAACTTTTCATGTACCTACATTACTTGAGGAATTGACGCTTTACTAAACTCTTGCAAGTGCATCTCGAGAGCGATAGATGCTTTATCTGACTCATAAAAATGCTTCACTAGAGCAGTAGACGCTTGACTTTTGCTAATGCATCACTTGAACATAGGATCTGGGTCTTTGCATAGGATTTAGGTCATGAAACTTTCATAGGCATCAGTCAGTGAGTGATCAGCTTAGACGCTTAGGTCGCATTTAATCTGCATTCTGGACTTCAGTCGCTGCATTCACTTTAGTCAATCGCTCCAGAGCTTGAAGCGATTCGTTTAACTCTTTTGTAGACGTCGCTTGAACTGTAAACACTGTTTATCAGTCTCCACTCAGCAAGGATGTCCTAAATAGCTTATTTGCACTCTTGCATAAACTACGAAATCATTCGTGCAGCTGTCAACACCTCGAGTTTCCGTGCAGCAGCTTCTGCAAAGTAAATGCCCAACTGCGCTCTTCTTCGGACACAATGTCGGCAATTCCACTCGCTTAGGGCTGGAATTGAGGCCTGTTGCTGGAAATTCTGGTCATTTGCAACAACTAGGGGTTGTGCTTCATTTTCATCGGTAAACCATCGCAGCTGTCGCCCACGACTTTAAGTTTACTTCTCCAAGTTACGAAGTTTGAGACGATCCAAAGTTGGGTAGTAACTCAAGGTGGATCAATTATTGGCAACTGGCCCGCTTTCGGCGGCCGAAGTGTCTGGAAGAAAAGACCATGTGATGGATGGCAGTTGAAGCCGAGATTCTGCGGGTATTCTAGAAAAAAGGTATTATGCTCCATACGGCAACCAGATTTATCAGTTTTTTTACCAGTTTTACAAGATTTAAATAGCGTAGTAAATAAAATGTTACTATTATGTATATTTACTAAGGATTTAAATCCATAAACTCGTCAAAGCAGATAAAATTTAGTGACCACACCAAGTAGCATTTACTAATCCTTCTTGGAGTATATACATTATAAGGTTTGAACTTCACTTCAAACAACATTAGTCATGGCGTGATGGCGACGGTTTACAATTCGAAAAAAATGTGTCGGTACAGATTTTTCCCACATTATGTGACTGGAAAAACAGTAAGTTTTCCATCAATGTAGCACATTTAACACGAGAAGTAAGCTACACGGCTGTTTGTGTCAGGGTGGGCGAGAAGGACGGTGGTTGGCTGGAGATGCACTAACACGGCTGTGTGTGTGTCAGGGTGGGCGAGAAGGACAGTGGTTGGCTGGAGCAGCACTAACACGGCTGTGTGTGTCAGGGTGGGCGAGAAGGACAGTGGTTGGTTAACACGGCTGTGTGTGTCAGGGTGGGCGAGAAGGACGGTGGTTGGCTGGAGCTGCACTAACACGGCTGTGTGTGTCAGGGTGGGCGAGAAGGACGGTGGTTGGCTGGAGCAGTACACAAGTCTGGGGTGGCAGCACAGCCAGGCGCTGCGCACTCTCAGGTCGTCGAACGCCCGCCAAGGCTCCAGGGACGTCATGCCTGAGGTGCTCGCCTCCTTCAAGTCCAACGAGACGCAACTCTCCAAGGACGAGGTGAGGGATTCATCCTGTCGTCCTAACTGACGTTTACTATAAAATAGTGTTTTGTATAATAAAGTATAATTTAAACAGAATAATATATTAAATGTTATGTATAATTTGAATATATTTATATATAGTCTTGAAATTTACTCGGAAATGGTTTATAATATGTTTCATTTTTGCTGAAAATTTTTTAGATAATGCTGAAACGTGGTGCTGCGCCGAATGAAGGATGGTTTCGATTCACAAATAACTTGATTCTTTCTTTTTTAATATTCTTAATTTCCTGATGTATCACTTGTTATCGAGAACGCATGAAATAAGAGGGCAGGAGCCTGAGGGAAATGGTTTTCCTCCGCCCTCTGAGGATTTTAGCGGTATGAGGCGTGTTTTTTTATGATCAGTGCCATTTTTACATAAAAAACAAGTATATTGTATTGATATATAATTATTCATTTATTTATTGATTTTTTATATAATCTACTTTTCGTCATAATTCCTATCAATATTTAGTCATTTATCGTATCTCGAGACCAGCTTTTGTATGTCATTTTCGAAGAAGCTTACTGCCTGATTTGACAACCTGATTAAGTGATTGCACAATTTCGTAAAAAACATTCTTTGAGACAGCATGAAACTTTTCAGGTAAAGGACGAAGTCGTGAATCGTCTGTTTTCTTTCACTTTACAGTCCACTTTTAGAATCAGATCATTGGTTTTGACTGAATTGGTCTACTTCGTTTCTCATCATTAATGTCTGTGCGGCCATCTTCAAAGGCCCTATTCCATTTCCGCAGCATTCAATCAGTTACAATGTTTTTCACCTTACACTTCACTGATTTGCCAATCAATGCCAACTGATTTGTAGCCTTCAGCTCGGAGAAATCGTTTTACAAAACGCAATTCGCAGTAGGCGGGATTCTCAATAAGCGGAGGCATTTAAAATCACGTAAACAGATGTAGACTCGATCGGATGCTTCCGTAATGGCGTCCGTGGCTTTCCAACAGATTTAGCTATACGGCGCACAGGCGCTTCACAGCGGCCGCATCAATGCAGCGGCTTAATTTAAAAACGTATTCGCTCTAAAAACAAGCCTCGTATTTTATCAATGTCTCAAATCAATGGTAGATTAAAATTAGAGATTAAGATAAGGGACTGATAAGATGGATCTTATAATCTTTCATCTATTTCGGTGTCCAATACGCATATCTTGCTACCCATAATTTTTTTATTCTAGCATTTTAATCAATACCGGTATTCTGATTATAATTCGTGAATTGAATTTATTCCACTGAAACATGTATTCGCTATCCATAAAGCAATTTTATTAAAATCCCTTTGGAGTTTTTGCACCATCGTTCATCGTTGCTGAACGTCGACTACCGGAGCCAGATTTTGAAGCGAAATTTTTATCGTTTGTTCAGCATTAGGATGACTGGAGTTGTGCGCTTAGCATTCCAGCGCAAGTTTTATAGGATTTCCTAATTGGCGTCGTTTGGGCTGCTCGGCCGCTGCGTTACCTTCAACAGTTCAACATGAGGATATTCTTACTGAGATCTTGCTGAATTGTGCAAGACTGTATTAATACAAACCTTGCTAGGACCTCTAAGAATCTGGATGAATTCCATTTTTTTTAGTTCAGCATTACTCGTTTTAATCTTGAAAAGAGAGAAAGATCTATCTCATTTTCTTAGTGGAAAATATGCTTTGCTTGTACAATAAAGCTCATCTCAAGCAGCGCATGAGAATAAAACATTGGCTACCACGAATGTCGCTTATTTCGGACAGGCGAACGATGAGCTCTGAGAAGCGTTGGATCGCTGCTGTTATGCTCGTGATCACAATATTAAAGCTCCATCTTCTGATCCTTCCCGTCTCTAAGTCCAATTATCAGATCGTACCTGTCTTGTTATCTATGGTTTATTAAATTCCTTTACATTCTCCATAATGATCGCTATTCATCATCAAGCCGTTCATGCGTCAGTACCGATATTGTTCATTATGATCGCCAATATTCGGAATTCATCATAAAGCCGTTCGCTCGTTAGTCAGTACCGATGTTCTGCATTATGATCGCTATAATATTCTCGTTTCATCATGAAGCCGTTCATGCACCAGTGCCCACATCCGATCCTTTTTCTCGTAGCAACTCGCACGACTTCTCTCCCCCTATCGCCTGACAATGCACGCGTCCCCTTCTACCCCAGCTAATCAATTGCAATTCCCTTGTTTCTCATGGTCCCGAGAATACCTGTGGAGATATCCTGCTATTGATTCTAGCGTCCTCGGCTGATCTCTCGATTGCTCTTGTTGCGCAGCACTTCCTGGTCTTACTGATATCACGAAGGAGTTGATTTTTTATATATTGAAATAATTACCTGTAAGTGATAAATCAATATATTTTAAAAATTGACTATGTTAAGGGGGAAAAATTTAACTCCACGAGGCAAGTGTTCTATAAAACTGACTGATCAACTGATATATAAGGTGAGTTCAAAATGGCAGCAATGTAATGAACTCGAATTAATGGATTCGAGACTAAGTAAGTGAATTTACTCTGTTTTTAATTTAAAAGCTCGCCTCAAATCATTGCGACGGGGCCTTAAAGTTTTCACTTAAATACATATAGTCTTAAGATTATTATACGTAACACGTCAATGTTTCGGTATTTTATAGAATAGAAATATGAATTATTTTGTTTGGAGAAAAATACTTGTATTCATTAGTTTTGTGCGTCACGGAGTAAGCAGTCATCACGCATGTTTGCTTAAAATTGCTTGTAACCATGAAACCGTTGTAAAAAATTGGTCGCTTATGCGCTTATCGTGTTCTTGAAATAGTTATCTGATTTCGTTAGTTTCAGGAGTTTTTTTTTAAATATCTCCCTTCACGATAATCGAACTGGACAATCGCTTGAAGTTTTGCTGTGAAGAACAATCATCGCTCTCCTCTGGCCTCCGTCCTCACTATTGTCGCCAGCATCACCTCCATCTGTCAACTTGTGTGATGGATAGTCCGTCCACTTCTCTTTCTCTGGCCTCATATTCGCTGCCTTCATTACCTCTATCTGTCAACTTGCGATAGGCAGTCCGTCCATTCCTCGGCCTTTGGCTCCACCATCACTCTCTCTGCCATCACCGCCAGCATCACCGCCATCTGTCAACTTGTGATGGTTTTGGCCCCTGCATCACCTCCATCCGTCAACTTGTGATGGTTTTGGCCCCACCATCACCGCCAGCATCACCTCCATCCGTCAACTTGTGATGGTTTTGGCCCAACCATCACCGCCAGCATCACCTCCATCTGTCAGCTTGTGATGGTTTTGGCCCCACCATCACCACCAGCATCACCTTCATCTCTCACTTCACCACCCCTCAGGGGGGACTTCTGACGGGTGTCTGTGCTCGTCAGAAGTCCTATGGGATTTCGCGTTCCTAGGGGGATTGTTCCTGAGCGCCCCACCGCTGAGCTCGCGGTGTCTGACTGCAGGTCTCAGTTGTGGGGTTAAGTTATTATGTAGGCAGGATTCCTTACATTTCCCTTCTCTGTCTCTCTCGTGCGGGCGACCGACGTCCCGTGTAAGCGACCTCTTGTTCGAGTGTCTTCGTTTCTGTTGCTTTTCACCTGTCCCTCCTTGTCACTTCGTCTCTTTGTGAGATGCTAACGCTGCTTCCTTCGAGCCAGCTTCAGCGGGCTGGACATCTGAGACCTTCCGCCCCTTGTGGGTGATGAATAATTGAGACCTTCCACCTTTATGGTGATGTTCATCTTGACTTTCGGTGCGAGATAGCTTAATAGCTGAAGCGCTAGTAAACATTTGGACACTAAACTAAACTAACTCTCACTTCACCAGGATAACAAATGTTCGGCCGTCCTCGTTACGATCTCGCAGAAAATTGCATTGCTTTTTTGCTGTCGGCGCTGCCAGAAAATCAAAGAATTGTACATCGTTAATCCATTAATATATCAACGCTTAGGCTTCCGACTTATCTTGTCAAGAACCTATAAAAATCGAAGAATACACAAAAATATATTCTATTTGTTCTCTGCTATAAAAATATCGGAGAATTATTCGGAAGACTTATTCCGTGTTCATTATATCAATTATTGTTTGTATTTATTTCATAAAGTTCTGCGTTGAAACTTGACTATCGATCTACCAACGCCAGCGAAAACTCCGTTCGACTCGTCAATAAAAAGAGTTAGGAAATTGTAAAAAATGTCCTCCATGTTCTCCAATCAAACTTCCATCAAAGTAAGACTTCTGCGATCCTATAGAAAATTTATATTTGTGCAAACGTATATTTTTTGTGTACTTGCGACAAAAAAGAGTGACGTGGGCAAATAATAATCCCGCTCTATACTCATCTCATTCAAAATTTTAAAGGAAATTAGTCTCATTAGATATTATGAGTTTGTATCACTGATCAAGACCGACGAATTTAATTATTTCAAATAAAAGCACATATTTTCTGAATGATCTAAGTTATTTGGTTTAAGTTATTCGGTCGTGAAAAGCTCACTGAAGCGCGTTACCATCGTTTCCACATCCACACATCGGCTCTACATCCACTCATCGTCTCTTTATCAACGCATTTTCTCTACATACACAAATTGTCTCTGCTCTTGTACATTGTCTCTAAATCCACTTTTAGTTTCTACATCTACGCATCGTTTTTCCATCCATTCATCGTTTCCACATCCATGCAGTCAACGTCTCTACATCCACTCATCGTCTCTACATCCATTCATCGCTTCCACATCCATGCAGTCAACGTCTCTACATCCACTCATCGTCTCTACATCCATTCATCGTTTCCAAATCCACACATCATCTCTGCCCTTGTAAATTATATCTACATTCACGTCTCGCCTTTGCCCTTGTACATTGTCCCTACATCCACACATCGTTTCTGCCCTTGTTCATTGTCTCTACATTCACGCATAATTTTTGCCACCACACATCGTCTCTACATCCATTCAAAGTTTTTACATTAACGCATCGTCTTTAATTCGGCACATGGTCTTCACATCCACGTCAAGTGGCTCCTGAGAAGCATTACACACACCAAGCCTCACCGTACAACTTCGCTGCGTTCGTACAAACTTTTCGTCCTCAGAGACGAAGTCTTCGAATTTTCCTGTACGTTGAACTGATCTCAGGAGGATCGCCGTACAGAAGGATTTTTGCCCGATGCTGTCAAAGACGTTCCTATATAGCCCGCGCTGCGTCTTGTTACTTGAGAAAGAAGTATCGAGATCCCGGCTAAAGCTCCATTGAATTACGTCGCATCGTGTTTCTGACTGAAGATATCTCGAAATAACAGCACTCACTCGTTTGGCAGGGAGACAGTTTCAAATAAAAATGATTGGAGGTCGCTCAATTTTATTTGGGCTATAAAAGCTACAGTATTTTTATGTTTTACTTTCGCTTGTTCATCGAATTTGGTTAAAATATTGTAATCCTTAGCATGCATTCCTTTAAATGAAATGAGAATTAAGTTTCAACGACTATGTTTGCCTTCCGAATATAATTTATTTCGAGCCTTTTTAGATTTTGTTATTTGTCAAAATGTAGGCCCGGTAGCGCCATGTTTCAAAATAAAATAAGTATTGACTTCCTATGCTGTGTTTTTTTTGTCGCGAATTGCATTAATTTCGAACGTGAAGCTTGAGTATATATATTAAGTTCCAACGATGTTTTTCGTTCCGAATTGCAGTCATTTTATGCGTTTCCGATTTTATTATTTTTCGAGTCAGATCAAAATGTAGGCACGGAAGCGCCATGTTTTGACACGAGGTTGGAAAGAAGAACCCAGCAAATCACTCAGGCTATCGTCAACACGGCCGTTCAAATCGCGAAATCTAAACGCGAAAAATAGTCTCGCGATTCCCTGACAAGTTCAGATCTTTATTTGGGCCGCACTAAATAACAGGTATTTTGAAATTGGCTGCCCTGGAATTTATCTATCAGTGATATTTATTCGTGTGAACATAGATGGCGATATTCTTTCCGATAACATTGTCGAAAATCCATTTGATCTGAGAAACTACTTTGATATTCTTTATTTCTGATAATTATAACTCATTCATTAAAGAGGATATGTTACAGTTTTTGGTTATAAAAGATCTTTAGAAGAATCATTAGTTGGATTTAGAATGATTATTGATTTAGAATAATTAAGTTGTCAGTTTTCATCTGATCGCGAGGTAGCACATTCGGTACCAGGTTTATTGCTTGTCATTCTTCTTAATTGTACAAATGACATCATTCCCCTCGAGTAATGCCATTCTCTTGTGCCGTGACTCCCTTCACTTGGAGTTACTAATGATGGAGTGGACTCAATAATTTCTATTGCGATTCGTTCATTTTAATTGCACTTGTGTTCCACTCCAACCCTCGAGTGATACCTCAACCCGTAATGTATCTTTCTCCAGTTGAAGTCTCTGTTAATGAGGTGGTCACAATATTCTTCTTGGTACTTATCCTCCTCCTAATTACACTCTTGTATGACTTAACCCCTCAAACTTCTGTATGACACTTCTATGTGAAACTTTTGTATGACACTCCTGTATGACTTAACCCCTCAAACTTCTGTATAGCACTCCTGGATGACTTAACCCCTCAAACGCCTGTATGACTTAACCCCTCAATCTTCTGTATGATTTAACCCTGCAAACTTCTGTATGACACTCTGTATGACTTAATCCCTCAAACGCCTGTATGACTTAACCCCTCAAACTTCTGTATAACTTAACCCCTCTAACTTCTGGATGACACCCCTGTATGACTTAACCCCTCAAACTTCTGTATGAAACTACTGTATAACTTAACCTGTACCCTGCCTCTCCTTACCTGGAGTCGCTGCTGATGATGTGAACACTTTATTCTTTTTATTACTTTTTTCTTCCGTTATTACCAGTACCGTATTTGACTGTACCAGTTTAAGTAAAACCTCCCACCGGTACCATGCCTTCCTTTAGCTGGAGTCACTACTGATGTTGCTGAGTGACGCATTATTTTATTAATTTCTTGTCATTCTGATAATTATTTTAATGTTTAACTGAACCCTTGAGTAATACCCCCCGTGTACCGTGTCAGCTGGAGTCGCTCCTGATGGAGGCTGAGTGACACATTCATTGTAATAATGAATCATTATTACATTATTCTACGTATTACTTGTTATTCTGATAATTATTTAAATGTTTAACTGTACCCTGGAGTAATACATGTACCATGTCAGCTGGAGTCGCTGCTGATGGAGGTGGTGTACACGTTATTCATTATTACATTAATCCATTAATTACTTGTCAATCTGATAATTATTTAAATGTTTGACTTTACCCTGGAGTAATACATGTACCATGTCAGCTGGAGTCGCTGCTGATGGAGGTGGTGTACACGATACGCCACAAGGTGGGCATGACGACGCAGGGCTGCGACGGCCAGCACATGACCGACCAACTCACACGCTTTGCTCAGCAGGCCTTCCCTCTGGACCCTTCCACCCACGCGCGCCTCATGCAGGCTGTCAGGGAGGAGAAGGTGCGTGGTCAGGGAGGAGAAGGTGCGTGGTCAGGGAGAAGGTGCGTGGTCAGGGAGGAGAAGGTGCGTGGTCAGGGAGGAGAAGGTGCGTGGTCAGGGAGGAGAAGGTTATGCTACTCAGTTAATATTGTGTGTGAAAATTTCTCTTTTCTTTGTGCCTCTATGAACGTATCCACAATTGAATAATTTCATCATTACTTTTTTTCTATGTGTAAACTTTAAATTTGTATGAATTCTAAAGAATAAAAGTAATGGGTAATTTCGAAATCAATTTCGTGTCTTCTGAGAGAAAGGTTTTTTTAACTTCATAGTTTGTTTTCACATTTCTTTCAGTCGCCGATCTTGGTGCTGAATGTGATTGTCGTGGAAGCAGAAGGTCTGGAGGCCAAGGATCCCAACGGTAAGGATTTCTCGTATTCGCTTGACTAGAGATACGCAAAACTGCTTTTGTTCTCCACGCGTATCATTGAATGCGCTTAATGCTTGCAAAATTATAGTGTTGGTATCTTAAGTTCAACGAATTTGAATTGCTACTCCACACTAAAAAAAATGAATGTGTCATAGTGTCCAAATAGTGCCACGCTTTTTAAGCCCCATCACGAGCACAGAGAACAGACGTGACATTGAGGCACATATTTGCCATTCCGAGCTGGGTCAGAAGACCTACACGAGGGCAATAAATCCATCACTATTTGGACACTCTACCTGATTTCTCTGAGTGTATGTTGTAGTCGTCCAGTGACGATTAAGTTGAGAAGCACAACACGTGCATCGCTCTGTGCGTGACTGAAGTTGCATGCTTGGAGCGTGTTTGCTCACGCCAACTCGTGTTTGTTGTGTTGTACGAGTGTAACAAATTACCGTGCAAGAAAATAATTACACTTGTAAGGTTTGTTGTACGAGTGTAAAAAGTTGCGGCAATCCGGCATAGGTAAGAAAGTTAGCTTGTTTGTTTGTTCACTTGAAGCATGCGTGGCGCTGTGAGTTTATGGGGGCTGTCCGACAGCGAATCAACAACGCATACTGTTTCGGTATCATGCCGTTGTTAGGAATTTGATTTCAAGTTTCGGATAAAAGCGGAATAAAAAAATCATGGTAGTTTTGTTAAATCGATAACTTATGTAATTTCAAACTCATTATAATAAAATTTTCTGTAGGTAAAGTATTAAAATCCGTTCAAATACTGAATTGGGAATTGAATGAGGTTTTTGCGCTCAATGACCGTTTGAACGATTCTTCTGTGCTACAAGTAATTTTTGTTCGAAGAAAATTTTTGAGGACAAAATCCTTGCTGAATAGTGACGAGTTCGACTGAAAATTGTAAAAAGAAAATTTTTAGGAATTCATCTTGCCTCTTAATTGAGCTGAGAACGCCAACGCAAATGGAATGCCATGAATTCTATTTGAAAAAAACTGAGCTTGATGGCAGTCGACCCAGAATAACCACGTTTAGAAAGAGTCAAGTGTATTACTAACGTTAAAAATCACATAAAGTATTTTTCAATAATAATGCAAGTGTATTATAATGTTTAAAATACACTTTCCTTATTATTTTAAATATCTTGAGTGCTTTATGTGATCGGTGTGGGCCCATGTGCATCTTGCTTGTCAGCGCCAGACACACACTCTCGCCTCGAGCTCAGATTGACTTTATTGACGTGAAAGCTGAGGACGATCAGCCGAAGACTCCCTCAGGGGCCTAGCTTAACTCTGCCTATCTCGATCAGAATGCCTCTGCCTTAATGGAATTAATTGCATCCATAAACTTAGTTAATTTCTTACGCTCATTGCCATGCGCGAGCAGCATGCAGGCTTATTGGTGCGACCTTTCATTGCACTGCTTGAGTTTAAGTTCACGTGTATTAAGGCTATAACACTTGTATTTAGTATGTATAACTAAGACTATTATACATGTATTTAGGCTATAACGTATATATTTATGTCACGAAGATACCACAGATCTCGCACCAAATAGATATATATAATAATGCTAGCTCTGCTTGCATAGTCACTTCAAAAAGATCATCGGCTACTTTTTCTGTATTTATTTTAAACTCGACTTGAAATATTGCACAACTCGCAATTTTAACACTTGTGTTTACAAATATATTTACCTCTAGACATTGTTGAACATGGAAAGTTGTGCAGATAAATTTGTTGAATGAACGTCGGAGGACAATAAAGGGAATAACATTGCGATGTTCTTAAGCAGTTAAAGGACGACGTGCGCTTCGTTGACGACGTAAATCTCTGTGACGTCTACTATTTTGGCTGCGGAACAAAAAATCAAAATGTAAATAATTTGTTTAAAATATTTTTAATACGTGAAATATTGTTAGTCAGTGATAAATATTGTTAGTCAGTGAATCTGCGAGTTACTATGAAAACTAAAAAAAGAATATAAAAGCTTCGTTTGCAAGTTTGATGTCGACTTTCAATTTAAACCAAGTATACTCTGAAACGTTGCTTGTTATTGAAGCAGCATATCAAAGTGTCGCATAAAGTATGTTGTGATGGCTGCAAGTTTTTGTAGATTAGAGTTGAATCGACAATATTACAGTAAAGTATTATAAAAATTAAATCCCTTCATAAGAGAGGCTCCAGGCTGGCCCATCGCCTCATAATTAAGGTCATCATTGCCACTGAAGACTGAAGCTAATTTCAAACCCCATACTTATGCATCGATATTTATAGCACTGAATTGCACCGGGCGCCACTTCTGGGAATCTGAAGCCTGTAACGAAGTTAACCCGACATTGCGTCTCAATGCCGCGACCCTCCCTAATGTAAAATTTGATCAGGATCAGATGCGTCCAACCGATGATTTTTTACCGGCCGCCCTTAAATCTCCCATGGTTCTTCGCAGACCCTGCAATTGAATTGCCGACTGAACATCGCGGCCTCCTGCTCCACTTGTCGTCAAATCGACCGCGGCATAAATTGAAGCTGTCGGCCTAGTTCGACCAACGGGACGGATTTCCTGATCAGATAAATGTAATTTGTCCCTAAATCTGGAGGTGTCGGCCAATCCCGGCTTTTGAGATGGATTTACTGATGAAATAAATGTAATCGTTTCCTAGACCTAGAGAGTGTCATCCTAGCCGCATCGTTAGGATGGATTTCCTGATCAGATAAGTGTAATCGATCCCTTGAAAATTTCGGCCTTGTCTGACTAGCGCTCCGGATTTTCTGATCAGATAAATTAAATTTGCGCCCAGACCGGAAGATGTCCGCCAGTCCGAACGCTGGGTCGGATTCCATGATCAGATAAATGTAATTTGTTCTTAAACCTGAAGATGTCGTTCAACCCCGACCATTGGGATGGATTTCATGTTAAGTTAGATGTAATTTGTCCATAGACCTGAAGGTGTCGGCCAATCTCGACCGTTGGGATGGATTTCCTGATCAGATAAATGTAATTTGTCCCTATAGAACTGCAGATGTCGGCCTAACCCTACTGAGTGTTGGGATAGATTTCCTAATCAGTTGAATATAATTTGTATGAAGAATTATTGTCATGAGTTGTCGAGTCCCGCTGCATCGTAAAAGTAGCACTGGAGTCGATAGATCAATTACGGCCTCGCCATGATTGAATAATTTTGTAATTATGCATACGGCAGCCTTCAAATGAAATAAATTGCATGCCCCTTGTGGTTGGCTGCCACTCTCGATTCCAATAAAAAAATTTTACGTTATTAAATGCGGTGAAAAGTTTGCGTTGTTTGAAGCTCAAAAAAGCTGAATCTGCGGGTGGATTAAAGCAGTCAAATTTAATCCCCCTAGCGACCTTATATAATATTGCGGATGACGGAGCCTCGGCCGGGCATTCACTCTTACAGCCGAAATCATTATAATTCCAGTAACTTTCTATGCTATGGAGTACTAAGATTGGCGGCATTTATAAAACCAATGAAAGGAGATTTAACGGTTGAACGAAAGCGATGTGGAGAGCTTCAACTTCGTTACTTTGAGTTAAACAGATGTCATGAACTGCCGAACGAAAGGTAACGATATGAACAGTTCCAACTGTTGAAATAAAAGTAGCGATGTAAGCAGCTTCAACTGCCGAACTAAAAGTAGCGGTGTTGGCAGCTTCAACTGCCGAACTAAAAGTAGCGATGTAAACAGCTTCAAGTGCCGAACTAAAAGTAGCGATGTAAACAGCTTCAAGTGCCGAACTAAAAGTAGCGATGTTAGCAGCTTCAACTGCCGAACTAAAAGTAGCGATGTTAGCTTCAACTGCCGAAATAACAGTAGCAATGTTAGCAGCTTCAACTACCGAAATAAAAGTAGCGATGTTAGCAGCTTTAACTGCCGCCATGCAGACACTGAAAAACCTAAACTTCGTTCTACGTCTGAGCGATTCGTTAACGAATTCAGGGCCCGCATTTAAATTCAACAGAAATGCTCAAGGTCCTTCTCAGAATTTAATCATCTATTGCATTTAAAAGTTGAGCTCAGACGCACTAACCTGGACTCCTTTAGTTAGGACTAATTTAAATTAATTTCTATACTTTTAAAGCAATTCATTTCTACTTCTGCAACTTAAATTAGGACTTGATTCAATGGGAGTCTAAGTTTCAAGATAATAGAGTGTAAAGAGAGAGGACACTCGTCTGATTCAACACACTGCCATGCGCGTCCACGGTATAATTAATTTTATTGAATTTCACTAGTTTAGTAAAGCTTCCCTCAGCACCCGTCAAAATTCCGGGTCAATTTACGAAGTCTCAATGCTTAGTATGTCGAAGTTCTCAATCAAAATATCATGTGATCTAAGTCCACGTACGATGTCGCCATACCAAGTCCATGCACATACCAAGTTCAGAAGGGACTTTTTTCATCATCCGTCTCGACGAGTTGTATGTCCTTTCAATTAATAATGGCTGCTCCCCATAAGCGATTACAGGTCACATGACTGCCTTCCTCTCCAACATTAAACTTCAACTCCTCGCTTAACTGAAAGCGATTACAGGTCACAAGACTGCCTTCCTCTCCAACATTAAATTTCAACTCCTGGCCCAACTGAAAGCGATTACAGGTCACATGACTGCCTTCCTCTCCAACATTAAATTTCAACTCCTGGCCCAACTGAAAGCGATTACAGGTCACATGACTGCCTTCCTCGCCAACATTAGATTTCAACTCCTGGCTTAACTGAAAGCGATTACAGGTCACATGACTGCCTTCCTCACCAACATTAAATTTCAACTCCTGGCTTAACTGAAAGCTTGTTTCAAGTGGCTGCCACAACCGCTGGTCTTTCATGTTGCTTTGAGCTTATCGTAATGCAGCGGTGCGTAGGAACGTGCGTCCTTCGTATTACGTATAAGGGTTCCATGGTTAGGTTTGACATACATATTCAAAAAACGAATTATAAATATATTTCCACGTTAATAGGACTGTATCAGAACGCAATTATTTCATAGGACAGGTTCATACTTGTCTGAATGATACTCAAATTGATATTTGTGGGACTCAAACGTTCCTTTTTTATTTCTAATTTTCGTGTTATTTTCTCAGCAATATTTGCGGCTTTTCTTTAAGGCCGCTAAATATTTTTGAAGCGTGCTTGCAGTATTCCAGCTAACGTATTTCCATGACGTCGCTTGAATATTCTAATGACTAATATTCCTGCTGGAATTAACTCCTCCTTTATTGTGCTCCATGTACGCCGCATAGCGAACATCATGCACGGGAATTATGGACATGGGAGAAATTATATCCATGGAATCTTGTCATGTTAGCGAAGTTATTTGGTATAATATAATGATTATATAATTTATTTATTATCGCTCCTGGCGATAAAACCGAGAAAACCCGAGCCCACGATAATATGATAGCTTCTTCATTACTGCTACTTTCTGAAACTGCTTTCACTTCCAATTAATGAAATTTGTTACCGAAATATTTTTGACACGATGCAGTTAATAATTAATCCCTGAGAATCCTAAGGCTGTGAACGTTGAATAGGATTTATGGAGGGTTGTAATTTGTGGTGAAATGAGTCCCAACATTATTTCAAGCGTCGCTTGCATTAAATAAAGTAGCTTATTGCCTAATGGGAATGAATAATATATTAGGTTTAACCACGAAGAAAATAAGTTTGATCCACTTATTCGGATTATTATCTCTTTAAATTAAAACCACAGCAAACCACATTTGTATGTTTAACGTGAGCTAAATATTTCATGTAGCATTTTATTTAACGTGGATTTATTTGAGTCTAAAGAGGCTTACATTCACGTTTGAAAGTAATTAAATCACTAAAAATTAAATTCAGTGTAAGTTGAAGGTTTCTGCTTCTAAATTTTTTATTTCATAAATTTAGAACTGCGATTTACGGTGTCTGCCTCGCTTCTTCATAAGCAAGGTTCGAATTATTCGCGTGTCCGTGTACGGTCCTCATGATGCGCTCCATGGCACACAAGGCAGTTCAATGTTGCGGGCTCTTAATACCACGGGACCACTCCATTGCTTCATTGCCTCTTCATTGCCTCTTCACTGCTTCATTGCCTCTCCATTGCTTCATTGCCTCTTCACTGCTTCATTGCCTCTCCATTCTCTCTTCATTGCTTCGTTGCGTCTCCATTGCATCAATTGTGATTACAAATATATTTGGCCAAATAAGCCATGATATTTTCAAAGTTTATACATTCACTTTATACATCGTGAACAGTTCTTATGAGTCCATGATCCAGCAGTAAACTTATCATGTAGTAATTTAAACTTGGTGGCAGCTCCTTGGAAGAGTTTGGTATCCACGATACCGTTCTGGCCAGTGGCATCGACAGCTCCGTTTAGCACTTTTTACAACACTTCTTACAACACTTCACTTCTTGTTGTTTGTTTGTTTGTCTGTCTATCTGTCTGTCTGTCTGTCTGTCTGTCTGTCTGTCTGTCTGTCTGTCTGTCTGTCTGTCTGTTTGTCTGTCTGTCTGTCTGTCTGTCTGTTTGTCTGTCTGTCTGTCTGCTACAAATATTATAATCGATATTTAACACACTTTTACTTCTCCAATCGATCTGAAATTTTGCACACTTGCGTAAAGTTGGTGACAATGCATGAATCAATTGACAGAATAAATAATTTTGAAATTTTAATTTCTTTTATGTATTAAAATAGTTAAGAAGTTACTTTTTTAATATTCGTAATTAAAATTAGAAATTCATTGTACATGTTTGACATTGGAGACACTGGATTTTTTAGAAGTGGTGTCTTTAAAAAGTAATTTTTAAACGTATATTATTTATTACCACACTTTTTCTTTAAATTCACTTCTTGTTGTCTGTCTGCTACAAGTCTTATAATAGATATTTAACACACTTCTACCCGCCCAATCGATCTGAAATTTTGCACGCTTGCGTAAAATCGGAGACAATGCATGAATCAATTGACAAAATAAAAAAAAATAATTTAAAAAATTAAATATATTTTTCAATAAATAGTATGAAATTCATTGTACATGTGTAACATTGGAGACACCGGCTTCTTTAGAAGTGTGATATTTGAAAAGTATTTTTTAATTGCATATTATTTAACTCCTTGAGCTTAGAAGAAATGAACGGATCATATTGTTCAAATAGTGACACATTTGCTGCACGTACCACTGATATACGTCCATATCCCCGGCCAAACTGGGTCAGGATGACTCACTTTAGGACAAGAGGTGCATTGCTATTTAGACAATGTGTCCCTCATTTCTGGGCCTATACTTTCAAAAAAAGTTAAGAGATCGTAAGTTCATCAGCCATTCATTGACGGCCTTTCAAGCAAAATCCACCAATCATAGACAAGAAAATAGAGCGTAAGTACTTACGTTCACTTAGCGAGTTTTGAAAGTATGGCCCCTGGGCACGAGCTAAAATCAAAGTGGGTGATGTACGAGGTTCTTCAGTATCTCCTGGTAATAAATCAGGAGGTTATGAAGTGCCTCGGCCTGCCGAATGCTGAACACAATCGATTGCGTCTTACTGATTGCTTCGTGGTGACTTAGTCTTGCTGATTGCTTCGTGGTGAGTTAGTCTTGCTGATTGCTTCGTGGTGACTTAGTCTTGGTGATTGCTTCGTGGTGACTCAGTCTTGGTGATTGCTTCGTGGTGAATGAGTCTTGGTGATTGCTTCGTGGTGACTTAGTCTTGGTGATTGCGTCTTGGAAACTATGCCATGATGATTGCGTCGTGGCGGTTGTGTCTTAGCGACTACCACTGAGAGATTTTCTTTAGACGATTGATTAGTGATGATTGCGTTCTCATCAAAGCTCATATAAGAGGATGAGAATGAAAACTGTAATTTTTGTATAGTTAGATGCTATTAGTGTTCCATTTTGAGATTAGTGCAGCATGTGGAGACTAGTGAAGCTCGTGTAGATCTGTGTACCATGCGGAGAGTATGAGCTATACCAGTTATCCGGTTCGCACGACGACCATCGTTTCACTAGACGCGTAGAACGAAGTTAGACCAAAAGTCACGCATGCAGATGCAAATCGCTCGAGAAAAGTGAAGTTTGCGTTGTATTTGTGCTTCCGGCGCCCAAACTAACAATATTTGTTATTTTTTCTTAAATTCTGGCCTTGTACACAGTGTTCCGGTCTAATAGTCAGGGTCCTGGTCTAATACTGAGTGTAGCACTGTTGGGGATTATTCGATAAATAAGCAAACAAAACTTTCGATTTCCCCAAACATTTAATAAATAACTGTAATGATAAACAAATGATGGGTACGAGAATACAAATAAATAAACCTGTATTTCCTTAGCTCTTCTCCTAACTCTGGACTCACGTTTCGAGCCTCTCTGAAAATGCATGAATAAACAAATTACGTACACTAACAAATCAGAATATAGTGCATACAATTCAAAAATAAGTTACAGATTGATGCAAGTAATAATATTCATAGTCACCTACATAAAGCACTGGACATATGTAAACATGACTATCACAAGAACACGACCTACACACACCAATGTGGTGGGATTCCGATACAATGAAGAAATGCGAAGCGCATCTAAACGAAGTCACGTCAAAGGTGAATCAAAACGCAAAACGATAAATTACAGGAGTCCCATTGCAACCCCTAACATTACTTGACCCTTGGTCCAGTACTCATTTTTTCTATTTAATACTGTCATTGTGTGCGTTATTTAACTTGTTTTTGTCGTGTTGGGGGGCGCGCTGCCCCCAGGTTTCAGCGACCCCTACTGCATGCTGGGCATCCAGCCTGCAGTGAACGCCCTGCCCCCGCCCAGCCCCCAGCCCCCCACCGCTTCCCCCCCAGCGCTTGACTCCCCCAAACTGCGCTCACAGGTAATTACTGCGATTAATTACCTCAGAAGTTGGGTAATTAATTAGAATACTCCTGTAATTACTGATATTAAGCTGTAATTATTCAGGTAATTACTGCCTAATTCATTGCATTCCAAATTCAAATACAATTATTGATTTTATTTAAGACGCGGGATGCATGAACTGCATTAAAAAAGGAGTGAGGTATTTAATAACATAAAGAAAAATGACATAATTAGTGAATAAAAGAAGAGTGATGCATTTAATGTATTAAAAGAGTGTTACATTTAGAAAGAGTGTATTATTACAATGCATTGGAGAAGAGTGATCTTTTTAATTTATCTAGGAAGAGTATTGAATTTGATGCAGTATAGAAGTGCGTGGTTTTGCATGTATTGAAGATAAGTGATTTGTTCAACCTATCAAAGAAGAGTGACGTATTTAACCTATCAAAGAAGTGTGACATTTAACCTATCAAAGAACTGACGTATTTACCACATTTAAAGAAGAGTGACGTATTTAGCCTATCAAAGAAGTGACGTATTTACCACATTTAAAGAAGAGTGACGTATTTAACCTCAAAAAGAGAGTAATTAAACACACTGCACGCTGGGTCAGTGGTCGCGGTCGTCGCAGGAGACGGAGACCGAGGGCAGTGACGGGGGCGACAGCCCGCGCTGTGCCGGCAAGGACAGCCTGCGTAAGCACCACAGGTGGGCGGCGCCTGGCTTATAAAATATGATATTTTAAATTCAGTCAAAGTCAAATCTAGTATGTGACAGGGAAATAACGTCAATTGAAAGTTGTTTCGACGGAATCGACAAATTTTATCCATGTTCTAATATTATCTCCTATCTGATATAGGTATGAACTATGTTGAATAAATCTTCTTTTAAAACAATTTTATGTTATCAATGCGATCGAATTGTTTCATGCAACTTTGGTCTAGAACTGAAGCCTGGAAATCGCTTCTTCAGCTTAGGTCACGTGTTTAAATCAGAAGGAAACGAGAGTTTAATTGATTTTTGCAAATCTACAGTACGCCCAGTTGCAACATGTTTCGCTAGCCTGAGACGTATTTCTTTTGCAATAAAGTTGCTTTCAAAATTATGCTGATGAACTAGTTTATTTACTAAGAAACTTTACATCTTAATAATTGCATTCCTTTCTCCATGCACCTTAGCCTTCAGCATCTAATCCCTCAATTTATTAACTTGTGTCGATTTTTCCATCCATTTAAAGAAAACTTTCAGATGGATTTTATGTATACGTGTGTGCCGAGTTAAATTATTGTAAATTTTTCAAATTAATTCTACCTTGTAATGATTTGAAATTTAATGTCTCCTATTTAAGTGTGGTGTGTCCAGCCCGTCCTCTATATCCTTGATTGTATCCATGATGTCGATGTCACGTCAATTGTATCTTGTCCAGTCGAGGGCGGATGAATTGTTTCGAATAGAATTGGCTTACCGCGTTCAATTATTGCCACGCATATATTTTGTTCGACCATTGCTCGAGTGAGTCTGAACATTACCTTTATGTTGAGTGTTGCAAATAAATGATTGGCCTGTGTAATAAGAGGCGCTTTAAAATTTATAAACGGAGTTTCCTTCAAAACTATAATAATTGGGAACATTTTCGTAAAATCGCTAGTTTCAGTCATTGTTTCACTTATGAGCCTTGCCTGAATTGGATCTCAAAGTTTCGTAAATGAACGTTAATTGTTCGAATGAACCTTCACCGCTTCTTTTTATTTATCTCATCTATCCCATTCTCTTTTTTAAACTTCTTTCTTCCATTTCTTCTTTTCCATCTGCCCCGTTTCCGTGTGGCATTGTGGCACCGTTGTGTGGCCAATGTGGCACCTTGTGTCGCCAGTGTGGCACTATTGAACCTGGATTGTCTCGGTGGCGGAGAGACCACCAGTCATCGGGATAGGCTCAAAAAGAGGCCCAGGTGGGCTTATTTATGCCGTGCACCTTCTTCACTATTATTTAATACTCCACACTAAAGGTGCTTGTACACGGCGTCAGAGTGGCAGGCAGTCCAACTTTCAAGTTCTGATCGAAACAAATTAGCATGTAACTGGCCTCGTGTAGCGGGTCACCCGATATAAATTAGCATCTGGTCAGACCCTACTTTGAGACTCTAGTCACTTGAGAGTATGAGTAGAGTAGGTCGAGCTGAGTCATATACCGAGCCTGCAAGCTGCCCAGATGCTGTCTTCAAACCCAGAGCCGAAGCAAATGTAGTGAGGCTGATTTACGTGCTCCCCGAGTCCTAGGCAGCACCTGTTGCCGAATCGGGCCGGCATCTAAATTTTGTTAGTGTAGCTACAGAATTGGAAATTTGTACTGGCCGCCACTACTGCTCCGTGTATATACTAACATCTCAACTGCTCTGCGCATCCCTCTAAGCTGCACAGTATATCACCTAGAGTATTTGCGGTGTATGTGCATCTCATATGAATTATCTGGCTTCAAATGTACCCTTTAAAATACGATTTATAAAAGGTATACTGAAAAACATATAATCTCTAAATGCTGCACCCTTTAGAGCCGCTGTGTAGTGGTGTGCTCAGCTTGGTAGCGATCAGAAGGCTAGGCATATATAAAAATAATTCTATAATAAAACGATAGTATTGTGCGTGGCTTCAACGCTTCAGTTGTGTCCCTGCCGATAACTTGAATCCGAGGTCAACCATAAATTACTGTCAACCTTAAATTACTTGAAAATCAACCCTGCATTAACCCGTAGAATTTAACACCTTTTCCACATTAAAAAAATCCCTGATGTAAGTTAATAATTAAACTGTAGTCATAGAGGTAATATTATTTCACGTTTCGCTGTAAGGAGGAGGCAAAATAAATTCGTTGTTCTGTATGCTGGTAGCTTGAATATGTTCAGAGCTTCAGTGCTGGAATGATGTGTATTGCAATACATTGGAATATTTAATCTTTGTAGTGTGCTGCGTCAAGTGTTTAGTAAATAAAATCTGAGCTTCTCAAATTGTTCATAAGGACTGTTTTTGAATTGGTTTTTAAGGAATTTTTGTTCACTTGTGCACAATGGCATTTTCGATACTCACCAGCTGAATATTTGACTCCATTTCAATGTGTTATTATGTCAATGTAACAATTGATAGGAAAATTTTTTGACAACTTTTTTCAACTTTGCGCTTATTACCTATTGGTTCAATTTTTAATCAATCGTCATTTTTAATCATATTTTTGCAATTATTACATTGTCAAATTGATGTTAACGATTTCACGAGAGTAAAAGCTAACGGCGGAAATCGCCCATAATGTGTGTAGACTTGCCAGAATTTAACAGAATCAATGTAAGAAAATATACCTATGGCATTAGGAGCTCTTTATTAAAAACGCTGACCTTTCATTGATATCAGAACTTGAAGGAGTATTCCTTACAGGTCCGGTGCACCTGTAATGTTTCTACCCACAGCAGTACATCTTACAGGTCCGGTGCACCTGTAATGTTTCTACCCACAGCAGTACATCTTACAGGTCCGGTGCACCTGTAATGTTTATACCCACAGCAGTACATCTTACAGGTCCGGTGCACCTGTAATGTTTATACCTGCAGCAGTACACCTTACAGGTCCGGTGCACCTGTAATGTTTATACCCACAGCAGTACATCTTACAGGTCCGGTGCACCTGTAATGTTTGCATTATGTTAGAAAAAAAACACTTAATTTACATGCAAAGTCAGGAACAATTAAAGTAGGCTCGTTTCTAGTGCTAAATTTAAAATAATGGTTAACTAATAATGTATGAAATAATTTCCTTGTCTTGCGAGGGATAACCACTCATAGCCAAATATCTTTCGATCATAATATTTTAGGTTAAGGAGACCTTCAGAGACAAAAATTAAAATGAAGTTAAATCATAGGAAAAAATTATGATAAAATTATCAGGGAATTCTGTCACGCAGAGTTGATATTTTTATGTAGATTTCATGGAAAAAGGAAACAAGTTATGTGAAATTATCGCAAAATGTTATAAACAAAGCGAGGTAATAAATTATAAATGAAATTGTAATTGGTAAAATATGAATAATATCGAATGCGCATTGCTTACGGCTCCACTGTACGCAGTGCCTCGAGTACATAGAATATTTACTAGTTGTATCAATAATATTTAGAGCGTATACTCAGTAGTATCTGTAATATTTAAAATATATACTTAGTAGTATCAATAGTATATAGAATATATACCAAGTATATAGTGTTAATAATATATAGAAGATAAACTCAAGGCTCTCTTCATTGACGACTTCCCTGTATACGGTAATGTGCTTGCTTCGCTCAACTTTCATGCCGGTAATTACATCTCACGAACTTTGCTCCACTTTTTGAGTTACATAAACTAAAATCTGCTTAAAATAAAAAGACAAGCTAGTAAACAACTTGTTGCAAAACACGTCGCAAGTTGTACGAAGATTAAATAGCTTTCGTACTTCCTGTCCGCTGGAGTTACCAGCGCCCTTGCGTGGTCTAACAAATTCAATTTAAAATATTGCCATGGAAAATTCAATATTTTCATACACATTTATCGTTGCATTTGAGGCCCGGAGATTTCGCTTCCTTTTTTCTGGACTTCAAGGATATTATATACTATATTTCTTTATTATATATAGGTTATAGTGTATAGGATAATATATAATACATTATAGAAAACAGTTTGGTTTTTGTCCGTCCTGCGTGCTGATGCAAGCATAGGTGTTGATTTTTAGTATTAGATTGCATGAATCACAAATTAACCTGGAATTTGAAAGAAAAGAAAACAAGTAAATTCATTATTATTTAATGTAACCATTTTTTTTAGAAATTGTGGCGATTTTACTCGACATTTTCTTTTATTTTTTATTCTTGGCGCTAATTTTGCTGTGTCTTTGAGTCGTGTCAAATTCCTGCCGCAACAGCCATTGATTTCCAAGTAATAAATAATATATTTCAACTTCCTTCCAGTAATTTTTATGTTTTTCCTTGCAGATGTGTTTCATTATTCCTGGTCGCGCGGCCTTGTTAACTTTTGATTGAATCATTTATGAAAATAGTTTCATATATCCAAACATTTTTTATGTTCTCACCTGGTACAGATTTTCCACAGATTGATCAAGTTGAACACCCTCTTCTTCGTATATTTTATTGAAATTTGAGAGATTTTCCATAATCACAGATATTTTCGGTCCATCCAAAATTTGTTAAGGTCCATTCAGCAAAATATATACTTTTTGTCTTGGAAAAGAGCTATTGCCATCTTATATGATTTTTTTCCGTTACTCACTCGCTAATAAATGCGTTAATTTCGAAAATCAGCCTTCTGGGTTCATTGTTGTTACGGTTCACCACCTGGTTATGTGTTTATGGTTCATATGTACTTACATGGTTCTTGTCTTGGTTATATTTTTATGGTTCTTCTGGTTCTCTTATCATTCATAACGTGGTTCTTGACGTAGCTACCTGTTAATGAATACTTTAGTACTCATATGGTTCTTAAATTGATTATGTTTTTATGGTTCTTGTGTCATAGTGTAGTATAGTATCTTCGGCATTAAAGAATAGGCCTGGATAGGCCTGTCGCCGACAATGACGTATTATGATTATGATCCATAACGTGGTTAAATATTTATGGTTCTTGCTGTTCCTTTATGGTTCCTGACGTTGTTCTTTTGGTTCTTGGTTGCAGTTTCCGTATCAGCTTCAAGCGGCGCGGTGGTTCGAACGAACTGGCACGCCGCGACCACCGGGACTCGCTCACTAACGTCATACCGGTCAAGATCATCCGTGCTACGGGCGTCAAGCCCCACACCCTCAACCCCAGATGGGCTGAGAAGTTCAGGCTGTAAGTAACGTGCTCATTTGTGCTATAATTTGACAGGGTAGATCAGATTCGTGGAATTATAATTATTTATTTAGACCGGTCGCCGTATTACGTTATCATTACGAACATACGTTATTAACGTTAGGTTACTTAATTCGTATCTCGCATTCGGAACACAAGGGCTGAGACGATCGCAATGTGATTATAGGAGCCTGTACTAATTAGTGATATATATTATCGATCGTTGTTCTGACGCTGCAAGGCGTTATATTTTTCATGGGTCGCAATCTAACAGATTGGCGCTAGAGTGCGAGATGCCGGTTATTGCGAGTGTATGTCATATTAGACAAATTTAATCCGAATAATTTTCACGTCAAGGGAGGCCAAACAAATTGTCGGAGAACCGGCCCGAGATTTCCATCAGATGGTAATTATTAGTGAGGCATCTGACGTAGAAAAAACGTTGATTAAACGTTGTTTCAACGGAATTAACTCTTAATTAACGTCGTTTAAACGTCATTTGCCGGGAGAGATGAGATCATCTTATAAGACTTGTCTGTGTTATCTTTCTGGTCATCGTTCGTATCGGCGTCCACAGGAATTGGCTTCGCTTAATTAATAGCAATAGAATCCAAAGACCAGCTAGAGTCCCTGTCCATTGCTTGCAGTTTAGTGATTAATTCGTTGGCCAAAACGTTTTTGATCACCTAGAGTTATGTCTCTTTTCGGAAATATTCCTAATATTGTTGACATAATTGCGAACTGCCCGATCACGTAAAACATTTATGCAATCGTGCAGCTGCAATAAGCTCGCCATGGACTCCAGCAGGCCTTTTATCCCGATGAAGAAATTTAAAGTTTTTATGGACCCAATCTGTTGTCGGGACTACAAGGTGTTATCGAGACGACAAGGTGTTTTCGAGTCCAAATGCATACTGATGAGTTGTTTTGGTTTGCGTGTTGTGGTCACACATCGTCTTGCTCAGAATATTCAATGCCAGAGAAATGGAGTGAGGACCGAGACGCCGCGAGGAGGCTATTGAGAGGAGCTTTTAGTGAGCTGGCGCCTCCATGCCAGCGCCCATCAAGAGATTGGAGAGGACGAGGCCTCGACTTAAGTACGAGTCTCTGGCGCGCTGTCGACAACAATACGAGCCGCGCACGGCTGGCCTATGGCTGCGGACTTGACAAGATTGGTCTACGGCTGTAGACTGACAATGCTGTGGACTTGACAAGGCTAGACTACGACTGTGGACTTGACCTTGACAAAGCTGTGGACTGGACAAAGCTGTGGGCTGGACAAAGCTGTGGACCGGACAAAGCTGTGGACTGGACAAAGCTGCGGACTTGACTAGGCTGTGGATTTGTCAAGACTGTGGATTTAACAAGCTGTGAACTTGACAAGGCTGGCCTACGGTTGTGGGCTTGACAAGGCTGTGCACTTGACAAGACTGTGCACTTGACAATGCAGTGGACTTGACAATGCTGTGGACTTGACAATGCTGTGGACTTGACCAGACTGTGCACTTGACAATGCAGTGGACTTGACAAGGCTGTGCACTTGACAATGCAGTGGACTTGACAATGCTGTGGACTTGACAAGACTGTGCATTTGACAATGCAGTGGACTTGACAAGGCTGTGCACTTGACAATGCAGTGGACTTGACAAGACTGTGCTCTTGACAATGCTGTGGACTTGACAAGCCTGTGAACTCGACAAGCCTGTGGATTTGACAAGCCTGTGTACTTGACAAGCCTGTGAACTTGACATGCCTGTGGACTTGACAAGCCTGTGGACTTGACAAGTCTGTGGACTTGACAAGCCTGTGGGCTCGACAAGCCTGTGGACTTGACCAGCCTGTGGATTTGACTAGCCTGTGGACTTGACAAGACTGGTCTTGACAATGCTGTGGATTTGACAAGGCTGTGATTTTGACAATGCTGTGAACTTGACATGACTGTGGACTTGACAAGGCTGTGGACTTGACAAGGCTGTGAACGTGACAAGACTGTGGACTTGAAAAGGCTGTGAACGTGACAAGACTGTGGACTTGATAAGGCTGTGCACATGACAATGCTGTGGACTTGACAATGCTGTGGACTTGACAATGCTGTGGACTTGACAATGCTGTGGACTTGACAATGCTGTGGACTTGACAATGCTGTGGACTTGACAAGGCTATGGATTTGACAAGGCTGTGGACTTCACAAGGCTGTGAATTTGACAAGACTGTGGATTTGACAACACTGTGGACTTGACAAGGCTGTGGATTTGACAATGCTGTGGACTTGACAATGCTGTGGACTTGACAAGGCTGTGTATTTGACAAGGTTGTGGACTTGACAAGGCTGTGAACGTGACAAGACTGTGGACTTCACAAGGCTCTGCACTTGACAATGCGGCGGACTTGACAAGGCTGTGCACTTGACAAGGCTGTGCACTTGACATGGCTGTGCACTTGACAAGGCTGTGGACTTGACAAGGCTGTGGACTTGACAAGGCTGTGGACTTATGTTGTTCACACTCCGCTGTCAGCTGAGTCAGCTGCAATGAAGTCAGTTTTTTTAATTTAATGCTTATTTATCACAGCGAAATGAGTAACTTTGCCAAGTAGCGATGCACTTTTTGCCAAGTTTGGCCTGGTAAAAGGGCGTAACAGCGCTACGTCCGCTCCCAGTTCGTGTTATGCGTAACAGTGTCAATAGTTGGACAATCACATTCATTTTTCCTTAGAGTAAATATCGTTACTGTGTCAGCGCTTTAGAATTTTTTCATCGAACAATTTATTTCCTAAACTTGAGTATAGAAATTGTCAATGGAATCGAACTGTATCTTTCAAAACGAAGGCTGTTCGCTTCTGTAATGGTGGATGCTTAGATCTGTCCAATTTATTGATAATAATTGCCGAATTGTTTCTGAATGACACTACCAAAAATCTGACAAATTATGGAAGAAGACGCTCTACACTACACAAAGCATTGTAATAAATGATCGTTATTCCATTATAACTTGTCACAAAGAACGTGTTTTACGGGCGTCATGTTTACTCGGCAGCAACATGCAACGCGTGAAATTGACCGAGATCAATCGAGCCGACAAGTGAGACTGATGAGGGACCGCGACAACATGTGCCTGCAGTGTCATTGATCTCTGCCATACGGGCAGACAACTCAACGTGTTGCTAAATTCTTCTGGCCAGCTGTTCTTTGTCGCCTTAAAATAACATTCGTTATTCAGTTTTGAATGTATCGTTGATACATGAATTTTTGTTGACTGTATTTTTATTGTGAGCGCGAGTCATGTGCTCGATGTAGGCAGGCGACACATGTTTATTTTTGTGAAAGCTAAATTACTGTGAACAGTTATGAAAAAAAAAAACAAGTATTGTTCAACTAGTACTTAATTTTATTAGTGACCTAACTGAACTCAACACTTTTAGAGACGCCACCAACTGTGACGAAAATTTTTACACATTTTCGAATAAGCAAGTTTAATAGATTTATTCGAGATTAGCGTTAAGTAGATGCGACTCGTTAATGGGCATGAAGCTGATCTTCCTTAATGACGAGTTAATGTGCATGAAATGAGTTACTCGTCGTATATTCTTGCCATATCTTGATAAAATTAAAGTGCTTATTGGTTATGGCTTGCGTGACTTGGATAACTTCGAAAGGGGTAATATATATAATGTTATAAAAATATGAAAAAAGCATGAAAGTGTTGATATTTCGCAAAAAAACGAATGTATCTGAAAAATTGAACCTCAAGTTTGAGTAGCATGCACAATTAAACAATATTTTTATTAAGTAAATCGAAAGTACAGTTTGAACTATCGATATTGATCACCCAAGGCAAGCCCCAGCATTACTTACTTGAAACTTCCATTTTTAATCACAAGTTTTTCAGCGGAAGTCTTGATTTGACATTTCAAGTAAACCCGATTCAAAGCTTCATAAAAAACCTCGATTCAAAGCTCCATCTGAAGTTTTGCTCGGTCGGCTCATGACAGTCTATCTATGTTCCCGGGATTATTTTCTCGGATTTATATATATCATTTATATTCATATTATTGACTTCGTTCCTTTTTCCTGACGGCCACCAATGAATCACTGAAAGATTCTCTCCACTGAGGCATGAATGACAAGATTGATTTCCCATGCGTACTGTGGCTCGTACACTCAAACAAATGACTGAGATTTTGTCCAAAAGCGCGAATCATCGTGGCCCAGTTTGCCCCGGAAAGAGGATGTATCAGTGCTACGTGCAAAAAGTGTGTCACACTTTGACCCATTACTGTGTGACCCATTCATTTTTATTAGTGTACGCCCAAAGAGGCCTTAGATAATAAAGGCCCGTAAATATTACGTCTTGCAGAAGTCATTGCGAATTATTCACAAAATTTGTTGCTTGTAAGAACTCAGATTTAATTGTGTTGGAATGTCCAGTGGATTTAAATGCGGGAAAAATATGTTTCAGTAGTATTGTTGGTTCTTCCTTCATTCATTCGATACAAAATATGAATATGGATCAAGTTTCTGTGCTTAAATTAGTGAGTGAATGAACTGAAATTAGTCTTTGGTGATAGACTACAGTAGCTAACCTCTCGTCTTATTTATTTTTAACATGACAATTGCATGCTTGCATACAACATTGACCACAATAATTAAACCTCACTTGTATTATTGACATGTTACATTGAAAAAATGTGAACTGCCAGTGATTGAAGATATTTGTCGATATATATGTTCCTAAGATCTTTTTCTTTTGCAGCGATATCGACAGCATCAACACTGACATTCTCCACCTGGATATATGGTGAGAATAACTTTGTATTTTATAATATCTATTGTAAAATATAATATTTGCAATGATTTAAATTTTTTCGTCATATATATATAGCGACATTAAATGTTTTTAATTTACGTAGAAACTTCCGATATTTTGCGATCCATGTTCGGCATATCCTCATGGCACGATGTCATTGTAGAGACGGAGGCCTGCAATCGACCACTGGCCGCCTGTTGGCCGCTAATGCGCTGGCCATAATTTAGGACAGGGGATTGCGTGGCAATTACTAATGACAATCATTCTGTAAATGAGCGTTGCTGGCGTCACTCATATTGCAGGGCGGTGTGATGGTGCATGACGTGATTGTGGTAAAGTGTTGCATGTGGTGTGGTGGTGCATGATACGATTGTGGTGTTGTGGTGCATGTGTAAATAACGTACTTTCGTTATTTACAAATTCATTCGACAAACTGTTATTCCAAAATCGCATTTTTGATCAAATTGACCGGTCTGAAAATTTAAAAAGTTTTCCATGTTACCCAGATTTGGGTATTTATTTTTCATATTGAAGTAATATTTTTTTGCTACGATATTCTATCTTAATATTCGCACGCGCATAAAAATAAAAAGTTCAGAGGAGCTTCACCAAATCGAGGCTGACATATTCAGATCTGGGCCCATACTTTTAAAAAAGGTTAAGAGATCGTAAGTTTATCAGCCAATCATTGACGGCCTTTCAAACCAAATCCACTAATCATAGACAAGAAAATAGAGCGTAAGTACTTACGTTCACTTAGCGAGTTTTGAAAGTATGGCCCCTGATCGAGAGCTCCCTGCTGGTGACGGACGCTTGCTGCGCACTAATGCGTTGGTGCGAACGTAAATTAGGTTTCCTCGGGTCTCGTTTGCCATAAATAATGCAACATGGGAGTACGTGCTGTGAGATATTGATTACTGCCTGAGGTAATAACTGTTATGTAGATCAGATATAACTCTTTGTATGGGATAGATCCTCCAGTATCTAATAAAAAGTTATTTTTGAGACGAAGACATGAAATACAAGAAAAAATTAGCTTAAAATTTACTTTAATTTTTAACTCGAATTCATTGGTCAAAAGCCTTCAAATGCATTGAAATTTTATTTATATTTCGTATGTTTTTTTTTGAAATCGCAAGCCAATTAGTTCAGAGATCTTGTCTTTGTCCGGATCGAAAAATATAGTCCAAATCATGTCATCACAATGAAAATTTTCAGTCGGTTTTATTGTGATTGTGAGATTTAGAGATTCTGAAGTTTCATCATGACTCTTAACTGACTGCGTATATTATATTATGAAACAGACCATGTGGATGAGATTATGAAGTTTCATATTGGCTCTAAACTGACAATTGTCATTTCACTATAAAGTGTGATCCTGGCTCTAAATTGACAATGTGAACAGGAGTGTGCAGTTATAGTCTGACCATGTGAATGAGATTGTGAAGTGTGAACCTGGTCTTAAATGCACTATGTGGACAGTTTTACATGCAGTTACAGCCAGGCCACGTGTACGAGATAGTAAAGTTTCGGCTGACAATATAGACGAGATTGTGAAGTGTGAACCTGGTTCTAGACGCACAATTTGGACGAGATTTTACATTTTAAGCCTGGCCATGTGTGTGAGATAGTGAAGTTTCGGCTGACAATATAAACGAGATTGTGAAGTTATAGTAGATATTCTGGTGTCAGGGATCACGACGACGAGTCTAGCGTGCTGGACGTGGTGAGCAAACTGAACGAGGTGAAGGGAGTCAAAGGCCTCGGCCGCTTCTTCAAACAGATCGCGCAGTCAGCGCGGTCCGGGGGCGAGGACGACTTCCTGGGATGTGTGAACATCCCTCTTGCTGTGAGTCTTTAATATCATATTATTAATATTACGTTATTAATATTATTATATTACGTGTGGTACAATGTGCCGTCAACAATGCAATTTCTCTAATGCTATAAGGCTGGTAGCTATCGAGCTACAGGTAGTATAGAAAAAGCGTTGAAACACCGTTTAACAAAATGCTCTTTCACTGTCAAGCGTTGAATTAAAATTGAGTCTTGTATCCAAATGAAACGAATACGTGCCGAATAATGTGCTGTTCGTGTTGAATTATATTATTTATCTTACATTGCAATTTTGACGGAATTTTAAATAATATTGTAGTGCTTTTTAGTGTTGAGACATTCAAAACTACTGATTTTAAAATCATATTCTATATGCTGCCTGTGCTTATGTATATGGAATTAGTCTCACGTTCAAAGGCCCCTTTGCGACGGCGTAAATTTTAGATTGTCATTTCGTGCAGACACTCAAATTGCTTGAGTATTTCATCGTGAATGAAATTTAGCGAACTCTGAAGCATGGAGGCTCCTTTTTCCAAAAATACGTCCATAGCGGAGCGGGCAACGTAAAATACTCAGACATTGTATTGCTTCTTCACGAAGCACGCATGCAGTAAATCAATAAAGTTAGCCAAAAGATAACACTGGAAATCTATTTTGTTGTTTACATTGGGCGAGCACGAAAAAAAGGTGTCTTGTAATTGGCTGTCAATTACGCAACTAACAACCAATCGCGAGGCTGATGACGGGGCCGTTCATTTCAGAGCCTCGCTTATTGGCTAGAAAAATTGAGGGAATATTGCAAAAATCTCATTATTGACGCGGCCAAAATTAAGTCTTTTTAGGCATCGATTCTCATGCCAATCGCGGACAAAATTCATAATTACACAGCGACATCAAAACCATGCTATTGCGAGATTGTGATCTAAGTAATTAAGGCAGCAACGGGGAAAGAATTACTCGACAGAATTGTCATTAACGAGGAAAATGCTTCAGAAGAAAGCCATCACTGACTATTGTTGCGATTATTATTCATGTTTACCCAACAAAATACATGATCTGTTCATTGTCCAGAAGACCATGGGCTCCATTCTTCTTGATTATTACGGCAAGCGTAAACTTTAACAATCTACGAACGATTTTGTCTTAAAAATTTATTGTGCGTAGCAAAAAAAAATATTATTATCTTATAAATTTAATTTTGAACTTGATTTATGAAGTCGCTTGTGCAGTACCTGACACGTGGATATTTTAATCCCTTCAGACGTCGCTTTTTGAACAATGAATTCTAAATTCTCATTTAACCTGCCACAGAATTTCACAAAATTTCAGCCGTACCAGCTTAAGCCGCCGCAACACGGCCGCGGTCCCGGCAATCCGCTTACACTTGAGCTTTCGCTTGATGCGAATGGTAGCTTCGCGTCTTTGCTTTTAATATTGTCGAATCCTTATTTTGAAAAGTTGTAATCGTACTTTGTTCAGGTACAGTTGTACTTACGCAATCAAAGGTTAAACCAACAAAGGCCTCGTGTCTTTGTTTTTAAAAATTGTCGGAAAGCCTAATTTTACAAAGTTATAATCGTACAGAGGGTAGGTACTGTTGTATCTATGCAATCAGACAGTGGGTTAAATCAGCAAAGGCTTCGTGTTTTTATTTGCACATTGGAGGAATATCAATGAAAGCTAGAACGTATTTGCATTATTATTTTTCAATAATACAGTTGTTTGAGTGGAGGTTGGAGTTGCATTCCACCTTTGCAAATAACGTGACCTCATCATGTTGTTTGAGCCTCCCTCTATTTCAAAGGAGAACTGTACAAGATTTTTGTGTACGTTTATAGAGTCACACCATCACTGCCACGCATGGCTCATTATGCTGGCACTTGTATCTATTGTTCGCTCGCTTGTAAATAAACAAATTAATGTTTCTTTTGTGCGTTAATATAGTCGCTGCTTTCAACATCTGTAGTTAATTAGTACAGTAAATCAAATGTTTCAATGACAGGTCTAGGTTTGAGTTTGCTGTTTGGTCAATTTAGGGTCGAGGTCAGACATGCGGTGTCGGAGAACGTGATTTCCTCATTGGCTCATTTGTGTAGAGACAAAAATTCGTATCCGACTTTCAAAATTGAAATTATTTTTTCGAACATTTTATCTTTATTTAGGAGCTAACTTCACTATTTAAAACTATTGAAGAGCTCACTTCACTATTCAAACTGAAGTTAATAAGTAACTATTTATTTATTAACTTCACTCAATAGTTATTTATTAGATTTGGCATATCCTACTAAAAATGTTTTTCAATTGAAATTTTCACGTGTCGACCAGTCCGATTAGTTGGCAGCAGAGAGTGGTAATCCTAGTTAGCGTTCGCATGATAATGAGCCTCGAGTTTCCGTTGTTTTCGAGCTAAACTATTCTCTCAAAACTTTACTGGCCGAAAATTCCCGACGAAAAACATTGGGTTTAAATCATGGTCAAAAAATGCGTCAGCGAGCTTATGCAAGTGTCTGGGTGAAATCAATGCTACATCACCTGATCATTGCTACTCGTGATCATGTGCTCCGCTTGATTAACTACTATGAGCGCTCATGCTCATCTATATTGTTTATGATCGTCTACATGCCTGATTTTACTTCGTATGTGAAAGTTATAGGAACATTTTTAAAGATATGTAAATAATAAGATATTGAGGATATACTATACGATTAAGATTGTTTTGGTTGTTGAAATAGTTATTTTCTGCCAGGATATCCCTAGCACGGGAGTGGATCGCTGGTACAAACTGGAGGCGCGGTCCCAGCGATCCAACATCCAGGGCCAGATCCACCTCAAGATGTGGCTCAGCACCAGGGAGGACAGGTGCGTGCATTACCTGGTATCTTGTGTGGGTAACCTGCAAACGTTATTTCAACGTTTGAAACAAGGTTATTCCAAATTTTGAAACAAGATTATTTTAACGTTTGAAACAATGTTATTCCAATGTTTGAAACATTTAAACAACGGTATTTCAACGTTTAAAACAAAGTTTAATCAACTTAAGTTGTTGATTTCGTTACCTGGTTGTAAGCCAATACGTCGCCCGAGTGGTACCGGAAGATGAGTGTAATATTTATTTTAAATGTAAAGCATGCAAATGACCATAAAAGTAATGAGGTTTTTGCGTGCATTTCTCTCCTCTCCTGAGAGATAATTCGTTGCCTCGCCGGCAGGCTTGATGTAATTACCCTTCATTAGCGTTACTAATGTGGCTTCAGAAGCTCACGTTACGTGCAGGGTTCAGATGGGCTGTTGTAACGACAATTTTTGGGCAGTTATAACGACCTCCCTGAAGAGAGAAACTAATTGAATGAATTTGTCTTTACAAGTGCCTACAGAATTGCATTTCACTCCGTTTACATTGATTTTATCGGATTTATATGCATGGAGTCGATGTATAAACAGGTTATTTACACTCAGAAAAATTAGTCTGATTTTGCCAAAATAGCGAGGTTTTTTGCCCTTTTCTGAGTCATCCTGACCCAGTTTAGCATGGCAATTGGGTGTATCATCACTGAATCCGTCGTCTGCTCGCGCCGTGGGATAGAAATTGTGCCATAGTTTGGACATTATGATTCATTCTTTTTTAGTGTAGCTCCAAACTCTGAACTGATCTTAGTTAAAGAAATGCCCTCTACCGAAGCAGTAATGTAAGCGACGTCTATGATTTATCGTGGTAAGCTCAGTAAAAATTAAATATTGATTAATTGTTTAATATCCAGTTCATTCAAACAATAGTCGTCAAAAAATTTGAATACACATTTAATAAAATAACATAAATATATGTTAGGTTACATATAGAATGATGTATTGAGAATTTCGCCAATTCTAAGTTTGTTGTTCATTAGGTAATTCGTGATCAGCAGCTGATGATCAATTATCCTCGTGCGCTTCTAGATAACAAGTCAGAACGAACAAAATTTTTCATGCTGCTCTACCTCTGCGTCATGCTAGTATGCTGCTGCATTATGCTAGTCTGCCGCTGCATCATGCTAGTCTGCCTCTACATCATGCTAGTCTGCCTCTACATCATGCTAGTATGCCGCTGCATCATGCTAGTCTGCTGCTGCATCATGTTAGTCTACCTCTGCGTCATGCTAGTCTGTCGCTGCATCATGCTAGTCTGCTGCTGCATCATGCTAGTCTGCCGCTGCATCATACTAGTCTGCCACTGCATCATGCTAGTTTGCCTCTGCGTCATGCTAGTCTGCCGCTGCATCATGCTAGTTTGCCTCTGCGTCATGCTAGTCTGCCGCTGCATCATGCTAGTCTGCCTCTGCATCATGCTAGTCTGCCGCTGCATCATGCTAGTCTGCTGCTGCATTATGCTAGTCTACCGCTGCATCATGCTAGTCTACCTCTGCGTCATGCTAGCATGCTGCTGCATTATGCTAGTCTGCCGCTGCATCATGCTAGTCTGCTGCTGCATTATGTTAGTCTACCGCTGCATCATGCTAGTCTGCCTCTACATCATGCTAGTATGTTCTGTCGTTGCATCATGCTAGTCTGTCGCTGCATCATGCTACTAGTCTGCCTCTGCGTCATGCTATAGTTTTTCTACCTTTCATGCTATTTATAGTCTGCCGCTGCGCTAGCTATTCACATGCTCACATGAATGTTTTAGAACGAACTAAAAACTTAAAAAGTTCCATATTTTCATTGGTGGTCAGATAATTTTTCCCTGTGCAGCGACTGAAGTTTCGCTGTTCAAAGGAAACTCGATATTCGCAGGAATATCCTACCAATATTTTCTAAAATATCCAAACAATATTCGCTGAAATATCCAAGCAATATTCCCTGGAATATGTTGGTTCACTAAAATCAGATCTCTTCATGTCGAAATGAATAAGGTTCCGTTCATCATTGTACTCGTAATCTACTAGAAAAAGAATTAATCATAATCACGCTTTTGAAGACCTTAAAATCATTTTTGTGGCATTAATGAGATCCGTGAACTCATTTCCAATTAAAAAATCTAATTTTACTCACTGATCTCGAAATTCAGTTGCTTTTGGCTTTAAGTCGTCTCGGGGTATTAGGCTAATTCCGGAAATCGTAGCCAGTTTTTACCCAAAATTCCGGGTAAAACTGCGTCAAAATTTCCTGCGGCATTGCGGTTCATTTGCATTCCACGAGATGAAAATTTAAATCGTCCGCGCATAACTGCAAAAACGTTTGAAAAGAGTCTCCTAAATTGTCAACTAGGATTGGAAACTTATCTAAAAAATGTCGAACATTTCTTATGAGATTGTGCGCAATTGAACTTGTAAGTGAATACTTTTGACCACACAGTTTTATAGTCAATACTCTTGACTAAACAGTTTTAAAATTTATGCTTTTGACTGCCCAGTTTAAAAATGACAATGTGTTTTTCATTTCCACAATGCAGAGGCACGTCTGAGGAGGAGGTGTGGAGAGAAGTGCAGCAGCACGAGCAGATCGTCACCGTCTTCGTTCTACACGAGCTGTCCAAGTGGAAGGTGAGCAGAGCAGACCACGGCACATTCTACACGAGCTGTCCAAGTGGAAGGTGAGCAGAGCAGACCACGGCACATTCTACACGAGCTGTCCAAGTGGAAGGTGAGCAGAGCAGACCACGGCACATTCTACACGAGCTGTCCAAGTGGAAGGTGAGCAGAGCAGACCACGGCACATTCTACACGAGCTGTCCAAGTGGAAGGTGAGCAGAGCAGACCACGGCACATTCTACACGAGCTGTCCAAGTGGAAGGTGAGCAGAGCAGACCACGGCACATTCTACACGAGCTGTCCAAGTGGAAGGTGAGCAGAGCAGACCACGGCACATTCTACACGAGCTGTCCAAGTGGAAGGTGAGCAGAGCAGACCACGGCACATTCTACACGAGCTGTCCAAGTGGAAGGTGAGCAGAGCAGACCACGGCACATTCTACACGAGCTGTCCAAGTGGAAGGTGAGCAGAGCAGACCACGGCACATTCTACACGAGCTGTCCAAGTGGAAGGTGAGCAGAGCAGACCACGGCACATTCTACACGAGCTGTCCAAGTGGAAGGTGAGCAGAGCAGACCACGGCACATTCTACACGAGCTGTCCAAGTGGAAGGTGAGCAGAGCAGACCACGGCACATTCTACACGAGCTGTCCAAGTGGAAGGTGAGCAGAGCAGACCACGGCACATTCTACACGAGCTGTCCAAGTGGAAGGTGAGCAGAGCAGACCACGGCACATTCTACACGAGCTGTCCAAGTGGAAGGTGAGCAGAGCAGACCACGGCACATTCTACACGAGCTGTCCAAGTGGAAGGTGAGCAGAGCAGACCACGGCACATTCTACACGAGCTGTCCAAGTGGAAGGTGAGCAGAGCAGACCACGGCACATTCTACACGAGCTGTCCAAGTGGAAGGTGAGCAGAGCAGACCACGGCACATTCTACANAATGTTGTGTGCTGTAAACACACCTTTCATGGAGTAAATGTTGTGTGCTGTAAACACACCTTTCATGGAGTAAATGTTGTGTGCTGTAAACACACCTTTCATGGAGTAAATGTTGTGTGCTGTAAACAAAGCTTTCATGGAGTAAATGTTGTGCGCTGTAAACACACCTTTCATTGAGTAAATGTTGTGCGCTGTAAACAAATCTTTCATGGGGTAAATGTTGTGCGCTGTAAACAAATCTTTCATGGGGTAAATGTTGTGCGCTGTAAACATGATATGCGTCGTACAGACAATAATAAGAATACGACATTAAATATGGTCATATTTATCAACATAATACTTTACATTGTAAAATATTTTATAATGTAAATATATTACATTATTGTATTAATTTATCATTTACATAGCAAAACAATGTAATAAATAATAATATATAATAACAACTGTTGATGTCTGGTGCCCCATTACTTTATTATTAATTTATTATTTTCGTAGTAAAATAATCTAACAAATAATAATATATAATAATAACTATTGATGTCTGGTCCATTTACATAGTAAAATGATACAATAAATAATAACGTATATAATAACAACTATCGCTGTCTGGCCCCCCACAGGACGACTCCCTGGGCTGGGACGGCTCCCTCGCCCCCCCGGCAGAGACCATCCTGCACCAGCACGCTCTGCAGGGCGACCTCACCCGCCTGCAGCAGGCCGTGTGCCGCTTCATGGCCTATACACGCGTCCACAGGTCAGCGTGACTTGTCTGCAGGTCAGCGTGACTTGTCTGCAGGTCAGCGTGACTTGTCTGCAGGTCAGCGTGACTTGTCTGCAGGGCAGCGTGACTTGTCTGCAGGTCAGCGTGACTTGTCTGCAGGTCAGCGTGACTTGTCTGCAGGTCAGCGTGACTTGTCTGCAGGTCAGCGTGACTTGTCTGCAGGTCAGCGTGACCTCGTGTCTGCAGGTCAGCGTGACCTGCAGAAGACTGGAAGCGCAATTATTTTGTATTATTTATACATATCTGAAGTGTAACTGGGATAGGCGCAATACAATACAAAGATAATTTTTAGCAAATTCACTAAAAAAAGTTATTAATTTTCTTAGTTTTATCCTACGTATTGAATAAATCAAATAATGCCTTCATAGTCCTTACCAATCTTAGAAGTTTCCGTCGTGCACTCCGAAAAATGAGGCAGGCTTTGTAAAAAATTCGATGCATTTCTTGCTTTTATGTGGATCATCTTGACGCAGTTCGACTTAAAAACATAGAATATCAGTTCTTCTTACCGACAGTGTGTCAATATTAGGACAGTTTGACCCATTAATGTCTGTGCGTGTACAGGTCGCGCCCGCTGGACCACAGAATCCTGCTACGCCTCCTGACGTCCCTACACGAGCTGTGGGACGACGAGGCGCTCAGCAAGGAGGAGGTAGGATGGGGGGTTAATTATCTTATATTAGTAATAACAAGAGTTATTTAATAATTGTTATTATTAACAATGTTATATTGTCATTATGGTTAATCAATTTATAATTGTCATTATATTAATTAATTAATGATTATCGTTATTTATAATGTAATATTGTCGTGACGATAAATAATCAATTTATAATTATCATTATAATAATTAATGATTGTCATTATTTATAATGTTATATTGTCGTTATAATAATTAATCAATTTCTAATTGTCATTATAATAATTAAATAATGATGCACGTTATTTATAATATTATATTGTCGTCATAATAATTAATCAATTTATAATTGTCATTATTCAAAATGTTGTCTTGTCATTATAATAATTAGTGTGAATGCGGTCTAATGGAAAATCATTCTTCAAAAGAAAAATATATAGTGGATTGCCTTGAATTCGGGGTGCAGCAGAAAGAAGTTCGTCATCACACTGGGATAAAATTTTATCATAGAAATAAGTGAAGGAAAATTTTTGTGATACTATTCATTTGCAATCGAATAATTAATCAAGAATGATTCAAAATCTCGTGATCGGGAACTGAAAATGATTACTTGATGTAGAAAATACGTATGAAATATTCGCTGAATTATACTGACGTATTAAAGATTGGAGTTAGCAAGATAAACGCGTTAAAAAAATTTCCTGATATTGGGTTTATAATGGTCAGGTTTACGCATGCGACTAAAGTCATGAAAATAACGTAAATATCACTTGTACTCACTTATATTTATTTGATTATTTTCAGAACTTTTTATTCTAAATCGCTTATTTTCAACTTTATCGTCGTGAATCGCCAAATATTTCTCAACCCCATTAATTTTATTCGGTTTAGGATTTCTGTTACGACAATCAACTAAAAATTTCTCCTGCATCTGCTTTTTTTAACGATAATTTCAGCTGCATCTTGTTTTCTTTTGCGATAATTAAGAGGACATTTCTCCTGCATTTGCTTTTTAACGATAATTTCAGCTGCTAGGAGTGAGCAGCGTGGCCGTATTGCCAAGTAGGAGTGAGCAGCGTGGCCGTATTGCCAAGTAGGAGTGTGCAGCGTGGCCGTATTGCCAAGTAGAAGTGAGCAGCGTGGCCGTATTGCCAAGTAGGAGTGTGCAGCGTGGCCGTATTGCCAAGTAGGAGTGAGCGGCATGGCCTTATTGCCAAGTAGGAGTGAATAGCGTCAACGTCAAGTAGGAGTGAGCGGCATGGCCTTATGCCCAAGTAAGAATGAGTAAACCGACGTTGAATTACCAAGTAAGGATGAGTACACGACCTTGATTACCATGGGCTGTAACGGGAACAGTCTATGTTATCTCATCAGCGAGAGAAATCGTTACCTTCTATCGATGGCTTAGGGGTTTTACGGCGCAGAATAAACACTCATCGCTCCTTCTGACTTGTTGCACCTCGTTTGTGGATCGCAAATGTGTTCAGCAGTGGATGTCGTCAGTAATGAAATTCCTACTCATGTGTAATGAACCTTTTATGACATGATTGAGACTACGCCCTTTGGTATACAAATATTTAATCTAATTATCCCGCGGTAAAAGGATTTTGCTTATAGAAGGTTTAGATCGTGTCGTTAAGCATGTACTTCAAAGGGATGTTAAGCGTTCGTTAAGATGCAATTTCTTCCATACAAAATATCTTTCTGTCTGCGTTCAAGTCCTGCTATGTCGCTCCGCCTTGAAGTCATGCTTGGTTTATACTAGACTGCCTTAATTGAATCGCAATCACGGCACGTTTGTTTAGGTATCGTAGTCTGCGGCCGAGCAGTCAGCTGTCAAACGCCGCTGACTCACAGTCACTGAACTGATTATATTCACTGAAATCGGACGACTAAATTCGAGTGACTGAATTTGTCGCCCAGAAGACATCTATCAGACAGGCTGTGGCAACACTGCATTCTTGGTGCCTCCTTAACGGAAGTTCGGAGTATTTTTCGAATAAATTTAGCTTACTTTTTAGTTGAGATCTTTGCAGCTGCTCGTCCAATCCTGGCTCATATGGTCGACTTATTGTTAATGCTTTTAATAATCATTGATTGTTAAGTTATTAGTCGTGCTTTATTCATCACCAACTAGATCACGGGTAATGTAATGCAAGTCTAAACGGGTAAGATGGGTAAGGTAATGTAGGTCTCAGTGAGTAACACGGTCAATGTTTTGCAAGTCTAAGTGAGTAACGTGTGCTAAGTTTCACTAAGTAACATGATAACACGTTTTATTTCGCAAAAAGTAATTTATTAAACGTCTCAGTTTATTCTCGTAGTCTGGTCTCACGCCCATGCCTGCACCGGAGTATTAATTATCGAGTCACACGAGTCTTCTATGGCCGCGTCCTGAGAACGTGATGCTGAAGACGTCTTTGAAGGGCTCAATTTAATTAAATTTTGATTGAATTTAGTGCTGCTCTGAACGTTGCTCTGACTCGCGTACTCTGGGCACCGCTGCTGTCCTGCTCTTGTCATTGCTCTGAATATTTCTGCAGCCTCCCTGATAGCATCGTTGACGCTCCGAGTATGAACGCCTTCAAGAACAGACTAGTCGAAGCTATGCAGGAGCATATGTTCAGTCTTAAAATGCCTAGCAAATTACGGATCAGGCAATAAGTCCAGCAGCTATCTCAATCAATCGTCAGTCTTAGTAGTGTGGCACACTGTGAGTAACTATGCAACTCTGACACACTTTGCAGCGTGTAGCTTTGGTGAGTTATTTGCCACTGTAATTTGGTGAGTAACTCTGTAATGAGTCACTCTGACGAGGAAATCTGAATGTGCAAATGTTCAGCTTCAGAGAGTAACTGTACAGCCACACAATGTATCAGAAATATAATATTATATATTATATTATATAATATTATATTATATTATATTATTTTGCACAATATTATAACCAGTGCGCTGATGTAAAATAAACATATTTCTCGGGTTTGGTGGAGACCCAACATCATTTGCGGCTATTACCGTTTAATTGTTTTATTCAACAACTACTAAACCAACATTAATGAAATTATTACAGGCACTGCGCAAAAGCAAGATTAGCACTATGCCTGAGTTTGGTGGAGACTTCATTTATGACAGTTATCGGTTAATTAACTAATGCAGGGACTACTTAATCCTGACACTGAAATTATCACAGCCGCTGCATTAAGAGCATTTTTGCAGCTGGTTACATTTTTACATTACGCTTCGGATATCAATAAAATTTTAAAATATAAAATCAAAACAAGGCAAACGTTAACGTAAACACATCAATGAAGTACGTTTTTTGATTGTATTTAGGTCGGTTAAAAATTCATATATTTTTGCGCAAGTTAGCGTTAGGTTTCATTGCGTTTTTTTTTCAATGTTACTCATGCAGTTACAGTGAATGTTGAGCTGGATTTAGTTAGATTAGGATAGTTTAGTTAGGTTAGCTTAGATCAAGTTTAATTGTGTTATGTCACTTTAGCTCGGTTATGTTCTGAGAACTTGTGCAAGAGAATTCGCTTTTTTGCGAAACGACTAAACCCACATACGTGGAAATTTGCAGTCAGTGCATTAAGTCGTTTATGAATTAGCTAATTATACGATAACTGCTACAAATTAGGTTAGATCTCGTTGCACCAAACTCGAAAAAGTCAGCTATTTGCTTCACTTAATTAAGAACGCGAGCAGACATGGATAGTAGCGTACTTTAAAGAGGGAAGACAAGCTGTCTCATCACAGTGCAGCTTCCAAAGAAATTAAGTTTGGTTTGTTTCTTAATTAGGAGACCGCAAAGCAGTTTTAAAAATTCAGCATTTGTTTCAAGGTATGAACATAAGAAACCAGCAAGGCAGGAGTTCAAACGTCAAGGAGTTTTTTACTGGCAGGCGTTTTTTTCTAAAAACCCTTACAGTAAAGAAAAAAGTCGGAAATAAAAAATGGCAAACGTTCTTTAAAAGTTGCTTTGCTTTATTAATTCAAAATGTTACCGTCCATTACTTTTTTGTAACGAGACTGAAAACAATCAATATAAATAAACGCAGGTTACAACAACTTTAAACTTCTTGTCAAAGTAAGAAGCTGCTATTGAAGATTACTATAGACTGGAGCGCAGATAATACGATGCTTTGAATTGATGATTCGATGTTATTCTATAACATTTTTGAAACTAAAATTATAAGTTTTACGACGTAAATGCGCAAGACCTTGAGTTAATGCAAAAATTTATTTGATACTAAGCCATTACTGGAGAGCTTTACAATATGCTAAAAGCTTCGCATGAGAAAAGAGAGCCTTGAAATCTTTAAAATAACCAGCATTATCAACATGGTTTCAAATTACCATCAAGCTTTACCACGATGCAGTAAATTATCGTTGTGCGATGTCATGGTGCAAAAAATCAATCTGCGACAAAACGATTTTCGCATTACTCTTTACGGTTAGTAATTTAGTTATCGTTGCTCGAAATTCATATCAAATGAGATTATTGGTCATACACACATACGACAGGAATTAACGGCCAGGAATTTTTATTTGTAAATAGCTGGCCAGGCTCACAAAAAAAAAGCTTATCAAATTGCTACTTATTATATATATTGCAATAATATTCGAGCGTTTGGCATTCTTTTGCAGCTACACAGTAAAACGAACTAATGCGGCGTCCGAACTTTTTTCATTTGCGTCGTTTCGAAATGAAAATGGGAACAATTTTTTACGATGCTTGAAGTTTACTGTAAGTGTGAACTTTTGTCGCGGCATTCGAAGTCCAAGATAGAAAGTTTTCTACCAGAGGGGCGTACATGTAATCCGACTTTTAAGAGTTTAGCAGAGAATCATATAGCTTTGATACAGAATCTTCACTGGCTAGAGTTGAGAAATGTACAACTGATCGCCGGAGTTAGAGAAGGCTAAGTTAGTCACTACTGATTTTCAAACATCAGATCCACTTTTCTGACTTTGGCAAGGCTGAGTTTCTCACTAAAATTGCACACTGCAACGTTACCAAATTGACAAACTGCTACGTTAATCGTTAAAGCCTTACACGGCACAATGCACATGTCACTCCCAGGTACGCGTACCGGACAAAGAAGGCAGGACTGGTCAGTGTCCAGCGCAACACTTCCACGGACTCTAACACGTCGTGTAACAACAGCACGATCAGCCAGTACGGGGGCAGTACGAACAGCATAGGTGACAGCATCAGGGCTCTCAGCACGGCATCTGTCACCCCCATGAGCACCCATGAAGCCTCGAGAGAAGGTGCCACGTCCCCGTATGGCCGAGCCCCAGAACAAGGGGCGGGCGTCAGGAAGAACCTGCATGCTGGAGGCTCCGGTATGGGGGCTGAGGAGGCCGTCGAGAAGCTGGCGAGGATGACCCTTCAGCTCAGCCTCGACCTGCAGAATGGCATCGACTACTACGAACATTCCTTCGAAAAGTGGGTGCAACTTTATGAGGAATTATTCTTTATAGATAAATACATACTTTTTTTAATAATAGCACAGTTATATTCTTTCCAAATAAATACACAGTTTTTTAATAATAGCACAGTTATATTCTTTACAAATAAATACATAGTTTTTTAATAATAGCACAGTTTGTGTATTGTTTTGAAACTCATGACCTAGAGTCATGATTATTGTAGTTAAGGAAAACTGGATCTCATGATTTAATCGCCTTATTGATCAACTTTCGGTATAATTGAAATCAATAATTAGGAGCAATCTGGTATATTAGTAATTAGGTATGATTTGAAATCACTAGGAAAGAAGTCATTTATCTGAAAGAATTTATATAATTTTTCTGTTTTATAACTTGCATCAGTTTTCTTTGCATTTGTGAACAAAGGCTCAACTATGTATTTTCAGTCCTGGTGCCGCATACTTTAATTAATTTTTAGACTAAACAAATTAGAATTTCAAAGTTTTTATGACAAAGTAAAAGAATGCTGATGGCGCGCTGCTTTCTACTAAAAGCAGAGCTTTGTAAAGCGAAAGTTTCTTCTTGCTTCCATCTTTTGTACTTAACCTGCACGCAAAAAAATAAATTCGTCATATTGTCCGAATGGTGACACACCTTCTTACCCGTGGCACAAGCACGTAGTCTTGATACGCCCTTTTGCCGGGCTAAACTTCGTCAGGAAGAATCATTCAAGGGCAAAAATGTATCGTTATTCTGACCAAGTCTCACACATTTCTCTGAGTAGGTGCCGTCTATTCTTCCACTCGAGAACCCGTCTCTGGTTTTCCGGCTTTTATGCTGATGGAATAAATTCAACTTCCGCGGAAATTTTCTGCAAAATTTTTCTTCCAAGGTTCTGGGTTTCGGATTAAAAATTTGGCGCAACATGAAAACTTATTTCGATACTTGGGCTAATAACTCGGAACTCTTTTGCTGAAATGTCACTTCTTACCAACCAGGGCACAAGGCTAGGTCAAAATGTTTCAAACCATTTCTGCGCATTTGGTTTTATATATGCGTCGTTTATTTATGTTCTTGGATAATTTCTCATTTCCATTTTACCTATTTTTCTTCAATGGAAATTTAGTGTAAAAGCGTTTTGTAAAAGAATTCAGATCAAAAATTATAACGATTGCGATGTATGCTTTCAATGCTGAAGATATAACTCATTTCATATCGAGGTAGAGTTTCAGATTAACATCTCAAGTTTTTATAAATTTATTAATACTGTTTTTTCCAGCTTAATGTTTACCTCAGATTTTATGAATGTTTTGTGAGCTAAAATTTATCTAAGGTGTTCTAACAACTCTTGTGATCCCGCTTCCTCTTTGGTGGTTTACTTTCTTGTTAATCAAACCTGAGATGATTTCCCTCGTGATCTTTAGGCTGACTTGAAAGAAAATTAAGATCTTTGATGTCCTTAGATCCCTGCGCATCCCGTACGTCAACACCCTCTACCGCATCTGGGAAAAGCAGGTGAGTTTTTCGACACCGGCAACATAAAAAAGTTTAAAATACAAGCTCGATATCAATTTTTACTCAGATTTGGAAGTTGTCAGTATAATTTGATATTTAAATTTTTTTGTTTAATTCGATACTGAACGGAACACGCGATGCAGTTTTTGTGTAAAAATATGGTATTCAGTCTTTTAGTTCTATTATTGATACTATCTCTTATGTGATACTCGCTTTAATAGCTATCGATAAAGCCTACTTCATCGCAATCTTTTCTTTCCGTTTAAATTTATAAAAATTCATTTGCCAATGAATCGCTATTTTCTATAAAATCAATTCTTAATGACCGAGTGTGGAGCAGTTGGAAAACTTCTTCGTGAATTTTTAGATGACGAATAAAGTCTACGGAATGTCGTGAGAATATTTAATTTACTCACAAATTTTTTTCATGTATAAATAAAGTCTACGGAACATTCTAAGAACATTTAAGTTACTTACGCATTAGTTCCTGTTCTTGAATATCACGGTTGGCCCACCGAGACCGTTGTTGATTGTAGTGTTCATCAAGCACCATAAGTGTGAAGATAGAGGCTTGACCAAGGATATCTTTTGTTTGAATTTTCGGTCATGTGATGAAGCCATAAAAAGCTCTTCACAAAAGTTGCCATGTCTAATCATGATGAGCGCGTAATTAAAATTACCCGCGTCTTCTGTCGTCGGGTCAAGTCTCGAGCAGAACTTCAGAAGCTCCATTAAAAGTTTGTCTTGCTGCCGCCTCAAGGCACCAGTCAATTTCATGACAAACTCCTGGAAATTAATTATGGTTGCCTCCTGTCCCGACCAGTTTACTGGCTCCCGTTATTCACGGAAGACATGAATGATAATCTTTTCATCGTGAACCTGGCTATGAATTACACTTCCGCACAAGTGCAGTCGCTTAGATTTAAATATCATAGCTCGAATTGCTTTGCTGAAAAGCGGACTGAAATATGAAAAATACAAAAAAAAAATTCAACAAATGTTACTTTTTTCTCTTGTGCTCAGTGACTCAATTTACATTGTTGAAAATTATGCACGTAAAACAGATTTCATTATAATTCTGTTTATACATTAGTAAACCAAATTGGTGGCTTCGGAAAGACAGTTTTCACTTGAACTGGTCTGAATAAATAACCAAATTTATATTTTTTTCTAGCTAACGGAAAACACCTTGAGGATCCTCAGTGAATATCAGGTGAGTTGTGTGAAAATTATTTAACATAGAACATAAATTTTACAGCATGTTTAAATTATTTTTAAATTATTTAACATTCAAACGTTGCTCATCCGTCAAGAAGCTTGCTTACGCTTCTAACGTAACAAGCCTAATTTTTTTCGTGGTCTTGGTGTAAGGCTGGTAAATTTTTAGCATTTTATTCTTATTAGACACGGAGAATAGGAATAAAATTGACCGTTTTACAGAGAATAATCAGGATATATTAATTGCCCTTTGGTATTGAGATATGTCAATCTAATTAATAGAAGTACAAGTAAACGAAGGTGCTAGCCGACGAGCCTGTACACTGTACAGCACTCTCTGTACACTGTACACAGGGCGCTGTAACATTAAGAAAACTGTCGAAAACCGATGACGATGAGTTCAACTCTACGACTTGCAAATGAACGATGGTAATGAAACTTGTCCAGTTATCAACAACGTGTCACTGCCAAAGACGCCTCATTACGTTACAAATCAACTGAACTCTCCAGACCTGCTGCCAACGTCTCGTTAACAACGCCGTGTCAAGTCTGTTGTTCGCTAACGAGCCTAAGAAGCTTACGAGTTTCTGGTGCCTCCGTGTGGCCAAACTGCGGCCGTCGTGTGATGCTGTAGCACTCACATAAATAGATGGGCGATATTGTCCAAATAATGACACACTTCCTGCACGTAGTACGGATTAGGATCAGGTTGACTCGCGTAGCTGGACTAAGTTAACTCAGGCAAGAATAAACCGTGCTACTTGGATATGTCTCACTCAAAACTGTGATGACAGCGTAAAATGATATTTATACTGCCATATTGTTGTTAAACTCTGCTAGGTTCTCCCTCCAGAAACTTGCTACGCCTGGTAATAGTTAGGTTTCTCGTAATCCGCGCACAACGATCAGATCCTGTCTCAATGAAAAAAGCATAGAACACAGTTGCGATAAAAATATTACCTTTTTTTTCTATTTCACTTGGTATGTTAGTCATTATATTGATGATTATGCATCATACTCGCTCTCTGCATGCAGTTCGCAATGAACGAAACGACAACAGACACTTTATAGCCCTATTGTGTGGTGAATACATTCAATGTACGTGCTCGTTGCCGTAGGTGTGGTGTACTAAAAAAGGTTTTCTCGTCGTAGCGCATGTGATATAATTATGGCATTACACAGTAATAAAAAATTTCATCATCAAGTGCTTTTTTTTTCTTGAATAAAGCAAGGTGTAAACACGTCAATGTTTCATTTTTTATTTCCCAGCGGGGAGAAAATCTGGAGGTGAGCGAAGCGGCCGTGTGGAACCAGTGCGCCATCCTGACGGAAATGGAGCTGAGCCGCGAGCCGGAGCCGCTGCCCACCTCCTGCTCCCCGGCGCCCTTCATCCTCTACCTCGCGCTCGCTGAGTTCTCCAGGTAACTCGTCTTATCTCAGTGCAAGACCAGCAAATGAATTCGGTTGTCTGGCCTTTATTTTATAAGGGTTTGCGATCAGGTTCTGGCTTTTGAAAAATATTCATTAACATAGTTAGAAACATTAAAATAGTTAAAAAACTCATAGAAATGTATGTGCCATTGTCTGCGAATTGGCGATCATTGAGCACTTGCGATCATCATACAACTGACGGTCATCTAGCACTTGAAGTCGTCATATCATTAATTTTTTCTTTTTTGCTACCTAGTCATTAAAGACGTTGTTTGCGTTATTGGTCAATGCGGCTTCGTAAACGCTGTGATGACAGTGAAGTATTCTACTGAAGTTCTATTGTGAAAATTTCCGGTAAACTGTCGCAGTGAAGTATAGCTGTTAAGTGTTACTGTGTGTGTGTAATTAAGTGTGTAATTTCATTGCAAATTCTAGGAAAATTTATTCATGAAATGAGTCAGAGCCTTAGTCTAAGATTCAGCTTGAGCCATAACAAGAACCACCGTAATACGAGCAATATAGCGAGACACACTACGAGCCACGACACGAGCCACAACACGAGCCACAACACGAGCCTCATCACGAGCCTCATCACGAGCCACAACGTGAGCCTCTACATGAGCCACAACACGAGCCTCATCACGAGCCGCAGTACGAGTCACTACATGAGCCCTAAATCACTACGAGTGAGCCCTAAGTCACTACATGAGCCCTAAGTCACTACCCCTAAGTCACTACGAGTCACTATGAGCCGGAAGCACGCCTCTAGGTTGCACCCCGCCACTGAGCCGAGGTGTCACAGGTTCCAGGAGCACCTGACGGGGAGCGGTGAGTGCTCGCGCACGACGACGGGCCTGACGCTGGGGTGCGTGTGGCGGCAGTTCAGTCCGTCCGTGAGCTGCTGGCTCGACCACACCTGCTACACCGTCCTCGTCAGGATACGGCGAGCCATCCTCACTGACAGGGTCGCTAACACCGGCGAACCTGTGCAGGTAGATTCTTCTACGTGACTGTCTTACTTATTTGTGCCTCAACATCTAGTATTTCGTCCTTGACTGCATCCTACTTATTTATGCCTCAACATTTAGTTTTTCGTCCTTGCCTATCCTACTTATTTATAACTAAAGATCTAGTTTTTCGTTCTAGACTGTCCTACTTATTTGTGCCTAAACATCTAGTTTTTGGTCCTGGACTATATCCTACTTATTTATGCTGAAAAATCTACTTTTTTGTCCATGACTATTCTACTTATTTATGCTTTATATTATTAACATGTGGTCCTCATCTAACTCAACCTGATGTTTGAGAAACTACTAGCCGTTAATCTAGAAACCACTAAATGTCATGTTACATGCAAATCGATTCTTTTGAAATATATCAGTACATACAGGGTTAAGATATTTATATTCTACCAAGAGCTCTGTAAACTTTGCGTCAGTACACGACGTCGGCGGTGGACGTGACGTCTTGTTTCTACCACGTCAAGACCTTCTGGCGCCACCTCGCCTGGCCAGACCCTTCCTCAGCCTACAACCTCATCCTGAAGATCATACAGGCAAGTCCCCTCCCGCCTCGGCGGTGGACGTGACGTCTTGTTTCTACCACGTCAAGACCTTCTGGCGCCACCTCGCCTGGCCAGACCCTTCCCCCGCCTACAACCTCATCCTGAAGATCATACAGGCAAGTCCCCTCCCGCCCCCCGCCTACAACCTCATCCTGAAGATCATACAGGCAAGTCCCCTCCCGCCCCATTAATTATAATGGTTGCCGTTTCGACTTTTCGAAAGTTATTCCTTTTTATTGTAATGATTAGCGAATAAATAATGATTTTAGTTTTTATAGATTGTTTCGTTTCGTGAGACGCCTTATAAAAAACACAATTTTCAGTGATGTGCGTAAATTTTTGTGATGATGGGGTGAACAAAGAACTCCCCACCACAGTCTTTATCCCTCATAAGGTCCGATTATATTATTACTGGCAATAATTCTTGGTGTTTAACACCTACGAATTTTCTATCGATACCCAAACCACAATCCATCCTAAACAGTAATAGCGTGTAGCTAGTTTATCCATTTCTGGCAACTTAGATTTTTTTGCTCGAAGCACTAAAAACCGTACGTTAGGTGCCAAAGCTGTTTATCATCATGAAACGTTTCACGCAGCTGATATCAAAAACTTCTAACAATGAATTTTTTAAGCAATTGTTATTTTAAACGGTTCATCATAAGCAAAGGTTTTCTCACAGCCGACATGCTGTAAACGTATGCTAGATAATTATTATAAGCAATCTTTCACACAGAGCTCTGATGCCATAAGCTGTTTATTACGAGTATAATGGTACGTTTCACACAGCTGATAACACAAGCTCATCACAAAAAAATATAACTCAGTACTCACTGCAGTGAGTGACAGAGAGCGCATTTTCTCGTCGACGAAAACGTGAAGTCACGGACAGACAGACAGACAGACAGACGGACAGACGGACGGACGTGGCAAGCACAATAGGGCATTTTTTCCATAAATGAGAAAATGCGCTAAAATATTTTCGCCACAGCTGATAACACAAGCTCTTATCACAAGAAATATTTTCCCCACAGCTGATATCGCTGGCGGCCGAGTACTACGTAAGCCTGCTGCAGCAGCGGCTCCTGACGCTGCCCAACGACACCGCGGAGGACCAGCGGGCACAGCAGCTCTGCATCACCGTCAACAACATGGAGCACGTGCGACACTCCTACACGCTCCTCGAGGAAGATCTCCAGGTCTCCGCAGTCTCTGCTATAAATTAGCTATTTTAAACACGAGTCACGCAAATTTTTGGATGGGCTGCATTGTCGCTTTTCGCTCAAGCATTGAGATGCAACACTCCACATTTAATGATAGAATCTTGAAAATGAGATTTTATCAATGATTATTCATAGAACAACTGATCATTATTCAATGAGAAAGAAAGATTACGGTTTTAAGAATGAAAGATTAAGGTTTCCATTTTAAAGCTCGGCTTGTATTGTCTCAGATTATTCATTGATCATTTTGAATGAGGTATTAAGGTAACCAAGATTAGTTTCCTTGACGAAAACTGGCGCTTCGAACAGAATGATTTATTGGTGAAGGATGTATTTTTTGGTAAATTTTCATCACGAAACTCTATATATTGAGATAGTACGAGCTTTCTCATATGTACACTTCGACTCACTGAGGCGGAAGATATGTGGACAAATTCCGTAAAATCTCAAACTGTGAACTGATGTGCGTTGTCGGCTGCCGCACTCTGAGAAATCCGTGAGACTTTGTCAAATAGCGATGAACTTTTTACTTTTACTCTGTGCAGGGTCACCCTGATTGACGTGACAATAAGGAGTAGGATGAAAAAATGCGTCCCCATAAATAGCGATGAACTTTTTACTTTTTACAGGTCACCCTGACTCAGATTGACGTGGCAATAAGGAGTAGGGTGAGAAATTACGTCACTATATGCAGAGTAATACCCAATTCCTTTTTCCGCGTACAGATCAACGAGCTGAGCAAGTGCCTAGAAGCGGAAGACCCACAGAACGGACGTGCGTGGGGCGACCATCTGATCGCGCTGCTACAGTCCGGCCTCAGCGCCCTCGACGCCAGGATCGGCGAGTCCATGTTGCCCGTCAGTGACAAGGTAATTAGCATGTCATTATAACCCAAATGGTGTTACAAATTGCTTCGTACCTGTGTCTATTTTGTGCTAAAAAAGTTCTCATTTGAAAATAATTTCATTGCGTCTGGTAAAATTCAGTCGTGATTCGTTTCGCCGTTTTACCCTGCAGAACGATGACGTTCCAAAGCATTCATAACTAATAAACTAATCTGAAATTGACGTTACCTGACGTTCTGAAATTGACGTTATGATCTTTCTTGCCCCTTCGTTTCTCGTGACCCCAACATTGCTGCAGTTCCGCACCATATTTTTGCGCTCTTAATTTTGATCGCTTTTATATAAGTTTGTTGGTCTTGAAGATGCGGCAGGAGCTGCAGCGAGACGTGTTCCACTTGGCCTGGTCGCCGGACTCCCTACCGGCGCGGGAGGCCGTACGTCCGCTCCTGGAACACCTCCGCACGGCGCTCACCGTCTACGCCGCCGCCCTCCTCAAGAACAACCTGGACCGCCTCCTGCACCTCCTGTGGCAGGCGGTCCTGCTTGCACTCACGCACCAGATCACCAAGGACTCCGAGGTTGGTTCTATTTATAAATATGTACTCTGAAACCTGCCGCATTCTTGAGTAACAACATGAACCGAATCTCCCAGGACTCGGGAGGTGGGTTTTTCTGTAACGTCAGCTTAACCTTCGTGAGACTGCATAAATGTACTACTTTACAATCATACCGAGTGTAGTTATAGATTTACCTCTGCAGTCCGGCAAGGTTAAAACAACTCAAACAGTTATGTTCTGCAAGTTATGCAAACAACCGGTTTTGCAGAGGTCGTTTCTTAGTTCACCAAGGTTTCCGATGTAATCGCTGGTTGTGCTCGAAATATGCGTTCGTAAGTTCTTTGCGAGTAACTAAACTGCTTTCGTTGTCAAGAAGAAAATCCGCATTTATTACTTGGAAGCCAAAATCTAAATTTAGGTTTAATATTAAAGTTCAATATCTTTGTATTTAAATCCATAAATGAAGCTTTTAAGAAAACTCTGCTTGAAATTTTAATTTAAAAATCAATCAATTTGAAATGGGATGCATTCTCCATATGAAATCTGAATCTCAATTTATAAATGACAATTGGATGGGCTGCATTGTCGCTTTTCGCTCAAGCATTGCGATGCAACACTCCACATTTAATTGCAACTTGAATAGTATCAAGAGAATTTTCTGTCTTGATAATTACACTTGAGGTCGCTGTATATGTTGTAATCTTTTTAGTGTTAGAAGTAGTCTGATCGATTCGCAATCAAATCATAATATCAGGTAATTATACTTTTTGAATTTTTTTAATGTTATGTGTCACTTCGTTGACTGCTTTTTAGATAGAATTTTTATGACTTCGTTAACTGCTTTTTTTAATAGAATTTTGACGCTTCGGTCAAACGAATTACATATATACATTCAACGCTTTTATCATATGCATGTCATGTGTGTAAATTACCTTATCTCTTTATCTTTAAATCATTTTCCTTTGCAGTTATGCCAAGTTCTCCAAAAAATTTTCGTTGTCTGCAGGAAATGTAAATCAAACGAAGTGAAAAGAAAGTTCTTTGATGATATGTGGCTCGTTTTACTATGTCTTGGCTTCGTTCTTTTTGACGTTCTTTTAATGTCTTAGATGCCCACTTTTTCTGTTAGAAAAGCACTTATTATGAAGAAAAATTTGATGTTACAAATTACCTAAATTGGTTAAGTGATGTTTCTCATTTAGAGCATGTATGGTTTCGGTGCTTACTGATGACTAGGCTAGAGTTTCCAACAATTTGAGGCTGATTGTTTTAACTGTTCTATGTGCTTGCCAACGACCAAGACTAAAATTTCCTACCATTTGAGGCTGATTGTTTCTAATTGTGATTGCTAACAATCTTCGTGCTTTGTTTTCCCGGTCATTGTCTCAGGAGACTTCTGAGGAGGAAACTACGGTGAGTGCTCACTGTTATATTATCTAATAATTCACTTCAAAATATTACGAACCGCCGCATATTATTCCTCTCTGATTAACCTAACACGGCTTATATTAATCTTTTCTAATGAAAAAGATGCTCAGTTTATAATATTCAATCTTCACCGTGCTATTATTCCTTGTCCTTCACCAAGTTCTTCAATTAACCATCGCTTGCACTTCAATTTGTGAAATTTTTATCTTTCACATCTTCGATAAAGAACTCAATTCACAGCCGCAGTAGCGCTTCGATGCAAGCTTTTATGCGACTGATTTTTTCTAAATCCTTTGGGCATCCACCTTTTCATGGAAGCATGAACTTGAAACTTTTTTTTTGTACATGAACGATTTATTCGTAAATTAATAAAACAGCGTAGATTGGTACAAAAAAATAGAGATTACAAACTTATTTTATGCAAAAAAAATTGATCTAAAATCTATCTCATCTAACATGAGATCTCCACATTTTTTCTCGAGTTCAATAATATTGTTATATCTCCTTCACATTTTTCCTTGAGTTTGATAATAGGTACTGTTAGATTTCCATTACATTTTTCCTTGAGTTTAATAATACTGTCAGATTTCCTTCACATTTTTCCTTGAGTTTAATAATACTGTTTGATTTCCTTCACATTTTTTCTTGAGTTTAATAATACTGTTAGATTTCCTTCACATTTTTTCTTGAGTTTAATAATACTGTTTGATTTCCTCCTCATTTTTCCTTGATTTTTCGCACTTATACACTTTTCACATTTTGTAATTGAAAAGACTACATTAGTAACCTGACCCTCCTCCTCCAGGAGAAGCAGAGCGCCTTCTTCCTGCGTCTGTACGACGCGCTGACGCTACTGAAGGAGTTCTTCCACGCGGGAGGGCGCGGTCTCGAGGCTGCGGTGCTCGAGTGTCAGGAATACGCCATCGTCGAGACGCAGCTCAGGGTGAGGTTTTAATTCAAGTTAAATAATATAAACAATTTTAAATTATAGAAGTTGAAACTGATGTCCCTAGATACTCTTAGTTTATGATATAAAATCCAACATTATTTGTTTGACATTAATGATGCCAGTGTCCGGAGTGCGCGTTCGTCGAGACGCAACTGAGGTTGAGATATTAATTTTTACGAATTTTCAAAGAATTAAAAAAATATGTTTGGTATCCCGTGCTTAACTGTCATGTTGACAGCAAAAATAACCATTATCACTAACACCTTCACTAACACCATCACTAACCATCACAGCTGCACAAGACGACCACCTCAGCACTGATGGAGCGCTACTACCTGGAGCGTCTGCTGCTGCAGGAGCGCGCGGAGGGCCACCAGTTCGGCAGCCTCTTCGTCAGGGTTTACTTCAACCACGACAGCCTCTGTGTCGAGATCCTGCAGGCCAGGAACGTCATCCCTCTTGACCCTAATGGTAAGGATGGACAATGGTGTGGCCGGGAATTAAATAATTAGATTGGAATAATCGGTTAAGGGCGGTCGGTAAGGGCAGCGGTCTGAATTCACGTAACGGTCTTGGTACACGTAGCTGCCTATAGGTACACTATTCGTGTACCATTAAGTTTAGTTTTAGAATAGAATAGAAGTGTCGGCGTTGAAGAAATAGGCCCATGGCCTGTTGCCGATTCTTGTACTTTTCGTGACTTGATTCACAAGGGATCCGGCTTTGGAACCCGATCTTTCCATAGCTGACGATTGATTGAGATAGCTGCTGGACTTATTGCCTGGTCCGTAATTTGCTAGGCATTTTAAGACTAAACATATGCTCCTGCATAGCTTCGTCTAGTCTGTTTTTTTTGTAGGATTTCAATAGAGAATTCTGAGTACTCTACTGACTTCGGTTCCATGTTTTGCTTCTATGTTGAAATAAGTGATGCGGGTATCGTTTCTCACGAATAACTGTATTGCAATTTCTCTCAGGACTGAGTGACCCGTTCGTGGTAGTGGAGCTTGTGCCCCGACGTTTGTTTCCCACGTGTTGCCCCCAACACACCAACGTTCACAAGCGCACACTCAACCCACTCTTCGACGAATGCTTCGAATTGTGAGTCAGGCTTCATTTAAATTCGTGCTGTATCCATTCAAAGTTTTAACTAATTCGTGAGATTGACGAAAGTTAATAAGTACAATTCCTGTAAAACCTGCATCAAACAGTAGTGAAGTTTCTAATGACTATCTCATCAAAAACAATTAACTTGAATATACGTTAAATGAATGACAGTACTGTCAATTTTCACCTGGAATGTTTGTTTAACTATACTATTGCACATTCGCATTGATTATATTCACAAATTTTCGCAGCCATATCTTTGCATGAGTTGTAGCTGTATTTGATCGGTATCATTAACAGTTGCTAGTAACAAAAACCTCCTGTGTGTTCCATTTTTTTCGTTCATGCTTACTTAGGACTAGCGGTGTCATCGTTAAATAGAATGAATCTGAACTGTCGCCAGTTCTTGACATCGAAAAATTCTTACAGTTCCCTGGGGTTTCGAACCCGTCTCTCACTGCTTCAATCTTGCTATTGGCAACCACTCAACCACCTCGCCGATTTCTACCAGAACTGTTACAAGAATTTGGGATCGAACCCACTACTCCAATCCCGGTTCTCTGAACTGTTATCAATCGGGCTTGCTGTTTACAGCCCAGCAACGCTGCAGAGCTGTCAAGCAGAGGACGTTATGATCGTTCTTATTTTGTGCTCACTTTGCTTGCTGTTTACAGCCCAGCGACGCTGCAGAGCTGCCAGGCAGAGGGCGTTATGATCGTTCTTATTTTGTGCTCACTTTGCTTGTTGTTTACAGCCCGGCGACGCTGCAGAGCTGCCAGACAGAGGGCGTTATGATCGTTCTTATTTTGTGCTCACTTTGCTTGTTGTTTACAGCCCAGCAACGCTGCTGAGCTGTCAAGCAGAGGACGCTATGATCTTTCTTATTTTGTGCTCACTTTGCTTGTTGTTTACAGCCCAGCAACGCTGCAGAGCTGTCAAGAAGAGGGCGCTATGATCGTTCTTATTTTGTGCTCACTTTGCTTGTTGTTTACAGCCCAGCAACCCTGCAGAGCTGCCAGGCAGAGGGCGCTATGATCGTCTTCACGCTCATGGACCACGACGTGATCACCTGTAATGACTTCGGTGGGGAAGCGTTCCTCTCCCTGAACACAATCCCCGGTGTTGCCTCCTCCTCGACAGGAGTTGATACCCTGCACGGCCTCAAGCCCATCGAGCTCGCGCTCATGTTCCGCAACGATCCTGGTGAGGCAATTCAAAATGAAAATGAAGTGCGATTTTAGTCAAGGGTTAGCGTTAGAAATTCGAATGAAAATTCAAGCTTTAAAAAAAATTGAAGCCAAGACTTCCCTTGCGGTTACGATAATTCAAGGCTTAGAGTTTTATCCTTTCTTGTTGATAAATTTTGTAGATTTTCGTGTGTTTGTTCGCGCAGACAACCTCATCCTGAAGGTGCTGGAGACGCGTGTCAACGACAAGATAGCTCAGGAGTTCGTCAAGAAACAGAAGCAGCGACTTATTTCCAAAATACCGTAAGCTACCGCCTCCCTGGAAATCCACGCTGCTGACACTCATAGTCATGATCGTGAGATCGTTGTATGCGGCGTGACCTCAGGCGTTGTAGTCTAAACAACTCGACGGTTGAGATAACCGTCTCATTTTGTGTTCCCTGCGTTGATGATACCACTCATCGATTATTTTAATGCTAATCTAACTTGACTCTGAAATTTCTACTGAAACTCTTCTCTGTGTGTCGGCTGTTTGCCAGTCTTTTACAAACTTTGCATCTAATAGTTATGTATTTAACCCGTTCAAGTTTGGACAGATTATAATAAAACCCTGCATGTTTACACAGACTACGCTGCAAACCTATTGCCCAATACTGTCATGAATAACCATGGCGTTCGTTGATATCCCTTGAATTAATGGCACTCTATGATTCAAAGTACCTTCAAGTAAGCATTGTAAATGAAAGTGATTGATGAAGTCATGAAGGTGTTTGACGGTTCATTTCTTTCGTGAAATATGGTATAGAAATGTTATTAGAGATCTTTCATTCATCTTCACAGTTGTGAGCTTAATAAGATTTATCATCTTGTTATCTGGTATATCACATCTGGTTTATGGAATTCACCATGATCGAGGAGATGCTATTAATAAACTTTTACTTGAACTGATCGTTACTCTGCACGAATATTTACTCAGTAATGAACTAACGCATGGTTCCTTCTGGATCACATTTAAGAGTAGGAAAGTGTCTCTTTAGCGTGGAAGTTGACTCGCGCTCTGTTGCTCTGCTGCAATTAACTTCGCTAAAACCGTGTCTTTTCTATACACTAAGAAATAATCGCTTGTGATATCACAATGTTTTTACAATTTTTAGGAAGTATGTGCATGTGATATCATAGTTTGTACATACCTGTCGCCTTCTGAAGCACACATCACTCGCTCTCGCACGCCTTCTCTCCCGTCCTTCTGCTTTGTGTACGGTCTCTTAACCCTAACAAAATTTAGAGTCGCCCCAGCTTCTGGTAATCCAAATCAGAAGCTGCCGCGTCTGTAAATTTTCACAGGGTTAGTACTGGAGCGTTTGCTGCGCTCTACTGTTTCTTATAACATTTTATGTGATCTAACATATTTATCTACTCATATCTTGGAATGTTGCTGAATACCAATAAATATTTTAATGTTTTTTAGAGGAAACAATCTATCTGTAGACAAACTTGCCTCCCAAGCTATTTTAGCAACTTTAAACCACCAACCGGATAGATATTGAGTTTTCAAAAACGCTCAAGAATATTACGAGTATATTATTGAATCCGAATTCGAATAATGCAATTAAATTATTGTATCTAAAAAATCCAACATCAAAGTAATTCAGAGACCTGAAGTGCATAGACCTATAACGGCTCAATGACTTCTGTATACTTGGCTTGAGCCTTTGAACCGAGATGTGATTCTCCGAAGTCAGTGAGCAATGGATAGCTATAAAAAAATTGCTTATGTGAGAGTCCTGGCAAGGAAGGTCCTACTGCTATGTTCTTTGTACTGTTTCAAACGTATCTTAAGTTAAAACTAGGATAATTTTTGCACTACTCATTAAATTTATTGTACATCATCAACTTCAATCTACACCGATGCGACAATAATCTCTGTACCTTTCATCTCCATGGCAGAACATCACGCCATTTTAAATTATGTATCTGTGCTTTAATGATGAAGCCGATCAACACTACCAGAATCATTTCTTGCAACCACAACCGAAATATAGTATTGATTTTCTCTACATTGGAAATTCTGGCGTGTCTGTACATTTGTGCCTCAATGCATCTCACAATTTCGCCTTACTGCCTTGCAATTCCTCACTTCTCATCTATCAGACTGCAATGGAAATGACTTTTGAGATAAGAAGTTTTATATGTGAAGTTTTGTAGTCGTATTTTAGTTTTGTGTTTGTTCTTCTCAATACTACGTCATATTATTAACATAACTTGCAATATTAAGAGTGTGTTGGTTCCATGTTCAATAGTTTTTCCACACAATTTAATAATAATTCTAGATTATTCTATAAACTAAAAAAATGCGTTGCAACTCATCCGTGCGACAATATTTCTTCTCGCTTCGAGTCACCGACATGTGGAAGTCACCCTTGTTACATCGTTGAGGTTCCGGGTAAAAACACGTTCATGAACAGACTAGATAAAGCTATGGAGAAATATATGTTCAGACTTGAAATGCTTAATACCACATCGAACCCGGTCGAAGTCAAGTTGCTATTTCGAACTATCGTCAGTTTTGAAAAGATCCGGTCAAAGGATCTGTTTTTAGGTCTCCTGTGAACAAGTCGTGAGAAGTACAATAATCAGCGACAGGCCACATCAGGCATATTCTTCAGTGCCAACCTCACTATGATATTTTATTCAACACTTATCATCCCATGAGAACTAAATATGTACTGGTGTTCAATATTACTCTAAGTCTTGATCCTACGTTGAATATAATCAAAGTAAGATATTTATAGCGTGAAATTATATTTACAGTATTTATTAAATATAAGGTCGTTTTTTTGTCTTTGCTTACAGTATATCTCTTTATGTGTGATTGTGTAGCCGTAGTACGTAATGAATCAAATTTATCGATGTTGAATTTATTGTAAAGTGTTGATGAGACTAGCATTTCTATCTTCCCTTCCACTATTGTCCCCTGTAAAAACTGGACTTGTTTCCTTTTATGCAGATATTTGTTCCAAGTACAATATTTTTATGATCTTGTTTTATTTTTGCGAGATTTCTACGCCGGGGCCCTGCCTCATATAGAATAAGATTAATGTAAAAAGATTCTTGACGGTAATATATATGATGTTGTTGTAAGTCTTTAGGCTATTTTCAAACAATGATATATGTTTATAATTGATATATTTTACTAGTAAAAATTTAAAAGGCCGCTAACTTTTGAACTCTACAATGTCACAGCGACTAGTTTTTTACGCAGTTCTACTTAATTTATGGCACTTGTGAAATATTTTATTTCTTTTCATAAGTTCAAAAGCAAAGTTTGCGGAGAAAATGTTTTTTTTTTAATGCTAAATTGAATTGTTTCCAAATAGTTATGCGTTAAATCTCAATCCGCCTCGCATCAATGTCACACTAAACTAGCGCTCAATGGGACGTGTACGGATGGATTGCAATGATTGTGGGACTGTCAACGGGGGTAACTGCTGCTATGATTGAGAGTGGAAAGCGATTTTTGGAGAGTGCTTGGAGTGTGAGGGAGAGGAGGAGGTTGGCTAGAGTGGAGGCTGGGAGGGTGTAAGAAAAAAGCAATACCTAATAATAATAAAACTGAAATAACCAAACCATAATAATATCGCAAATAGTCACTCAGGGCCTAAGAGGCCCCATAGCTAATATAATTATCAAATACACAGTGCAATAATTGACAAATAGCAATAATAAACCAATGAATTTCCCCTTGAACTTCTCTTCCCCTTGATTACTTCTCACCCTTAACACAAACTTTCACACCTCTTCTAAGCCTCTTCTCTTTAATGTTGCTTCCACCTGGCTTGGTCTCCCTTTTCTTCTTCTTACTAACAAATGAAAATGTGATGCGTGGCTGATGGCCGTTGCAAAGGCCTGACCCTGAAATTCTTTTTCTCAGAGTCACCACGCCCCAAATCCAAATCCGGACGTGAGATGAGTGGTGAAGAACAAAGTTTTCAGCGAGTGTACAAAAGAAGAAGCTCTCAAGACTCAAAGGGACATAAAACACCGTCCAATTTTTCGGTGATTATGTTTGTAATTTGCAGTATGCATGTATAATTTAATGCCAACTAACGGATTAGGACAGTTGAAACTAGAAATACAACAATTTATGTGTAATTTGCACGTAAAATTAAAGAATTTTTTACGTGTGGGCGGTGGGGCGACTGGGGCCACTGTATGGTGGGGACTGGGCCCTGGGAGTGAGTGGGAGACCGGAGATGAGTTGCCTTTCACTTGTCTGCACTCTATCAGTCGATGTACAAAGCCTGAATAAGTAATGTGTAAATTCCCAGCACACATTGACATTTCCAACTCCAAGTTGTACTTGTAACAAACTAACAATGACAGGACAGCTTGACGGGGAACTCCTTTTTATTTATTTATTTACCGTTTTAGAAGAATAGCCTACCGTCAAAGGGGCCGTAATAAGGGACAGGCAGGGTAAGTGGGGGCAGGTGTCCCACATTTTGTAGAAGTATTGTAGCAGCTAAACTAATCAAAATATTGCAAAACTAAAAATACCTAGTGGTGTAAAGTTCAACATTTTTACTAGGTATCTATGTAGCATAAACCATAAAACAAATTAAGTAATCATACTGTTCATACATTTAATACCTACCTCTAAAAAATCCCTGAAAAGAAGTGTGAAAAGTGAGATTTTGGAAAAGTAGGTACCTCTGCACTGGACTGAAACAGACCTCAGCTGAGCTCAGCACTCAGCAGAGCCTGCAGAGGCTCTGCTAAGGTCTGTAGCAAAAAAAAATTTCACCATATTAAAAAATTTTACTCACATAAAAGTTACATCCAGGACTGTTGACTTAAAAACATGATTGACAGAATTTGCGTATCTCATTTAAAAAAATGGCGGTTATTTCTGCACAAGGGGCCTGGCAGGCTGCTGAAGGGGGTAGTAGTAGTACTAATAAGGGACACTCCCCCAGGCCCAGGGTAATAAGGGACACCACCCTAAAAATGCATTAACGCTCATTTTACAGTAGAACCTAAGGCCTAAGCTAGCAAAGGCTCCAGTTACCAAAAAATCAATTAACAAAAAAATTTTTGATTACATTTACCTTGCTCAGCAAAAAAATTTATAAAAAATCAATGCATCATTGGTCATTACAAAATTGTCCTTAGAATGTCATAGATAGAATTGTGCATCAGGCAACATAAAATGAAAAGTAATTAACCTAAACTATTATTTATTTCTCAAAAAATATTATGGTTGTCAACTTGTCATTAAAATATTCCTTTTTGTTTCAGGTGTGTTTTTATGATATTTTTTGTTATAGTGAATTCACTTCACCCAATTAAAATGGTGTGAAATTACAAGCTGTCCTGGAAGCTCAGATACAGAAGAAATGCAACATGACTACTGATTGAGGGATACTGAACAGGGATACTAGAGACCACTCTCTCTCAAAGGCAGATGCCGACTCAGCGTACGGAGTAACTTCTTTTCACAGCGAGTAATTAATTCATGGAATAGTCTGCCAGAGTCTGTCATCACAGCACCATCTGTAAACGGCTTCAAGAGCAGGTTCGACAGTTTCTGGAGGGACAACCCAGCCCTGTACAGCCCTTCATGCTACGTGTGATGAGGCTTTGACCATCTTGGAACAGACACCGCAACATGCGCGGTGCTGATAAAAATTGTTGTCGACCAATGAACAGGACCGTCAAGGACCTTAAATTGTATTGTAAAAGTCTGATATGAAGCTTGCAGTGGACAAGGTTGTTGTAAATGCACAATGGCATGTCCATGGATAGAATAATATCACATCAATAATACTATAATGTATGGATATAGTAATATCATATCAATAATGGAAAAACAAGTAAAAAAAAGAAAATGTCATTTATTCTACATCTACAAAGGAAAAGGGGGACTTCAGAGGACTGTTAGTAATCTATGAATACACTTTGCATGCTTCATGAACATTGTAGCGGTTCGATCAACTGGGGTTCCACAAAACCTATGTGGATATGAGCCCCCTTACCCCATGAGACTATCCCACTCAAGATGCTTAGACTGAATTTGGGACAATGAAAAACTGGTGAATACAAACACCCATATACTTAAGACTAAGAACCTAAACAATGACAGTAGAGGATCATCCGCAGGCAGCAAAGTGCATTTTCCAAAATATAATCTAAGCCACCCTAGGGGAGAAACCCTTGTAACGAATTTATGGTATGATCTCCACAACAGCTTGGCAGCTGGGTCCCACACCGACTGCTCCTATCGAATTAACAAATACAACTCTTGAGTCCATTGCCTTTTATGGCAAATAAAGAGGACTCATACTTCAAGTGAATAAAGTTATGATTGAGATTAAATTTATCAAGCAGGTATTAAGCTTCAGCAAGAAGCAGGACAAGTACTCCATACAGTATAGCAAAAGGGAACACAAAGCATAACACAAGACTTAATGCTGTAATGCAAATGTCGAAATGTAAACACTCAAAGCAAAGAAACTCTCACTAACTGTAATAGCAACCAAAGATTTACCAAGATCATAAGCCAAATTGGGTGCAATTTAGTTAAAGCATGACAATGGGTAGGACAGGAAATTAATGCATCATATTACCAGTTCACTGCAACTCACCCTTAAGGAGCGTTGAAGTTGCTTAGGAAACAGGAGTATGTGGAAGAACCAGAGTACCGGCAGTTTAGCAATCAGGATTGGGTGAACAATCACTTCAAGGTAAATTAGAATTCAGGCAATGGATGCAGACATTGATAGACAATCAGGTGCAGATAGGCACAAGCTCAAGCATGACCATGCTGGTGCATGTTAAAGGTAGACTCTTTTTCACTGGCAATACTGGACACATGTATTGGTAAAACCAATAACAAAGATATATGTCTAAAACAAGCACAGAAGAAACACACACATTATTAATAACAAAACAAAATTTAAACCACTCCTTCTAAGGGAGAAAACCAGATGATATTAGGAGGCATGACCTAGAAGTAAGAAAATACACTATGATACAATACAGCTAATGTTCTGCGACCCTCTTCAACATTTTAAAATTAAGTTTTATTTCAAGTGTTCCGGATTACCCCGTTCCCAGGGGTAATTCAGAACGCTTTTATTTTGCATCAGGCACCGTACAAACAGCATATGGAATTTTTAGAGATGCCATTTGATATCCCTTGCAAAGAGCTTTAAAATCAGCCCAAATATGTTTATGAAATGTAGTAAGAAGTTATTAATGAAAAACTCTCAAAACCATCCCTTAGAGTGTGGTAGAGTGTGATTTGACATTGTCTTCATCACTTTTGTGAACTCGACTTGGTAGTTGATTTTTGTCTTTAGATGATAATCAGCCATCAGACCATCAGACTGCCTACCCAGCAAAGTGATAGAAAATATAACTCAGTAGTGACATTACTCACTGCAGTGAGTGACAGAGAGCACATTTTCTTGTCAACGAAAATGTAAAGTCATGGATGGACAGACAGGCATACATGGTATGTATGCCAGCACAATAGCGCCTTTTTCCATAAATGAGAAAATGTGCTAAAAAGAGATGGCAAAAGAGAATCTTCAGGGCAAGAGTTTGGATTCCTTGACCTATGTTGTGGCAGTTGTGCCATATCCTGCAGCCTGGGATCTGGATTGATGCAGCATGGTGCTTGCTCATACAATTTTAGCATTGACCTCTTTTGTTACTGGATAAAGAGGGGCTGCAACCAAATGACAAATGATGAAATCTGCATAGATAGCTTTAAATGATGGTATTTTTGAAATAATAAGTTTCATTGAATGAAATCAGTGATATACAACTGGAAAATTTGTCCTAATAACATGTAGAGTTCTAACTTCTAGTCCTCATAAAATTGTCATTCAGTTGGTTTTTATGTTCATTGTCATTTGCTGGTTACTTGGCTTCTATTCTCTCTCATGTATATACACAATGATCTATATTTAGATCTTTTCAAATGATTGTACTGTATCCTATACTTTTTTAACTGATGATGGAGCTGGTCTCTGAAATGCTTTCAATGAAGATATGGTGAGTGTACTAGGCATTTTCTTTGCTTTTAAATTCTTGGTTAAGTTATTGTTACATATTTTCTTGATCTCAACCAACAAGTTTCTCCCATTCCAGTTTTTACATTTGATTCAGCAATTGAGTTATTTCTCATCAATTGATTAGTTATATTCCAACCACAAAATGTCAAGTCTGCAGCAGCAGTTAGAATGTTTGGCTGCTCCGCAGACAAATATTTATCAAGACAAGCGACTGAAACCTTCTCTTCTCTATGATGATCATGCCCTTAGTGACACATTCTCTCTGGATCATTTTCATGATGTTGGTGAGTATCTCATATTTTTGTTTAGTTGTTAAGTGTATTTTTATTTATTTATTTCAAATTATTTTAATATATTATCCTGAATGCTTTCAATCAAATATCATAATTCATGATGGATTAATGACTAATATAACTTAAATATATTTTTTCAAATCAAATTTTTGTCCATCATTATTGAGCTAAGGTATAATTTATCACAGAACCGGAGCATCATATATTTATTTTGTATTTTTTCAGGCATTTCTGGGTTCAATGACCTAGTGAAGCTTAATGGCAAGTTTGGCAAGTATAAGCATCTCTTCAGTGAAGAGTCGAAACATGTGCAGCGTTTTGTAGCTGATAGTGACACTAACAAAGTTCTGGATGAGGCCATTGAAGGCTTCTTGTTGCTACTATCACCATACTTCCTCACCCTCACACCTGCTCTCAAAGCCATGGAGTGGCTGTTGCAAAGGTCAGTTTTCAACTATTTATAACAACTTCAATTTACTTTGATGCTTCTTCTGTTTGATTAAAAAATGAGTAAATGTATTCATTCCAAACATCCAGAACAAATTTGAACTCTTAGGCTTACCTATCTCATTCTATTCATTATGAAATATTCCGATCAACTTGTTCCTTGTGGTATGAATTTAAACTAAGCAATAATTTTCAGGTATGCAATTCATGAGATGAATGTTGATGCCGTGATGATGTGCATCTTGCCCTACTATGAGTCGCCACTATTCCTCCGCACCGTTAAGGTATGTCTCCAGAATTCAACATGGATCCTCAACATTAACCCTCCTTACACTACATAATTCTGAAACCTTATAATTCTACATACTTTAGCTACATGAACCTATGCAATTTAACAAGAGTTAAGCAATTCCAATGTCTATGTCTATGCTAAATCTTTTCCACGTTGAAAGCTTGTGAAATGTGGATGTGTTTTTTTTTTCATTTAACAGCAGTGTTTAACAGGCAAATAACACTCCAGCTGTATATGCTTGACTAAGAACAACACTCAAGCTGTTACTGCTATTCTGAGAATAACTGACAAGGTGCAACTGGAAAGTCTTTTTCACTGGGCTTATCACTTATTTCCAGGTGCTAAACTTGAAACAAGTTGGCAGCTCAGGAGAACAGAACAGATGGAACTGGCTTCTGAGAGCCCAACAGTCTGGTATGTTGCTTGTCAAGAGCATAATGTATGACCAGTGGGTCCACAACCCAGCCTTCAGGCTTTTTTGCAACAAGTATATCAAGAAAGTTATCAAGGTGAGCTCAATCACATCACTAATAATTTGAAACAATCATGTCTCAGGTCTGGGTTAGATCTGCACTAAGTCTGGATACATATACCTAGTCATTCATTTTTAGTTCAAGTAAATTAAACCGCAGTTTACTGTGGTGGTGGTAAAATAAAAAACCCAATATCCATTTAAGTAGTTTCAAATAAAGATCTGGTTGCATATGTCTCTGAAACCATGAAATATACCAAGCATGATTTGTTTTAATTACAAGCATTCTGAAGAAGTATTTTGGTTTCATCAATCATGAATATGTTATTTGTAATAAAAAATGAGTAATAAAAAAACATCATTTAGTATTTAGGCTCAAGGTAATAAGTATTTTTATGGACTGGTTTACTCCTTGATTTTGTTCCTTCCCAGGTTCATGACCGGGATTGCGATGCTCAGCATGCCATCAATTTCTTCACAACAACTGTTGTTGGTGGAGTTGCCCGAATGGCAGATCTTGGTAAAAATGTGAGTTATATCTCATTCTGATTTATTTGCTGTTTACTCTGCAGTTCAAAAATTTTAGTCTGTACTTTTATTGCTATTATAGAGGAAGAAAATAACTCTTGAAAGCTGTCACCTTAAATTGTTGTGGGACATTACGTATGTAGCTGTAGGCTGTTACAGACTGCTGCTGTAATGTAATCTGGCTGCTGTAATGAGTTGAATATATGTTTATATTTCTAATTTTTTTAATCGTCACTGAAAATGACATGATGTATGTATGCCATAACTAGCTGACCATATTGTTAAATTATTCCCCATTAAGTCATTTGAAACTTCATGAAGTTTCTGCTTGGTTTTTGTACTGATCTGTATTAGTTTTTGTATATATTTTTATACCATCAGCTATCAATAAATGATATAAAATTTATTGTTTCAGCTTTATTGAAAGCATTTTTATTTGTGATGAGAACAACAACAATTTGAATAATTTTGACAGACGGGCAAGAGTTTGGCAACAGAAGAGCATGTGATGCGCGTGCTGCAGGGCATGCATGTGTGGGTGAAGTGTTCCTTCAATGAGCTGGTGTGTGGCTCGTACCTCATCACCATGCAGCTCTCCATGTCTGTGCAGCTCAACACCAACCTATGGGATCAAATAATAGCCTTGCTCCTCAAGGTATATTTCAATTCAGTCATTTTTTTATTCATAAAAATTCGTCCATTTTTTCGTGTTCAATTCATGTCTTCTTTACCCTTTTTATTTCCATTTATTCCAGTCAGTGCCTTTTCTCACTCATTTTGAAGATTTAGAGTAAATAGAAATGCCATCAAAAGGTGTTAAATCATACAATATTCTTGTGCTGATGCTCTGAAGCTTATAACTCACAAAAGATCTTTTTCGTTAAATGTTGAATTACTATAAATAAACAGAATTTCAATATTTTTAATGAGATTCTGCGGATTTTTTCTCTCATTAACAAATGTAATTTTTTGGTTCTTGTTCGAGACCTTATTTTTAAGGAAAATGAATTCATCATTGTCAATTCATTCATTCATTCATCAACTGATACTGTTGTTTTTCATTGTTATACTGCAAATTAATTTCTCTATTATCCTAGCATGTGAATATAATTTTGCTCTATGTTATTATATATTATTCAAATTCTGTTCAATACCTACAGTACCAGAAAGAAGAGCTCCAGGCGCAGTTGTGCGTGTGTCTGGTGACTGTGTACAACCACCAATACATGACGCGCATGGGGCCTGCTGTGCTGGAACTGCTGCAGGAAAGCTCAGTTCTGCAGAAGCTTGCTGACAAACCTGACAACACTCGAGTTACCTCCTTCCTTCTTGCATATGCTGGTGGATACGTCAAGTAAGTTGGCTGCTCCTGAGTTATGTCAAATTTCTTGGCGTTTGTGATCTATGACATGTAAAAAGTTTTTCACCGAGTACATTTTTATCATGTTTTACGGAAGATTTATATCAGAGACAAATCAACTAAGTAGATGCTTCTCGTGACTCAAATATGAATGGACGCACTTGTTTTGACTGGATATAATATTAAAATCCCTCTTGCTACTATAAATCATTTGTTGATCTAGTTATTTTACCTATAATTTTACCTTATGAAGAAAGTGTATCTAACTTCCAACTTAATGTCTTGTGTAAACTTGTGAGTACATGCCATTTTTCAGATCATGTCTGGAGGAGTACAGCGGTGCTGAGAAAGAGCTGCAGCAGCACCTGCTTAGTCTCGCCATTTACCTCTCTCAGTTCCGTTTAAGTGCTGCTCAGGCTGCTGCTGTTATCAGGTCTGTTAGGTTTCTAATACTGTCACTGTCTGTATAATTGATCCTATTTTCCAATACTGTCACTGTCTGTATCCTTGTCCCTATTTTCTAAGGCTGCCACTGTCTGTATTCTTGTCCTTATTTTTGAAACCAATGTTAACAATTGCTCTCCATTAAGATTAGTCTGGTTCTAATTTGTCTCTCAATTCGCTCATCAAAATCTCATGTTGTTAATTTCAATAAAAGTAGTGCAATTTGTAAAGATTACTTTAGCTGATCACAATATTCCCCTTAATCATGAGTAAATGATTCCATGCACCGATTACTTTTACTTTATTTTATAATTCATGAGATTTGAATATGTTATTGCCTTATTTCCTGTATTTATAAAAGATAACTAAACAAAACGTTGTCTGCACAGAAATATAATGGAGGCCGCTTCTGAGTATGGCCAGTCTATGCCAGAAAAAGAGCTCAAAAGTTGCCTGTCAAGTTTGCTGGAGCATTTCGAGAAGAGCTGGCCTGAAGGATACGATAAAGCGCTCAGCTTCTTCCAGGCTCAAGCTGCGTCTGCTTCAGCAACTGAGCATTCCAAGGTTAGCACAAAATAATTCATAATTCAAAAGCAGAGTCAATTTTTCTCAAACCTAGCCTCAGCAAATTTTTTGGTGTTTAATTACTAATGCTGGCGTAAGCTCAGGATGTCTTTTGATCTTGATTTGAATCTTTTCAGGTCCTGACTATGATGAACTCTGTGTCTCAGAAGCAACTCACCGAGTCTCTTTCTGTGGTAAGCCTTCAACTAATGTTTTGAAATATTTTAAATCTCTCTTTGGTATCAGGGCTCTGAACCTAATCGAATGTTGTAATTTGAACATTTATATAGCGTCTTGTCACTTTATTGAATCTGTGAATTATTCACTAAAGTTGTGACAATAAACATTTTCCCCTCAATTGATCATAGATGTCCAAGTAAATATTTCCAAACAGCTATGAATGTGACCGCACTGATTTAAATAGTGAGCTAGACTAAAAAGTCTGAAATTCCACAGGATGAAGTGTCGGCAGTGGAGGTGGCAAGTGCTGTGTCCAGCGTACAATCAATTTTGGTGTCTCTGAAGAAACTGAACTCAGCGTGCGTGCGCAACGTTGATGCTCAGCTTACTAGAGACCTCGCTGACTCCCTCACCGACCAATGCATTCAAGCCGTCCGCACTTACAAGGTTTTTGTAACGAATGTTGAGGCCTTTGTGCTGTAGCCCTCCTTAGTGTCTTGCTTCATGCGTTGATTTCTAATGTAGGCATGATTTCTAATGTTACTTACAGGTCAGTGGTATTTATTAAGTGTCAGAGATGAATTGTGTGTTTTAGGTAGCCAGTGCGTACGTTGCAAAATGAAAATATTTTTTTTATTACTTCGTCATTATTTAATGAATTTTCGTCTCTCTCTGAGCGGTTTTCAAGTCTTTCTGTTACTTATATATTCCCTCTGGATTCAAGGTGGAGCGACATCCAGTGAAGACCGCTCCAAAGCACGAAAAGGTTTGGCTGCAGTTGGCGGAGACCGGCGTGGTGGCTTGGGACTTGTTGAGCGCCGTGGCTGAGGCCTGCTTGCTCGTCGTGTCTGCTCTCACCCCCTCTACCAATTATTGCTTCCCGACACATACTAAGCAGGTTTGCGGTTAAATAAACTTGAAAATACATGTTTTTACATTCGTTGTACCTCAAATTTACTGTTCTTAGGCCCTTCTTTCAAAAATAGATACGAGCTGGTAACCCCGTCAGCTAATCAGTGACGGTTCCTCAAGTTAAGCCTATCAATCACAGACGGAAGTTAAAAGGCCGCTATGTGCACTTCACGAGTTTTGATGGTACGACGCCTTGACCGGAAGGATAATTTTTTCTATACCGTTAGAGTTGGTTCCTTTTTTCCTGGAATGGATCTCCATTAATCTAGGGCAAACTACGCGATTGGGACTACTTGAATCATCAGCATCACTGGAGTATTCTTCTAAAATCCATAAACTTTTCTCTGAACCATGTGTAAACACTGACATTGAGTTTATACTTCAATCCTAATTGTTTATGAACAAATTCTTCTCTTTTAGTGTCAAGGGGACTCTTTCACTCTCCTGCTGAGCCTCAAGCTCGTCTACCTGCTGCACTTCAAGCGCCGCAAGGCCCAGGTTCTCCTGAAGAAACTTTTCAAGGCAAGGCATAATAGTTGGCTAAAGATAATAATTACTTCGCTCTAATAAATAATTAAGGTTCCTCTAATGATAAAGTTGTTGAAGTCATGAAATTAAATTTGATTTTGGTTTGTTTGTTTTTCTGGAAATTATCCTCATCATAGTAGGTTCTTTGTTAATGACCAATCAGTTATATACCTGCTTTGGATTGCATCAGAATAAAAAAAAATGTGGTTCAGTCTCTCTGTGTTTATTGTATAGTGAAATAGTGAGTGAATTGTAAGATAATTTTGTTGTAAACTTTTGCAGCGTGTGGGAGACGACAGTTGCGTGCTGCGGCTGTTGTCATCGATATGGGGATTGCAACCTCACATGCCTCACTGTGACCTCGCGACTCCTGATGTCAAGGTATATTTAATCCTAAAAATACCCGTCGTTGTATTCATAAATTCATGTTCACCATCGTTCAAGGTTTAACCTGATAGAATTTCCAATATTTATTCTTAGGATAGGATGTTTAGATGGCTGTAGTGTGATTGACGATTGAAAAGTAGTATTTTTGGTTTTTTTTTTGTGAAATGAAATTATTTTTGTGAATTGCGGACGATTCTCAACTTATCCTTCGATCTTACGATCTTACCTTCCCTTCAAATTGTTATTTCTTATTGGATTATTCAACTGTGACTTATTTTTTCTGAGTTTTCAATTAACTTCACATGTGCCTCATATTCAAAATATTCACATATGCCTCGAATAAGTTAAAGTACTAGATTATATATATAATTCTAGGTTCTCTTGAAAAACCTCATTGCAATCCTGCATTTATGGCGATTATTGAGCGTCTGCACCTCGATTCAAATGAAAACTCCAGGAGGACTGCATGTAATTGAAGCCTATAATCACGAATGTTAATGATCTCAACATTTCCGCATCGCCCCAGGTCCTTTGCATGGAGAGCGCCCTGTCGCTACTGCAGGACGAGTCAGGGAAAGAAGCCACCAAAACTTTGAGTCTTCTTGCGATGCAGCAGCGTGAGTTCATCGTGCCAAGCATCATTTCTGCTTTGTCTTTTTGTGATGACGATAGCGACGTGCAACGCTCGGTACGCTGCGCTGCCGCCCAGCTCGTCTCTACCATCCACACGAACGTCACGTCATCGAGCAGCGCCAAAGGATACGCACCTCTCATCTCGGCGCTTCATAAGCACACTAAAGCTGTCTTCATGGATACCTCCTCCCAGTATGCATTCTAGCTTTGAAATGTGTTTTCTTGCTTATCAGAACATTCAGTCCATTAGTAAGTATTTTTGCCAATTTTGCTTAAAGTTCATTAGATATGTTGAACAACATTTCAATTATTTGGTCTATTGTGACCTTTATTTATAAAATAAATAATACCCGTGCACTTCCGACATACAGATACCTGGTGTCAACCATGTCAAGCGTATGCCGAGAAGACCCAGCACTCCTGCAACTTGTCTTGTCCGCCGTGACATCGTCAAGTCAGCCTCCACATCTCGCTGGCGTTCTGCTCTTCACACTCGCCCAACTTGAGCACAAAGTCAGTCCAGGCTCCCGGGATACACATTTTTTTTGCATTGATTCCTCATCATTATTCTGTCCATGAACATGTTAATTCCAATCATTATCTTGTGGCAATGAACACATACGATTCCTATAGTACGTGTGTTAAAGCAAAAATATTTACTATTTATTATCTCTATGCGTATTGAATTGTGCGATTTTTTTATGCTGTATAAAGACTTACTTATTCAAGCTCTATTATGCAGCCACAACATTGGATGATTTTTTCAAATTGTATATCCTGTATCTTCGTTTGTGTTGCTGATGGTATACTATTCAGTAACATGTAGGTTTCTCATGAGTATACCAGGCGAGGTAAACTTATTACATGGATGACGTACTTATAGTTCCCATATTGTTTGAGAAGTGTGTGGGATAAGTTGCTTTTAACCCACCGTTGCTCGGGTTGATGTTGATTTTATATAGTTATGAATTGTTTATAGATAGTCCAACCAAGTACACAATGAGTAAAAATGGTAGATATTATGAGAAAATGAGTATATATGGTATATATTATACCAAATCTAGTAGATGCCAAAGGTCTCCACAAACAATCGTCATCCGTAGATGTGACTGAGGGAGCATTCCGGTGATCTACAATCGATTATGATTTATCTTATCATTTCATTTTCATTCAAGTTAATTATACGCTATATGGATATAATATTTTAAGCTGATATTTTTCATCATATCTTCACTCGTGATTTTTCCTTCAAGATTTTTGCCTAATATCACCATTGTTCCAGTCAATTATTGGCAAGCTGTTGCCGATCATCGAGCGCCTTGTGCGTAAAGGTTCTGCTGAGGGCGGACAAACTTCTTCTGATGCGGCAGTTGACAGTCAGTTTACCCTGGACCCGAGCGAGAGCATGCTGCTGTATTGGTCTCTGGTGCATCTTAACAGTGAAAGTGTTAAAGTGCTAGATACTGACAAAGGCTGGCAAGTTATTTCGGCAGCTTTCAACGTCAATAAAACGATTATTAATCTCGAGGGGCAGCTTCTATCTCCTCAAGCCGTCATCGCTCAGCAGGTTTGTAGACTTAAAATTATGTATTTTATTTTTTGCTATAATTCAATTTGTGTATTTTCTTTGCCTAAAATTCTTCATTCTTATTCTATTTCGCCACTTACACTTTGCAAGTGTGAAAGAGAAAAATTATCATTCTTAAAATAATTCTTTTCCATTATTTCACCGTTCTACCTCACGTGCAAAGAAAGTTTAGCTCGAGTATTACTACTAAGATTATATAAATGGAATTAATGCAAATTACTACACTACTGCTTATTTTACAACAATCTGTATCTCTCAGGAAACAAAGATATTTATCTTATTATATTTTGCAGGTGATCTCTCACAAATTACTCCGTCACTTGAACTCGTCCAAAGCTCTGGGAAAATTATGGTCATTGATGGCTGCTGCAGCCTCAGACATTGGGACCAGCCAGAGGAAGGTATCACGGCTGCACCAGGCTCTCAAATCCGTTAGCCTACACGCCAAATTTGTCCTTGAACAAATCCAACAGCTCAATTTGATCACGGCCACCACTTCTATCAAGGACGCTCAAGCTAAAAGAATGAAAATGTAAGCATGTTCTTCCAATTGAAATTGTTTGCTTTAAATTCTAATCGTTGTGAATCAGCTAATTTTGTTTTAACTCGGATTTAAAATTACTTTTTTCAAGCTTATTTATTCGTTCTACTTTCACAATTCCGAGCAATAAAATCGACTACAACTTGTCTATTCCGTGCTATAGTCTGTTCTTACTTCCATTCTAGTAATTTTTAGCCAATAAAAGTGTTGCTTGACCCCACACCTAGCCATTTCAACGGAAAAAAAGTAAGGTACCGGTACTAGGCTGAGGATCATGTGCCATTAATGTTGCAGTATTTCTCTTTGCTAGATCACATTGTCGAGATATTTCGCTACCAAACAATGTAAATAAATCTTTCAAAAATATGTACTTTGATCGTCTGCGGTAATGATTCTTTCTTTTACTGAATTAAAAGGTTGCACCCGATGCCAATGTGAGGCTCACAGACTGACCTGCAGGAATGTTAGTAGTATATCAATTTCAGGCTAACCTTATTTTATATTGGTCTTTTCGATTACTATATTTTGTTGTATTTTCTATAAGTAATTTACTAGCTAGACTTCCAATGACATAAAGTTGAGTATTCATTAACCCTCGTGCATCAGAGACCAAGAAAAGAGTCTACGGAAAGCCAGACGATCTGTGGGCGATTCGAAGGAGACCCCCAAGTCTGATGATGGGGAGGACGTGGCCCCAACAAGTCTTCCTGGCAACTGGCGTCACTTGTACCTCCTGCTGGAGCTGCTGTGTGAGGTGGAGGGCGTGTCAGAGCCTTGGCTGCTGGTTGACATGCTCTGTACGTGTCTCAACGAGGGCCTCGCATTCGGGCTGCAGCTGGCAGAGCCTGTAGTGCAGCAGCTGCTAGCTTCCCTGCACCATCTTATTCAACTGACACTGACCCATCCTCCGAAAAATACATGTGTGTTCGAAATTAACTTGTCTTACCAATGTACGGTAATGCGATGAATATAATTATACCAATGAATATTAACTGAGAGAATTTCGTTTATGAAATCAATATGTAATATATGTTGAAAATATCATGGTCATACATTTTATGCAAAGCAGAGCTCCCAGTATTCTTAAAACAACTCGTGAACGTGTACTCCTTGTTTGGTCAAGTTTCTATGGATTGAAGAATGAGACTAGCATGAAGAATTCTCAAGTTTATGTAGAGAAAACTACTTCTTCAGACATAATTTTTAACATTGTACAACTTTCTAATTCATTTTAAGTGGTACTGGTTGCTTCATCAGTTGTCAGGGAAAAACCTGTCCCCTAAGGCATTTTTTTTCCTTCTCCTCCGCTCAATTCTAAATTACAGTTTCAGAACAAGTCATTTGTTGATAGTTTGTTGAAGGTGTTATGTTGTGCAGCGCTGAGCAGCGTGGTGCCCGTGAACGTAGAGGCCGTAGTTCAGTGCATCAGGCAGTCCTCGGACCCCTACACGCACCGGCAGGCTTTCCTTGTGCTCGCCGTCGCTGCCAACATTCATCCTGTGAGCCACCTCTTCTTCCCTTGGTTGCCTTCACTTCTTTTTGAGCAGAAATTTCAATGTTTGAGCAGAATTTTTTCATTTGACAGAAATTTTTGTATGCCATTTGATTTATTTTGCGTGCGATGTTGTGTCCATATCTTACTTTCTCATCATGTTTGTGTACGTAACGCTGATAATTCTGCCCTATTGTAAGCCAATTTTTTCTTTTGTAAGCATCCCTGAGAAATGCCTTAAGTTTAAAGGCCTTAATTAAAAGAACATTATCGTAGAAACATTCATAAAGTATATTTTGTGTTGTTGTGATCAGGACGCAGTGCTACACAACCTCATGACCATCTTCACGTTCATGGGCGAAGGGCTGCTGCAGCGTGATGACCATTTTTCGTATCAAGTGATAGAGACGACAGTGAACACCCTCGTCCCCATCCTTGTCCAGGTATGAAAAATTCACCTCATTTCCGTCCTTGGCTTGCTTTAAAATGGAATTTGTTCTCAGATTTTCCTTGGAAGTTATTTCTGATTGGCTCACTTATAACTCAGGCCGCAATAGTTTTCATTCACTTAGTCTAGAAATTGACAATTGTGGTTCTAGGATTTAACACATATCGTTATTACGCAAGGCAATTAAGGTGTTGGAAATTTCAAATTTTGGCTGTAGCTGGAACATTTCCAATTTCAATTGATAGTTTCCACTCTAATAAATAAATGTTGAATATTTCTGTAAACATCCAATGACATCTTTTTAGGGAAAATTTCTATATAAAATGTAAAATATGAATATACTTACTCTGCCGAACTTACAAAACAGTTCTGTATGAAAATAATATTATCAATAGTAATGTAATCTCTATATTACTATATGAATTTCTATATCCTATATGAATAGTAATGTAAATCTATAATATTAATAATTTAATGTCGCATTTTTTATAATGGTATTATTATGAAAGAATGAAATTCTTTATAAATATTAATCTATTGAGCTGAAATGTTACAATGCTTTTTATTTGTCAGCGGAGCCGCAACAGCTGCGCTGTGGGGGACGTGGTACAGGTGTTTGTGGACGCCTTGCCCGACATCTCCGTGCACCGTCGCCTCATGATCTTCAAGCTGCTCACTGTCGCCCTCCAGCCCCATACTCACCTCTGGCTCGTCCTCTCACTCACCAGTATGGCTGAAGCTACACACATATCATCATTAATTGTAGACGTTATTTTTTATTTGTAACCCTCTAGCGCAGGAGCCTCCAAACTTTTTTCGCCAAGAGTAAGCTTTGTGAAGCCTTAGCAGGCCATTAACCCCAATTTACTGTTTTTCGTTGATGTTCATGCGTAACTAGAAATAAACGCCACGCTCGATTTTTTGTACACATTATGTTGAAATACGCGATATCCTCAGCGGGCCGGATGGAACCTAGCCGCAGACCGGCCCGCGGGCCGTGGTTTGGAGACTGCTGCTCTAGCGTAATCGTGTCTGGAGCGACATGCAATGCATCAATACATGTAGCCGCGTTTTTTTTTCAAGCAATCCTCGAGTGTCACTATGATGTTGTAACAGCTCTGATTATCTTCTAATATTTGTAACCAGAGCTCAAAAACGATCTAGTTTGTTTTTGTCATACCTTTCGATTTGTTAGTAATTTTTCTGAAAAATAATAGTGCTTTACGAATGATGTTTCGTGAATCGCTATACCATCAGAAGCTTATTTACGCATTTGAACTAATTGTGTAAACTTAATGATTTACTGCGTCTCTACTGACAAGGACTCCTATTTCTGTCATCATTTCTCCTATAATAATTCTCTTTAAAAGAGCTTATAAGTGATAGTTATTGCGCGTTCATCATTCCGTCATCATTTTTTATTTGTTACAGTCAAGAGCTATGCGCTTAGCGGACACTCGCGCCTGGCAGAGGACACCTCCACCAGAAGCTCGAGCAGGAGTGATCTGAACTCCTCCTACGCCAGTAGCGGTGGTGCGAGCGACGCAATGCTTGGTCGTAAGAGAGCTGGAGAATTGAACTTTATTCTCCGTCTTTGTGAAGAATTTGCAGTGCGAGATCAAGTTATTGCTGTGCAACAAATCCTTGCACTCCTCACAGCACTGCCCACAGATATCGGTGAGATATCCTCTTTTTTTATTTCAGTTCAAACTATCCCGATGTTTCCCTTTATAAGGTGTGAATATTGAGAGCAGTGTCTAGTGTGTCAATAAATGTGCCAGCTGAATAAATTTTCGAGCAATGGATTTCTAACAAATATTTCTAATATTCATCAAAAAGAAACACTTCAACGACATAGGTAAAATTGTATCCATTTCTCACTAAATATTGCGACTTCAGTAAGAAAAATATTTAAATAAAAACTATATACCATTCTTATGAAATTGCTATACATTTATTTACACAAAGTTATATCTCTATTCCGTGAATCTACCTATAGCTTGTGCGAGTCTGGAAGTTTCTCTTGATGTTTCCTCAAAAAAGTTAATTTGAATGATGTAATGTAGTCTAATAACGCTGAAAGCTAAAGAAAAAGTAGACAGATTTGACAAACTATTGAACACGTAATACTTGAGATTCATGCTACAGAACACATATGGAAACTAGACCGAGAGAGGATTATAACTAAGTCAATAATACCTATAGAGCGTTCGATCTGAAATGAGAATTTTTGATGCTCTCTTTAACTGAGAGTATTAGTACCATGCTAACCATTTATTAACTAGTATTATTCCGCTAATTATATGTGTTTTAATAATCGCTTGCAGGGACTTCGTACAAGAAAAATTGGAGCATGAATCATCAGTTCATCAGTGTCCTGAAGCTTAATGCTTTATCTGGCAAGCAGCTTCGTAACTTCATCTACACAACAGTAGGCTTCCTCAACCAACTCTTCACTTCGGAAACTTTCCTGGCTACGGTGGGTACTTCCAACCCTGAAATTAAAGCTAGAAAATACTTGATGAACAATCATTCTAGATTCACTAAAATAAACTCAGAGTTCACTTTATTATTTTGGATTTAAAACCTCATCAATCACTTAATTGAAGTTATAAATATAAATTTAAAGTTCTCGTCAATAATGAAATTTTAAAGTTATAAACATAAAGTTAAAGTTCTCATCAATAATGAAAGTGAACTTGAATACTGCAGTTGCTGCCAGTGTCAGAGAGCAGTGAAGAGAAGGAGCAGGAGAAGCTGCAGCAGTCGTACTGTCAGCTGCTCACAACTGTCACGGCATACCTTGACACTACAACGAACCTCATCTCGCACACGCAACGCACCGACACTCTTTCATGTCAGTTACACATGCGAACAAGCAGAGGTTTTGTGAATTTCCAACATATATGTAAATATCTGAGTTTTAATTAACGGGTATTATAAGGCACTACGTTGATCAACTTCTTGTGAATTAACTTTTTAAAATTTTCATGGAACGATTTTATGAATCACTAGCATTGGTAACTCGGAAATGATAATCTCGAGGTGCATTTAGGTTCGTCTTGTATTTATTCAATTGTACGTCCTTAGCTTTGTGGACAGCAAAATTATTTTTATCCAGTTATATAACTAGAATGAAGCTTAAGTCTTATTTACAATTGTGAGTTAAACTCTTTCATGGTTCCACGAGCCGCCAGTTGCGGAGCCCTGCTTGACTACTTTGTTTTTACAATATTTTCAGTGATGGAATTATTCATTACAACAAATTCTTAAATAAAAGAATTCTATTTAGTGTTAAGCTGCATTTTTAAGTAGCTCTCTAAACAGAACGGACTATTGTCTGCGTCATTGACATGTTGATTTTATAATTTAAAATTTCGTGAATGAAAATCAAGATAATCCTTCGTTTGCTTGAATCACCAACTCGCTAAATATTTAAAAAAATATTTAAAGACAGGAATTCTGTCTAAATTCACCATATCTTCATAGAAGGATATTGTGAATTTTAACGGAATTTCATTTGCTTTTAAATTTTTAGCAGGATAATTCTTGATGAAGCAACGTGATGACAGAGGTCTGGGTTTTTCAGATAAGTTCTGGTCGGCGCTGCAGCGCAAGATAGTCGAGTTCCACGAGAGCGTGTGTGCGGTGCTGCAGTCGCGGCAGCTGCTAAGTGTTGCGTCGCTCCTCGTGCGCTCGCCGCTGCCGGCCGTCAAACTGCGCTCTCTTGAGCTCCTCAGGACAAGGCTGCTACCTTCTGCTGCCTTCTTCACGTCAGTGCAGATTTTTAAACGTTATGTCTTCTGATGGTAATTAGTTACCAAAGGCTGTACTTAAGAAAATAGATGATAGTTTGTAACTCTGTCAGCCCATTTCTATCGGCTTTTCAAACGAAACCCACCGACAATAGAGGATAAATCGGCCGCTACGTGTACTTAGGATGTATTGATAGTACGGCCACTGGCATTTAAGTACGAATAGCTTTGCCAACAGGCAAGGTATCAAGAGTCAATAGATTCAAATATTTAGAAAATCGTCTAGATTCTACCATTGAGACTTATTTAAACGTTATTGATTCATAATAATTCAAATTCAGACAGCTGCCTGCTTGTGAATATGTTTGTTCTACTCAATTATGCCCGTCTGATATTGTTTTCTGATCTCGATTTATGATCATACGAATGAAGGCCTTGAATAATTTTTTGTCCGCATTCATTTACATAGTATGTTTTGATTTCATATTTTAACCGAGTTTAGATTTGCACATGCGTAGTTTATCAGGTTGATGTAAAACAATACCTATTAAGCATCTCTTATCTATGCCAGATAATTATTTATCGATCATTTGCAATATACATATTTGGATCAATTTCTGTGCAATTTATTGCTATTTTCTTAAAAGCTGCCAAAATGATTGAACGAAAATTATTAATAAATGAAGCTACTTTTCATGAATTATACTCACTGAAGCAATTTCGTTTGATTGAACAGTGAGAACGACACAGAAGCTTTGCTGCTGCTGCTTCCTGAGCTGCTGAGTCTGGGCTGCTGCGATACCGAGAGTCAGGACACTAAGCAGGTGTCGCTGAGCGTCTTGCATCTGCTGCTGCGGTTCTTGGGCACGTCGCTGAAGCCTGAAGAAGTGCTGCCGGTGTTGCACACCGCGGTGCTCCAAATTCCAAAACAAGGCGAGTATTGTACTTATAATTTACTAATCATGTTCTGTTGATCGTGTATCGCAAGATTTTGATCAGAACATAATTTTGGTTATTGTTCAACTGTTCAAGATTTATTTATTCGTTCATCTGGTAATCTCAACTGTAAATATATCAAGTACAATAATAGTACTTGAATATACCAAGTACAATAATAATATGTAAAGTACACAAGTGCGACGATTCATGTAGACAATGAGATGGCTCATTTTCCGCGCTAATTGTCTTTTCGCTATTTTTAGCCACCCACACTGACGAATGCAAGGTATGATTTAAAATCAACTTGAGGCCGAATTTTGTAAGGTATACTTTTTTCTCCAGAAAATACGGGTTTGGTGGTAATGCAAGCCATATTGGTGGTTGCTGAGTGCATAGGGCACGTGAGCAACGAGAGCATCGCTGTGCTTCCTCGTCTCATGCCCACGCTGCTCACCCTCCTCGTCGCGCCCTCTTCCGAGTCCGACCACTTGCCTCACTCGGCTGCCACTGCTCTGTATAAGGTCTCTTATAACTCTTATTGCTACTTTTTCGGGCTTGTTTCTGCAATACACGAGTATTCCATCATTTTAAGATGAATTAAAATATTCGTGTTGCAATGCAGCCCATAGCTGTTTGAATTAACATTTTTTAACATATTGTTATCAGATCTACAATAAATGGGTTGTTACTTTTCAGTATAGTTAAGCCTTATGTGCAGGTGATAGAGAATACACCAAAGTTCTTAACTCGCTATCTGCAAGAGCTGCTGGTGCGTCTATGCAGACTTTCGTGGCTTTTATCTGCAAAGGAGTCGACTAAAGACCTGAAAATTCACGCCAAGCTTTCCGCCCTCGCTACGGTCGTCAAGAATAAGATTGAGCCCCAAGTACTCTTGCCTAACCTCTTGAATGTAAGTTGTGAGAAAAGAAAGCTGAACGTGACGAGAATAATGTTGAAGATTAATACAAAAAGACTGTGAATTACGATAATTTGACAATTTCTTATTCATGAAACTACACGTTTTCAAAATCATTTATTTTGTAGCATATTCACTGGGCATTCGATACCATGCTGTTGTTGCATCACGAGTGTGACAGATGTTGGGCAATTTCTGGCATATAAATTTTACTTCTATTTTTTTCTTTGTCTAAAAATATATAAACGAGATCCTTTTATTCAGGCATACGACGAATTGAGTAGTGGGCCCAGCCATGAAGTGTGCAGCGTGATAGGCGTGCTGGAGCTCGTGAAGGATTTGGTCAAGCGCTTCGACCAGTCAGCGCTGAGGACTCATCAGTCACAACTGCTGGCTCTGCTCGAGCGCGCTCTGGGCAGCCGACAAAATCTTAAAGATCTTCATGTAATTTTATAGGAATCTGTTTATTGATGAAAGAAAATCGTAGAATCTCTGCTGCTTCTACAGTATTATATTATTAAATGTCAACTTATATTGTTGTTGAGTATCTTCAGTGCATTTTTAGTCGTGATATTTACATAACATGGTGCTGATATATTTTGTGTTAGAGTTAAAAAATTTGAATCCTGGTTTCACGAATAAAACATTTTCTTAATTTAAAGTTAACTGAAGTATACTTAACGTGGGCTTCCAACAAGAAACATCTTACCACTCAACTCCATTTTATTGATCAGGATGCGAATGACGTGGCAGCCATTGAAGACGCTGCTATAAACGCTATCACACAAGTCGTCATGGGGCAAGATGAAGCTTCAAACTTATCACTCCTGAATAGATTTGTCGCGTGGGCAGATGAGCAAAACACGATGCGCTGTCGCATTTCTCTTTACAGGTCAGATTTATATTGATTTGCTAATATTATTGTGAAGGCACGCATTGAGACTGAGCGTCCGGAAAATACCTATTGCTCGATATTTCCCATTAAGATGTTAAGGGAGCCAACCTTGCTGAAATCATGTCGGAAGGCTGCAGTAGCTGGTCCTTTACTAATTCACCTGTTTATACTCGACAAAAATGAGCGAATCGAGCATGATATAATTTTCGTTGAAAACCGTCGCATTTCGTTCAAGTGAAACTATGATAGATTATCCTAGGTAGAATTTGTTAAATATTGAATACATGATACACCCTGGCATATTTATTTTAATAATTATTTATGTAACATTTATTGCATATTTAATTATTACAGTGAGTAGATTTTGCTATCTGCTTTTCACAGATTGGTGCAGCATTTGGGTAGCACTCTGCAGGTGCTTTTCATCAAAGCAAGGCTGGCCGATCAAATATTTGATCACGCAGTTGAAAGCCTTGCGTTAACAGTTCTGGAGAATAAGGTAAAGGTTTTTATACATTTTTTACATTTTCATTGTTCAAACAATTACTGTATGGCAAACTAGATTTGTACCTCTTTATCATTATTGAAACGTACTACTCAATTAGAATGATTCGTATAATACTTGAACAGTGCCATTTTACAGTGGAATAATTTACCTATATTTAGTGTAGGATGGTAGCAGTACTTACTATTGTTAAAATTATGTTTGTATGGCACGCAGTCAGCATCCAGAGACGAGGCTGGCGCAAGTGAACTGTTGGCGTACGTGCTCGCAAGCTTGACCGAAATCTTCAGGCATGACACTGCCGGCTTCACGACCGACACGCGCTTCAAATTACTTATGGATCCAATCGTTCTGCAGGCAAGTGTTAATGCATACTAGCAATTTTGTTTGATAGTGGCCACTATCAAATAGTGTGGCCAAATAGTGGCCACTATTTGGCCACTGCCAAATCGCTCATTTCTGAAATGTCTGGGAGTTTTTTTTTTTTTGCCTGTAACCTGTCTACCTCTAGCGAAAACTGGTCACTTTACTCTTGCACTAACATTTCCAGATGAAGAACACAATAGGCGGATTGGAGGCATACAAGGAACGAATTCAGAACCAACTGCGCTCATGTCTTCTGAGCTTTTGCGGGGCAGCGCGCAATGACGCCTTGTGGTCTGACCTTAGCAAGAAAATGCTATTGCTGCTTAGAGAGGATCTACATCCAGAGGTGAGATCGTATTTTTATTTCTAATTCGACTATATTTTGAACTCCAGTCAAAAAATTTTAGGAGAATGAAGGAATTGTCATAACGTTGAGGAATAAAACTTTCCATTCCATTTTTTGACGAAATAAAAATAATATCTGTATCATTAAAACACGCAAGAAGTGAAAGGGCAGAATGGAAATGTTTATCGCTGTCATACTTATTCAAATGGTCGGGTTCCAGGTGAACGCCGGTGTGCTAGCATTGGTGCAGAGTTTGGTAGAAGAGTTCCGCGAAATGTGGTTACAGCCGATGCTCACCGACACACTACCGTACGTCACAGAGGCGCTCGAAAGTCACCACGCACCGGTGGAAGAAGCAGCGCGCAAACTTCTTGCCTTCATGGAAGATATTATGGGAGACGCTGTCAGAGAACAGCTCGAAGTCTAAACCTCTTCGAAGTGAGAAAGAGTGAATGAAACGTTTCATTGATTCGAATGTCGCCATTTTTCTGTTGCATGTAAAATCAATCCGAAATACATGTTGACTTTATATGAAATATTGCTCATTAACTCATCATTTAACCTTTAAGTAATCAACATTACTTCATGTGCCAGACCGAAAATCATTGCGAACAAATTAAGGCGTAGAGTTTATTCATTACACATTGATATCACAGTCATTAAGTAAAAATTCTAATTATCACTATAAAAAGTTCTCCTCCTAATGACTTGGATATCTACATTAGTATCCATTAAATTATTTGAGATCTGAGCCAAACTCACATTAGTTGAATAAGTAAGCCATCTTGAATTACTCGTCAGCGTATTTCTTGTACAAATGAGCTTTAAAAAATTTATATTTCCTTGGAACAGGTTAAGTTGTCAGGAACTGATTAACCAAAGTAAAATATATCATTCCTTTCCTCATCAAAATATTTCTTGCCAGCGTGAAGACAATTTGTTTAACGTTTTCTGCGGCCCCTGCCACGTGCATTTTGCTGCTGAGGCGGCAGCGTGATGCTCGCTCCTGCCATCTCAGGGTTATTTGCCACTGACGTCGAGGCGTCCAGATGCACGAGCAGGTCTCGAACTTGACCTTCCAGCTCCGCTATTGTCTGGACGTGTACAAAATAAATGATGAGCAACGAGTACATCACTAGCGTTTTCATGCTGAATTTCAAAATTGATCATGAATGTAATAAATTTTTTGCTTTGAATATTATAGATTAATTTCTCATTCTTAAGATTCCATTACGTCAATCAGTCGATCTATTGAAAGAAAGTTCAATTCAGAATAAAACATAAGCAAATAGGGCTACAAGTGAACTGATTACCTCATCTTTCATCAGCAGCTGCTTGCGCATCTCTTCCAATTTGCCAATACTTTCGATTTTGCTCTGCCGTAAATTTTTATTGAGCTCCTGTTCAGTTTCCAGCTCCGAGTGCATCTGGAGAGCAGGTTATATAATACCAATAGAGAATTATACCATTACAATAACACAATATCAAATTCGTAAGCATTTTACTACAATTGTAGCTTTCGAAATACTCGATTCCATTTCCTTCCATCAAAAATGCTAGACCTTTTTAACAATTCTCCGCTATTAATACATTCTTCAACATAACAAAAAAAGATGGGCTGTAGCGCTTTTCATTCATAAATAGAATATAAAAGACGAGATATATTATGACACATTCTTATTGAAGTTCACATGCCCTGTGACTGATCCAGTATTAGTCTGCTTAACTTAAAAGTTCACACCCGGAATTTAAAAAATAACGGCAACGTCTATTCAGCATATATTTATTCTAAACGTTTTGGATACCATTTCCATCTTGAAAAAGTTATAGGGAATAGAGGTAAAATCAGCAGTGAAAATCGGAATAAATGTGAAAGATACCGGTAACACAACCTAAGCAACTGGAAAACGCCAACGTAATATAAAAAGATGTTCCGCTTCGTAAAAATAAGTTTTTGTGTTCAGTTGTTTTCTCGTTACTTACGATTTGATCTCTTACGAGTATATTTGGACTACCACTTCTGATGGTTCTCGTATTCTCAAAATATATTTGTACTGATAATGGATAAGGTCTCCAAAACGTTTTCATTAGATATGGCTTATTTACGCGACTTTCTTTGCTTTCAAGTTTCTGATGCCCACGCTTCTAAGTTTCAGATTGCAGCCTACGTACCTTATTATGTTTAGCTTGGAGTGCGGAGAGGCGCTTGTCTACAAGCTGCTTATCCTTGGTAAGGGACGTGATCTGCAAACGCAGGTCTGAGATTTCATCTCGCAGCTGTTGAGCTACAGATCGTATCTCGTCTGCCTGTTGAATGGAGCAAATCGATACGTTTCGATTGAGTAGGATTTATCAACGCAACATCAAGCATTATTTCTAATTTCAAATAAAAATTGCACGAGACGTCCTAAGTACCGGATTTTAGGATGAGTATTTTTCGATTTTATATTATACCATTAAGGTAATTTATTATTTCTTTCGCTACTCGCCTTGCAGCTCTTAGTAACAAAATGCTAACGAATCGGATTCTAATACAAAACAAAGGGAATTAAATAAGGTGTTCAGACTAACTAAATAAGGTGTTTGTGTGGCCTGTGTTAAAACTATTGGAACAGCTACCAACTGGGGCTCATCAATGTAGTAGTAGTAGTAAAAGATTTACTAGCGCTTCAGATAGCGAATCTATTTCGCGCCGGAGGTGAGGTCTTCAGCTACGTCAAAGATGTTTGGTCTCTTCCGTCTCCAAGGCTTATAGCCTGATCCATTTTAGGCGCAGGGGCTGGGCGGTAGATTCCCTGCTCATGGAGCGAGGGTCCGCTCCGACTTCATGTATCAACTCCAGCGTAAGTTTAGTGAGGCTTAGTCTAGGTGATGGCAAGGTGCGATTATAGTCTCGCTAAAGGCGGTGGTGCAAGTGCATAGGGTCATCGCGTGTCCATTTGAGAGCCAGGCCGTTTCCGAAAAGGGCGTTTTGCCATCTCTGTTAGTCTGGACTCTCCACCCGAGCCACCCGGCCATGATTGCATCTGAGGCCGTACAGCCTCGGGTCTCATCGAGACACGCAAGCCCCCCCCCACGACAAGGACGAGATGGCACGGGGGGGGGCTCATCAATAATGAATGGCAAAAGACACAAGAAAATAATGTCTGACCTCGAGAGATGCAGTGCTGGCGAGCTCAGTCATTCTATCCTCAAAATACTGTCGTTGCGTTTCAAGTTGAGATGACAGTAAGTGCGTGTACTCCAACTGAATAGATGACAATTTCTCCTCGCCCCCAAGCTGCAGATCATCTTTGGCACTGCAATCACTGCCGCCGCCTCCACCGTTGCTGTCGAAGTCGCCACCACCACACACGCCTTCACCATCACCAACACGTTCGTAAGACACCATCTGCACATAACGATATTTCTTTGTCACCATACTAACTAGAAACTACAATCCGTCAACTTGTATAGAAATGGCAGCAGTGATCACATTGGCTTTATTGAAAGATTCTAAGAAGATTATCTGTACAGATTATTTTTGTCAAAGCATTAACAAAATACATTTGAGAAAATGGCTTTAGCTTGAACTTAGGACAAGAAATTTAAATAGTTGAAGAAAATTCGCGCACCTTGCCATCACCCTCGCTCTGCAGGAGTCTGTGCACGTAGTTGTCTCTGACGTAGTCCCACACTCTGTTGTTGCCTAGCTGCATGCTGAACAAGTGATTCGTTTCCACGAAATGTCTGCACAATAGTCATAAATAATCATGTGTTGAATCACGTAGAAAAAAATTGAAAAATAACTAATATCAAAAATTAATATCAATTTTAATAATATTAAATAACAGAATTATATTAAAGTTATTCCACGTAAGACCCACATTGAATCCTGAAAAACACGCAACTATATGCCAATGTTCATCGTTCTACATTACCCTTCTCAATTGTTACCACTACGTTAAAGTTCTCAATATGGTAGAAGTTGAACTTGTATAAAAAGGTTTAAAATTAAATCTGACCTGTTAGCATGGCCACCAACATAACGACCGCAGCCCACATGCCCACATATGAGGCAGATCCACAATGATTCTCGAGCACCGCACTGCGAGCACACCTGGTCTTCTGCCGCCTCCACCGTCTGGCAGTAGCGGCACACTGGACAACTGCCAAAACCACAAGAAATTAAATACTCTTTGAATTTACACAACTCGATCAAAATATTTATAACACATCCTGATAGTAGCAAGATTTAGGTAAACTGCTAGAATTGTGCAGTGGTTTCAGGTAGTTTCTCTAATTGAAAGATATGCAGGCCTGCGATAAAGTTCTATAGGTAATAATTTGTTAAAGGCATATCAACTTGGAATTTGCACGATATTTCATTATCTTAGTTCATTCAAAGTAAAAAAATTTTAAATTTTAATTTGTATTAATAATTTATATTGTTGAAAAGGCTTACAACTAATAGATTATCAAATATTTCACGAATGTAGTCGAACAAAATGTTGGTAATATTTTTCAAACAATTGGATTTATCAAAAATAAAAGAAAGACCAAGAAAAACGGTGTATACTCGGCACGACCGTTCCGTCGTACCCTTAATCCGTTGTCAAGTATATGGTCAGCCTGGACTATCAGATGATATGGAGCCGGACTATCATAACTTGCTCATGTATACATAGCGCCCAAAGTGCAAGAAGCGCCTTAAGTACACATATACGCTGATTTCTTTTCTATGATTGGCAAGTTGAGCTTGCTAAACCGTCAGTTATTGGCCAGCAGAGTTAAAACTCGTGACTATTTTTGATAGTACGGCTTCTGACACTACATCCTTGGCACACTCCTTGCTATTTATACCAATTATTTACTGTATATGCCTAATAGGACAGAAGCCAGAACTGACCTGCTGTCACCCCACTTGGCCAGGCACTCGCCATGGAACGAGTGGTTGCAGAGAATCGTAAGGACGCCGTCGACGCTCTCATCCATGCGCTCCAGACACACAGGGCAGGTCGGCAGCTCCGTGTGTCCTGCGCGATATAAAGGCGCGTTACCTGCCGCTGTTCTAAAAAAAAAGCTACTGTACAACATCTAAAAGCTATTGTACAACATCGAAAAGCTATTTTACAACATCTAAGGGCAATTGTACAACATATAAAAGCTATTGTAAAACATCTAAAAGCTATTGCACAACATCTAAAAGCTATTGCACAACATCTAAAAGCTATTGCACAACATCTAAAAGCTATTGCACAACATGATCATCTAAAAGCTATTGCACAACATCTAAAAGCTATTGTACAACAAGAAACACTGAAATCGTTCGTCTCAGTGCGGGCGACTAAGTCTGCCAGCCAAAATTTGTTCAAATAATTCAATATGAATTGATTTCTTTTTCAGGTTTTTTTTTTTGTGATAAGAGAAACATTAGATTTGAAAACTTTTAATGATCGCATAACTATCCTGACATGGATTGTGAGGATCACGAAACATCAGAGGAGGATTTAACAGCACAGGGTAGGATTTAAAAAAGAATACTCATTGAATGCATAAAAATGATACTGATTCTTCTGCGCATAAATTAGTTATTCGTAAGTGGTCCTAAAATGCATCATTAGCATCACTCAAAGGATATATTTAGTGCTAGGCCTCATATATGTTCATACTCAACATCAATAGAATTATTGTAGGCCTAAGATGATTCACATTAATGATATCGAGTGAAGACGAGTAGCATTTATTAATTTCATAGACATATAACAACTTTTATCCATTATGTTTAAATTTTACCTTGGGCCTTGTGATGTTACACAAAACAGACATCGAATCAAGTGAAATACGGTAATGTTCATCGAGGATGAACATTTAATTGGCGCTGTTCCTGTGAAGAAATTTCCGCACTCGCCTGGTATGGGGAGGCCGCCATCCTTGCTCTCAGTGGTGGTCTCAACTCGAGACACGTACGCGAGGCGGCAGAGGTTGTCAGGCTCGAGGCTGTTGTATGGCTTCTCGTTAAAGTTCGTGTAGAATTCGTCAGCTTCTGTCTGGTATACAGGATAAAATAGGTATGAAAAGTAATACCATGCTACCTAGGATTATTGAATGACACTTTTCACATATTGAATGTAGTTATCCAAAAAAGTGAGATAGAAACTGCTAAAGAAAGAACATATAAAATTGAATTACAGTGTTTCATCAATCGGACCAGCAGCCGTCAAAGAAAATTTATTCATTATGTTTTAAACTATACTGTAAAATGGGGTTACTTTGACCGGCGGGGTAACTTTGACCACTTTTCATTTTTTTAACAAAAACCCCAAAAACTCAAAAACGATTTGACATGGAAGAATTTTGTCAATGGCCATCGAAGGCCTAATACTGGGGCTACGTAGCACAATAGAAAGATTTAAAAAGTTTGCATATCTAATAGGTTAAAAAATTAATAATGTGACCCACGAAAAAGAGCTATTATTTAAAGCCTGTCGGAGCACCCCCTCCAATTTTTTTATTTTCTGGTAAAATAACTCCAGGTTTTGATGCATTGTAGTAGAATTCTTCTAGTTGCATATGCAAAAGACAAATTTTAGGAAAGTGTCATAGTTTGCAAATGGGGGGCGCCGCCCCCCAATGGGGGAACTTTGACCACCTAATGGCAGCCGTGACGGGGTAACATTGACCGGCTTGGAAATTAAGTTAAAATTACCATAGGTACCTATATAACATATTTTATGTTTGATACACCTATTAATGTTTTTTTATTTATGTTTCAGACTCTACAGTCTTATATATTTAATTTCCAAACCGGTCAATGTTACCCCGTCACGGCTGCCATTAGGTGGTCACATTTCGCCCATTGAGGGGCGGCGCCCCCCATTTGCAAACTATGACACTTTCCTAAAATTTGTCTTTTGTATATGTAACTAGAAGAGTTCTACTACAATGCACCACAACCTGGAGTTATTTGGAGTTATTTTACCAAAAAATAATATTGATTTTACCACCCGGTCAAAGAAACCCCAAGAGCTGGGGTAACAAAGACCATCACTTTTTTTGAAATTACATCAAAACTATGAAAGGCAGGAGCCAGCAATTTATGGTGAGTAAAGCTAGAGTATAGACCTGTATTTTGCATGTTTCAATTTAAGTTTAACTTATCTAGTAAAAAAATGGCATAGTTTTGAAAAAAAAAGTGGTCAAAGCTACCCCATTTTGCGGTAGTGTACAGGCCGCGACCTGTGTAGTCCAAAATGATCGTAAATCATGTAGATTAATTCTTCCGTTTTCAAATGTTCCATATTTCAAAAAAATAGAAATATATGTTATGATTTTCAACTCCTTGCTTAATCCACTCCCGCAACGTTTCCCTATAATTGAGATGGCAAGATTTTACAGAGATTTTTGGTAAGACTCACGTAGATGCAAGCAAGATTTGACTGAGAAAATATTAATAATATTAGTCACTCACTTGCGAGTGAAATTTGATGACTGATATATTATTGGAATTATTATTGATCACACATCTGCAATCAAAAATTGATGACCAAAATAATATTTGTAGAGTTATCGGTCACTAACCTGCGAGCGGAAGTTGATGAGCACCATGAAGTGATTCGGGGATGAATCTCGGATGACTCTCATGCTGAGCACACCGGAGTAGCAGGGGGCAGTGAACTGCAGCAGGTCGTGTATGGTGTGCGAGGACGGCACCGACAGCATGCACACCAGCGACGGCCGCTCTTCTCCTGCTGAAAGTGGCGTCTTTGTGCTGGAAAAGTATTTTTACATTGATAGAATATATATCAAAATAGTGATAGAAGAATCACACAGTAAGATACCTGTATTTCTAACTGATGGTGGCGTCTTGGTGCTAAAAAGTCCATTTACACGAATAAAACTCATTTTTTGTATAGGTATACGTACATCATGGAAAGAATCTTGAAAATAAGGAAGATGTTTTTTCCATAAAAAGTACAAGGATCAAGCATATGATTATAATTGTACAAAAACTTAATTCTACCAAGAAACCACCAATTAAGGTTACTCAGAAATATTAGCAACAGCATTTAGTGAGCAGTAGCTCGTATTCAGTAGACTCTTTTGGAATACTAATTGAAAGACAGGCAAGTCTGTATATAAATGTTTGCAACTTACTTTTGTTTATAAAGGTGGAGGATACCGCGAGTGATGTCAACAGTAGGGTTGCCAGAGAGGAAGGGAATTCGATGGCCAGTTCTTGAGCTGTTTTTGGTGCTTGCACCGCTTGCTTGACTGGCATCGTCACTTGGGCCGGGAGTGCCTGAATCAAATCATATTCCAATGTTTTAAATAAAATAAAAATAAAGAAAGGTCAGTTCAATTTCCGGTACTTAGAAAACAACAGCAACAACAACAACAACAATAATAATAAATAAATAAACAGTCAGGACCTCAAACAATCATGTGAGAAATCGAAAACTTCCAAAGTAACCACCAGAATGCTGCAATAAACTACCTAATTAAATGGTCAGACCTACTTGCCCTGATTCTGAATCTTATAGAATCTGCCAACAAGAAAAATGGATACTATTACAGCCAACAATTTTTTTTCAAGAACTTTGATACTAAACCAAGTCACACGAGTAGTAGTAGAACACATTTCATATCAGAAGCAAGCAGCTAAAAATACAAGCCAAGTTCCAGCTTGACCATTTTCTTAGAAATCAAGCACTAAAGCTAATTTTAAGTTACAAACAAATCTTGCACACTTAAACATAACTGTCAATAGCATTTCTGTTGTCCTGCACCTTCTTTGCTGCTGGATGCAGCAGGGGTTGACTCTTTGCTTCCTGAGCAAGAAAGGAGAGCACCTAGGGAATCTTTATTACTCTCTCCAGTTTCATTTTCAGAAAGATGGTTGTTCTCATGTCTGGTGAAATCTTCTGCTTCTCCTTCATTATCATCTTCACCATCATCCTGAGGCTTCCTCCCACCCTGCTCTACTGCTGACATCTCCTGTTTATAGAGATAATCACGTGAATATTTACAACTGAATTGTACATTTAAATTGTAGAAAATATTATCAACAGATGCACCTGAAATGAAATTAAAATAATACCTATACATTTAAAAATTACTTTTTAAAGACAACACTTCTAAAGAATCCAGTGTCTCCAATGTTACAGATGTACAATGAATTTCTCATTTTATTTTCGAATATTAAAAAAATGAATTTTTCAATTCTTTTAATATATAATTTTCTTTAATTATTTATTCTGTCAATTGATTCATGCATTGCCTCCGACTTCACACAAGTGTGCAAAATTTCAGATCAATTGGACAGGTAAAAGTGTGTCAAATGTCAGTTATAAGATTTGTAGCTGACAAAATTATTTATTCAATTTTTTTAATGTTGAAATTTTTTTAATTTCTATAATCATTTATTTTGTCATTTGATTCATGCATTGTCTCCAACTTTACACAAGTGTGCAAATTTTTAGATCGATAGGATAAGTAGAAGTGTGTTAAATTTTGATTAAAAGATTTGTAGCAGACAGACAGACAGACAGACAGACAGACAAACAAACAAGAAGTGAAGTTAAAGAGAAGTGTTGTAAAGAACAAGGAACTCAGTATAAAAATGCATATACTGCATACATATGCAAGTGCAAATCACTAGATATTGATACCATTTTCAACCTGATACCATTTACAACAAAACATGGTTCAGAAATGCAAAAAAATCCATGGTTTCACAATTAATTGCAATGCTGCACTTCATGAGATAAAGTTACTACCAAGTACAACCATTTTCAAGTTTAATCACTTAGACTTCAATATCTTTTTGAATAATCACAAAAAACTTATATCAACATTTGAGCAAACCCATATAACAACTATTTATACTATTTGACATTCAAAGACCACTACTGCAAGCAACAAGGGCATTAACCTTTTCAATGAAGTCTGCATCCAGTGTAGTAACTGTGATGGTGGTTGGCTTGCGCTGGCCTCTGTGGATTGCCAGCAATGTTTCTGATACCAATAGAGGCCACTCGTTATTCTTGTCCACCACTTTGCTGTCAGTATCACCGTTTTTTTCTTGCTGCTTTGTAGTGTTCTCTCCTTTTTCTGAAGCTTTTTGAAAAAAATCATAAGAAATAAATGAGCTTAAAGCAACCAAAAATTAACCTGGTACAGCTTTTAGAGTCTGCAGACAAAGAGTCCCTGTGAACATATACAGTCCCTATGAACATATATTCCAGCCAATTTAGATACCAGTTCTGTAAAATATATATGTAGTTAGTGCCTGAACCTTCTTGTCAAATTTTCTCTAGTTTAAAATAAGAAAATTGTCAAAATAACGAATCCAATTCTCATTATCACACAAATTTTCATTTCAGCATTAAAGCAGCTATTTTAAATTGTCTCAAAATTTGTTTATATCTCAAAATTTTTCATAAAAAAATTCCTTAAATTTTACATAAAACCCAAAGCAGACCTATTCAATATTAAAGACTATTTTAAAATTAATATTTTTAAATATGAGAAATATTTAAAATTTATGGCTCTCTATCGTCAATATTTACTGAAAAAATTTCTTACATTGATCTACTCACCTCTAAACTGGATATGCTGGAGTTAAGGATAATTATTGGCAGTTTCAATTCTTATTATTATCAAACTGATCGACATCACGGATCATATGGTAATAATATCTAAACAACATTACTCATTTGGAAATATGCAATACTTTTTAGGGCATTAAAACTTTTGGGAAATTTTAAACAGAAACCAACGTGACTCTCAAAACACTTCACTACGAATCAGCAACAATGAAACGTCACAAAATGTTGCCATATTTATTAAAAAGCCTTTAGAATGGAAACCTACCAAATCCCTATATTCCGTCACTGTGTGTGGCAATATTCGACACGTGGTGAGTCGTATTGCGTCAGCTGAATGAAAAGTAAATGGCCTGTATGCTAAATAGGGCACTAGCCACTAGCACTATGCACTACGAAGTGTCCTGTTGGTATGCTAAATACGTCACAGACACTATCACACTAAGCACTTCGAAGTAGCTCTACAATGTTTAGTGTCGCTTAGTATCGCACTACTGATTTGTATGCAGAAAGACTTTGAAGTGCTACTTCGCTGTTAGAGTACTTTATAGTGCCGCACTACACTATCAGTCTATTGAAGAATGGTAGTTAAGTGCTCAAATAATTAATTATTCCTAAAGTAATTCTCATTCTTTGCAGAACATTGATGTAAAATTTCTAATTGTGATGGTAATGGTACTAGTGAAAATTGTGATCATGGTGGCAGGGAATTATTGTGAGTACTTATCGGTCCACCGCCGTGCGTCGGTCTTAACCCTTCGCAAGGCCCCATGCCCTTGGCCCTTGGGCCCCTCTTGCAAGTTGTAATGGTCTAAACTCAACAGTTCGACCTCTTTGGGTCTCCCTTCTGCGGAAGGGTTGTCATTTTCATGACGACCCTCCATTTAGGAGGTATCCTCTCTTGTCTTCTGGGTGGCGGTTTAGATTCACTTCTCAAGGGTATAAGAGACAAAAGTTTTCAGTTAGTTAAATTTAACAAACACACACCGTTTGGAAGCCGGCAGATTTGGTCTCAATAGAATTAGCACCACCTTTCACTGTGAACTCTCGATAGAAACTCTAAACAAGGTGAAATACGTATATCATAGTGTCGTCGTGAAGTGCGGTGTGTTGGACACTTCAGATTTTTGTAGTCCGCGTTATGCTTCCTAATCAAATTCAAAACTATGATTTATTTCTCCAAAAAGTATGATGGTTGTCACTTAAATACCTATTCCTTTCTTTTTCAGAGATCATGAGATGTTTTTTTATTACCTTTTTAGCACATTTATCATTATGGATAAAAAGGCGCTAAGGCCTATTGTGCTCGTCATGTCCGTCTCGGGACCATCCGTCCATGACTTCACGTTTTCGTCAACAAGAAAATGCGCTCTCTGTCACTCACTGCAGTGAGTAGTGAGTTATATTTATTTGATTATAGTGAATTCACTTGACCCAATTAAAATGGTGTGAAATTACAAGCCCAGTCCCATCCTGTAAGCTTGCAGATACCTAGACTGAGATAGTGATACTTATACAGAAGAAATACTATTTCCGAATATCATGTAGGTATATGGCTGCTGATATGAAGCTTGCACTGGACAATATCGATGTCGATGCTCAATGGCATGCCCATGGTCCTTTTTTAATTTGATTTGAAAGCTTCGGGTTGGCTATGCAGGCAGCACACTGCACACCTCCCTGGCTCCCACTCGCCACTACGAGGCTCCCAGCCTGGGCTCAGCAGTGTGCACTGTACAGTGCTGAGTGCACAGCCATAAGTGCACGCAGCGCCGGAGCACAACTGGCCGGAGCGCAACAGGCCCTACCGCAACAGGCGGCTCAGGTTAGGTTAGGTTACGTTAGGAGTAGCTGTTAAGGTAGGGCCTGTTGCGCTCCGGCCAGTTGTGCTCCGGCCTGTATGCGCTCCGGAGTCCGGCCTGTGACTGAACGGCGCTGTTGTGGTGGGCGCTTTGTGTCAAAAGCCGTGAAGATGCCCGGCTGCGTTGCGCTCGGGAAGGTAGCTGTATGAATCGCACTGTGGACTTGGGCTATGCTGACCTCTAGCAATCCACCCCTTTTAAACTACTGAACAGATTTGAACAAAACTTTGATGACATGATATTCCTTCCCTTCCAACGGTGATGCTTAGCAGTGATAATTTTTTCGGTTTGTCCTTCGTTTGCGAGTTTTTTCCATTTCACCTTCATTCATGAGTTATGAAGCAATTTACCCTGAAATTTGCAGTGACCAAGAAATTTCTCCTAAACTATTTAACAGATTAGAACGTAACTTAGAATATACAAGCCCAATCTCCTAGCGGTGATGTTTAGCTCGTGACAATTTTTTCGATTTTGCCTTCGTTCGCGAGTAATACGGACATACGGAGAAACGATGGGCATTTCTGAGGCTGATTTTAAATTTGTATTGACAAAGAGTACGTATACGTATAGCCGTATAACTCGTGAATGAAGGGGAAATGGAAAATTTTTCATGAGCTAAACATCACCGTTAGGTCATAATGAATACGTCTAGCAAGTTCTATCGAGCTGCGTTAATTAGTTTGGGAGATAATCCTTGGTCATTGAATTTGGATATTGGCCGTGAGACCGGCCGCGAGTCCAGCCATAAATTTGTCCGACATCTCTTTTAGATCATGGCTTCCGTTTCTGTTTAGATTAAGATAGCCGCTCATATTTTGCTGCTCACATTTTTTTTTGTGCAGAAAATACACAGTTCTTACGCTCCGTTCGTAAGTCCTTTGTATATTTACTATAAGTGCTTGTTGAGATCAGCTCATTATCAGAATGGACGAATTAAATGATCAGAATGGACGAATTAAAATTAGCAGAATGGACGAATTAAATGATCAGAATGGATGAATTGCGGTGTAGTATGATTTTACCATTGTTTTAGAATTTGTTTTACACTACATCAGTTAAATTGAGTTATCTTCAGTTAATTTAAGTTGAGACATAGAAGCTAGGCTGGTTTATTTCGTAATTGATGACGTCATGACGATATTGAGCTCTGCAACACGTTGGAGTTCTTAACTGGGTCCCATTTTTCAATACTAGCCATGCTTGATTATAACAAAAAATTGACGTTACTAGGAATTTAGTTCGTTTTAAGAAAAAATATTGCATTATACTGTATATTTTTAATATGATTTAACGTGTATAAAGAACGATGATATCTGAAATTATTCTCACAATAGGATTATTCACTTCCTTCAATATCGAACAACGTCTTCGGTCACTCTCACTACAAGCAAATCATGGCACGTACGTACAAACAACATGCAGAAACATAACACATCGCTTAACTGTTTGTTGGTCATATACTCATATCATTATGACAAAACTGACGCACAATCATTTGGCAGTACATTGGCTGATCTCAGTGACATAACGGAAATTATAAGTTTATATTTGAATATAGGCGTAGCATTTGCACAGGTAATTGATTGATCGCGCCAGGAAGAACGTACTATAGCTTATCTCATTGACAAATTAACATCGAAGTAACATCAACATATCGGAGAATAATTGCGCAGAACTACAATAACATCTGGTAAATTCTGCCGTCCTCACCGCAATTAGATCACACTTTCTCACATGCCTTAAACTAAGTTAATCTATAATGGTGTCCAAGATACATAGCTAACAGATATCTATTTTTGAACATAATAGTATACTAGTTTCGGAGCTGATGAATAGCCAAGTTCGGCTTAAGCGCCCAAAATTTCCGGGCGAATGCAGAATGTCATTGAAGTAACCTCATCAAAAATATCTCCCTTATTACAAGTAACCAGACTCGTAATAATGTATCCGCAAGATTATCTGATAAGTTTTGCACACTTCCATTGTTATAAACTTGAGTTCTACGAGTTAACGCAACCGAGGCGAAAACTTTATCTAAACTTTTTCTCAGGACGCTGCAAATTGAGATCATTTACTTGGCCACTCTTGCATTGTCACGTTAATTTAACGCAACACAGCTTATCTTTTCTGTCATCGTGACAATGAATTGACATCCCAGCCTCTCTAAGAGGTTGAGATGAGATGCCAAAGACAAGTAGGCTGTTGGGATATTATATGTTGTGCAAGGCTAAGGAAGAGCGGCGCTGGAGGAACATCAATGTGATGCCTCCCTACTTTCTTTGAAATAAGCTGGCCGTAATTGGCCTGCTTATTTCAATTGGCCTGCTTATTGGTATCTTGATAAGGGTTGCAACAATGGAAGAGCAGCCATGCACCACCAATATTGTGCACCAATAAGCCCTAAATCGAGCGCCTTGGATCTCTCCGGACATCCACCAATCAGCCGGGAATCACTCGGCTTTGTCCTCCTCCGGCCTCGCATAAAACCTGCCGTGCACCACCAGGCCGCGGATCGAATATGACTTCCGGGCATCGTTAAATTACGTAATTTTACGTTCACCGCATCCGAGGCTAGGTTTCAGATAGCATAGTTCTGTTCCAAAATTTATCGTCCTTCGACGAGCGGCCGTTCGACCGAGGGTTGGTTCGACGCATGTTCTGGAAATGATTGTCCAGAAGTGTTGAAGGCTACGTTCCCGAAGGCAGGAATCATGATGGTCCATTACATCCAGGGCAGTGGTGGTCTTTGGCAGGCGACCCGCACCAATAATTAAAGCAGGAAGAGAACAGTGAAGTAAATAGCAGAGAACACGAAAAAGACGCATGGGAACACAACTCTAGAGAAGCTATCAATTTCCTCCCACAGAATCTTGGTTTCGCCGGTTATGGGATCATCCCATTGGAATTCAATATCCCGAATGGTCTTCATCCATATTCTGCGCTTAGCGCGCTGACTTGCCATTCTGAATGGGTAATTTGGGGGGCGGAAGAGCTGTTCCCGAGGCTTCTTGCGTGGGAAGGGCATGGGTCCCACCGACGACGTCTTCTGAGACTTTCGATAAAAAAAAGAATTGACAGAACTTGACAGAAATTTCACTGAAAGACGAATGAGGGCTGAAAAACTAAAAGTGCTATAATTTGCATTTGAAGTCGTACACACATAAATGAATGATTAGTCGTTATAACTAAAAATATTATAATATGAAAAGTGATAGACGTTAATTTATAACTTACGTATATCGTAGAACTTATATTCACATAACATTTTAAAAATAATGAGCTCCAAAACTTCATCTTAAAGTACAAAACATTTATCATACAATTATTCATCTCGAAGTTAATGCGATTCATCTCGAAGCAAATGAAATCTCACATAATTTTATCCACGTCATAAGCGTAATTTTCGAGCAAAACGATCACAAACTCACCAGATTGATGTCTTTGCCGTTCACATTAGCCCCGGCATCTGGTGTGTCGGCGCTTTTGTCAGCATCGCCAGGATGGGCCCAAGCTTTCATGTTTTTGCTCATTTGGCTATACTGCGCGACAAGAGCCAAGCTTCCTATATTTCTTGAGTGGAAAAAGTCCGGAACGACGCTAACGTTTGGTGCGCCGCCACCACCACCGCCACCGCCACCAGATTTGGTTTGAGGTTTGTTGTTCTGCGAGTTGAAAATAACTTGTAGCATACCCCTTCTTAACAAGGCATATGACAACATGATATTAAAAAGGAATTTAACGCAAAGAAAACGCCAAGCAAATTCACCATATCGATATTGATAACGTTCGGAGTCGAGCTCCATCATCAGTTCGACAATTTAAAAAATTAATACAAATTTTTTAATTCTAAATGTTTGTATTCATTTTTTAGATTGTCGAACTGATGATAGAGTTAGACTCCGAAACGTTTTCAATATTGATATGGTGAATTTGCTTGGCGTTTTCTGTGCTTTTAAATTCGTTGTGAACTTGCGATATAAGTAGACTGATAATATAATATAAAATAATATAATATAATATAATATAATATATTATAATATAATATAATATAATTTGAACTTCAAAACTGGCAAAAAGTCTATGGTTCTGACCAAGGACTACTACACACATTGTAATACTATTGTATGAAACAATTATGGGCATATCATTTGTTGATGCCACTAAAACACCAGCATTTTCATAGTGTAGGCGATCGCCTCTGCTAGCAGAGGCTGGACATAGGCTATGCATGTCCTGTGTGTAGTAGTCCTTGTATAATATAATATAATATAATATAATATAATATTAGTACTAACATGATATCAACAAATTTTCAAAACGAACCGGCAACTGATTTCCAAATATTAACGAACAATAAATGAACAAAGAACTCCACTTACGAGGCTGTCAGAACAACAACTTGAAAGGCAATCAGTAACATGGACAAAAATTATTGTTCCTACAAAATAAGGATATGCCAATGTTGTAAAGACTTGGCTACTTTAAAGGCTTAAACTTAAGTTTAATTTGGTTACTCACGTCGGAGATGGAACGAAAAACGTGTTTCTCGTGAACATATTTGATCATTTTGCAGATGGCAAACTCGGACATGGCGGCAAACGAGAATAAAATGCAGCCAAACATCCAAACATCGATAGCCTGGCAAATGAGATAAGATTTTATTAATAAACATGTGAATAACAAGATAGTAACGAGCAAGCAAACTGAGACCCATGTTATTGACTGAACAAAAAACGTTTTGGTATGAAATTCGTCGAAAATCAGAAATCAAAATCAAGATTGAACCTTAGAAGAAGCAATGAATAAGTCACGCTCCGTAATTTAATGCAATCTTTGCACTAAGTTAATATATAATAAATTACGATCATCGGTAAAATTGCTAATATTAAGTGAAAATTCGTATTAACAGCATCAAATTTTCGTGCTTCGTTACCATCAGACGCAAAAATAGGAGCACGAAAGAGAAAATTTCCTTTCCCATCACCTCTGCATAGATGACCACTTCAAAATGACTTAGTTAAGAATTTAAAAGCAAAGACAACGACAAGTAAATTCACCGAGTCTTCGCGAAAATGTTTCAGACGCCATCTCCATCATTCAATGATAATGGGAAGATATGGTGAATTTACTCATCGTTTTCTATTATATTAAATTCTTAGTGAACTTGTGATTCCAGAAGACTAATGATATACGAACGTGTATTGACATCGTTCATAACAAACTTGAATTATTAAGAGTCTCACCCGAATATAGGCGACTGCTGGCAAGTCTCTGCTGATACCAGAGAACAGCGTGACGGTGGTGAGCAGAGACGTCGTAAGTAACGTCACTCTGCCCGGCACAGCGTCAAGCCCTAGCCAGAAACTATACCACGTCAGCGCTACCATCAGGAAGGACGGAGTATAAGTTTGCAGCAGGTGATGTCCGATCAAGCGGTAAAACTTGAACTCGAACGTAAGAGCCGACATCGATCGGCTTCCGTAGCCTGGTTAAGTAGAAAATTGAGTTACATGCGAGCTTGTACCAGTTTTCCAACAATGCATCGGTGCACCCACCAACAGCTGACAAACCACCAATCGAAAAGCACATGAGTTTTTGGGATTATTTGTGAATAGTCTAAGGTATTAGGATATAACAAATCTTATTAAGACTCATTACATATATAGGTTTGTTTATTTAGATATCGATCGAAATTCCGAACAGTTTCACGTGATCATCAGCCTGATTAGAGCTGTTCTCAAAGTTTCTCCTGCCAAGACTGGAAAAATTTACATACATCACAAATTCGCGGTCGTTATTGCAAAGCAAGGGCGCCATTATGGCAAGATCTCATAATGACATTATCCTCGTAGTTACACATGCATAATGAAGAAATTTTGTTCATAAAGACCCGTACCTCATAAAGACACGTACTTCATAAAGAGCCGTACCCCATAAAAGCCCGTACCTCATAGAGACCCGTACCTCATGACAACATGTACGTCAACAAAACCAGTACCCCACGAGAACACGTATCTGCTGAAGACATGTACCAGAGCACATACCTCCGAACTCTTCTATGGTCTTGTTTATCTCGAAGTATCGGCTCAGCTGCACCTGAAACTGCAGCAGCTTGAGCTCCGGGTTTATAGTAACCGCTCGGTCGCTGCGCCACTTGAATCTTATGAGCCGATTGGAGTATTTGACTGAAACGTAAACAAGGGGTGACTGGAGTATTTGACTGAAACGTAAACAAGGGGTGACTGGAGTATTTGACTGCAACGTAAACAAGGGGAGACTGGAGTATTTGACTGCAACGTAAACAAGGGGTGACTGGATTAATTGCCTGCAACGTAAACAAGGGGAGACTGGAGTATTTGACTGCAACGTAAACAAGGGAAGATCTTATAAATATACTTGATAATTGTTTACGAAATACAAGGATATTCAAATCAGAAAATATCTACTTTAGAAAATAAAGATTGAGAGATGAAACATAGGATGACATCATGGTAGCGGCCGTACTAAACCTCATGATAGCGCGCTCTGACGCTAGGCAACGAACTCTCCAAACAGAGACCCGAGCTCTGTACCGTGTACCAAGCGCGGCTAAATGCATGCAGCCCTGTAAAGTTCTTCCATTAATTGTTCTCGGTATCGCTCGCTGATACGCTCGCCAAACAAACAAAAGAAGTTCACGCAAACTTCCGTGCATTTTTGCCATTAAATTTTTTACCAAAAAAAGACGTTCCATCTGCTGGACCTTTACTGCATGCATGGAGGAAGAAAATTCGCATTGATATTTGATAGGTAAATTTATTTCTTTATGAACTACGTTATCAGCATTGGAGGAGACAGCTTCCGTACATGATTGTAATTTGCACATTGAAACGATATTGACTTGCACTGAGGTACGTAGTGAATAAATGGAGATTGAATGATCTACGTACACGTAATGCATATTGTTATCATATAGCCTAAGGTTCCGGCAATGCTCCAGATGTGTTTACTTACATCTAGTTTAGCTTTTGGCAACCTTTAGTTAATCTAATTTCAAGGTTAAATATTATAAACATTTAGCGACCCGTCAATATTTGCACTGAGATGGATCGATCATGCAGTGATCATTTTGTCTGCAAATATCATTAACAGATAACTGACAAAATTCTACTTGTAAGGTTTCTGAAGTTGGCGCCGGATAATGATATAAGTCTGGAATTTTTTTGACAAGGTTTTCGCTTTGTTTTCGCAAGGTTTCGCTAATGTTTTCGCTTTGATACCTTCCACCAGGTTGAATGATTGCCGTAAGATTCTGTTAACAGGAACACAAAACAAAATAAAATTTCTAGGGTTTTTTTAGCACAGAATAATAGTGAAGTGAGGTTGGCTGAATGAGCTCAGTTTTGGACAGGTGTTGGCGTGGTCTATGCAGCGCCAAAGGTCACGAGATCGATAGTGTATACCAGCGATGATTCTATTCACTTCATAAATGTCAGCAGATTTCTATCCTGCAGAAGGATAAAAATCAACAAATACAAATTTAAATCAGAATAAAAATCAAGAAAATGAAAATTTGCGAAGCCTTCTTAAAATGATTGATTTGTGATAAGATCTGCTGGTAAACATCGCCTGAATGGTTTTATCTTTTGATAGCCTGATCTAAGAGGTCTCACTTGAAACCGTTCCAAGAAGATAAAAACCCGAAAATTTTACTCTTTAAATAACGTATTTATGGATTTAAAAGAAAAATAGAGATATTTAAATACTGGTAGCCAATTCCGTAGAGTAAATACAACAGCACTGGAGTTCGTATTCAGATACACCTACGAGTATGAACGTCGTCGTGGAAACCGTTCACCTTCGCTTTCTATCGAATGATTTTCCAGTACTACTTTTCATCTAAATCAGTACTTTTCTTAAATCATCTAAATCAGTACTTTTCATCTAAAATCATCTAAACCGAAAGTGACAACTTAAGATTTTTTTCCAGTTCCTGCATGAACCTGCTGAAAGTTTTATGAGAATCCAACTTCAAAATCCGCATAATAATCCAAGTATACAGCAGTGAATTTTCACGGTATGTAACCACAATCCCAAAGTATAATCATGTCATAGATTCAAACTCAAGTTTTCCATATTCCGGAATCATTAGAGTTCTGAGAAGCAGCTGTCCTCGATTTTGAATGGAGGTATCATTTAGCGCGCGGCGAAATTGCCGCGATGTCAACTAACCAGGTGCGATGTCAACAAACCATGTCTGAAAACAACATTTTGTGCCGGTAAAACAGGCTTGTAGCGATAAGACTTGATGGTTTCATGGTTTTGACATGTGATTCGCACGAATGTCGTCTGACTTTATACCACAATGTTGACTTAAGAGTCATTATCTCTTGAAATAAGAGGTCAAATTTTAGTTCATGTTCGAAAATTTCGGTAATTTCGTGATCTGACAGGTATTATCTTTTGATAGCCTGATCTAAGAGGTCTCACTTTATGGATAGTCTGATCTAAGATGTCTCATTTTATAGATAGTCTGATCTAAGAAGTCTCATTTTATAGATAATCTGATCTAAAAGGTCTCATTTTATAGATAGTCTGATCTAAAAGGTCTCATTTTATAGGTAGTCTGATCTAAAAGGTCTCATTTTATAGATAGTCTGATCTAAAAGGTCTCATTTTATAGATAGTCTGATCTAAAAGGTATCATTTTATAGATACCGTAGTCTGATCAAAAAGGTCTCATTTTGTAGGTAGTCTGATCTAAGAGGTCTCATTTTATGGATAGTCTGATCTAAGAGGTCTCATTTTATAGACAGTCTGATCTAAAAGGTCTCATTTTAAAGATAGTCTGATCTAAAAGGTCTCATTTTATAGGTAGTCTGATCTAAGAGGTCTCATTTTATAGGTAGTCTGATCTAAGAGGTCTCATTTTATAGATAGTCTGATCTAAAAAGTCTCGTTTTAAAGATAGTCTGATCTAAAAGATCTCATGTCATAGGTAGTCTGATCCAAAAGATCTCATTTTATAGATAGTCTGATCTAAGAGATCTCATTTTATAGGTAGTCTGATCTAAAAGATCTCATTTTATAGACAGTCTGATCTAAAAGATCTCATTTTATAAAAATTTAAAAGCAAAGAATAGTCCACAAAAATTCATATCTTTATAGAAAACGTTTCGGAGTCCAGCTCCATCGTCAGTTCATAGAATCTAGAACATACATAGAAAGTCACAAGTTAATACAATTGAAAGCACAGAACACAATTAGAACCTAAATTTACAAGTAATAGGGCATAAAAACCTATCTATTCACAATTTCAAGGNTCACGTGTGCAGGGTTCACGTGTGCAGGGTTCACGTGTGCAGGGTTCACGTGTGCAGGGTTCACGAGTGCAGGGTTCACTTGTGCAGGGTTCACGAGGGCAGGGTTCACTTGTGCAGGGTTCACGTGTGCGAGCAAACATTTCATACATCACGAGCCGCAAACATTTCATACGGTCCAAAAATAGAAATAGCAGCCACCAAGCATAGTACGTTGAAATAATGTTCATCATCAGGCATCTTATTTTGATATAATGTTTATTAAACGATGTTTTAACGAAATTAACACATAATAAACGTGGTTTCAACGTCATTTTCCTGGAGGGGACAGATGAATGAATTTGATTGATCGAATATTCACAAATGTATTAAAAATGATCTTGAATAATAAATGATATATGAAATTGTGGGATTACTCACAGCTTTGCAGGGGGATCTGGCAGGTCTGGACGTCCATGGGGTATTTCTGGAAGGCCATCTGGCAGGAGATGAGGCTGAACACGCGCGCGCTGTACCGCACCGTGTGGTTGCTGTGGATGTTCAGACTTGCGTAGATCGTCGTCAGCGATGTCACGGCTGCCGGGCACGGATCATATGTTCAGTTGGTATGTTGAAGGTGAGTTGATACGCTGAAGGTGAGTTGATATGTTGAATGTGGGTTGATATGTTGAATGTGGGTTAATATGTTGAATGTGGGTTGATATGTTGAAGTTTACATTCAGATAAATGAATAAGACTTCATTCAAATAACGATGCAGTTTTTCCATTTGCACTTTATTTTTGAGTGTATAATGAGCCAACTGTTTGAAATTGCATCCTATGCGTTAATTGAACAGTAACTGGCGGTATTAGTCAAATAAATGAAAGGGTAATATTGTCCAAATAGTCACACGCTTTGTACAATTAAAAATGATACCTTCTTTTTTGCAGAGTCAAACTGAGTCAGGATGGCCTACACAGTGTATAAAGTGCATCACAGTTAGGACAAGATATCATGGGACAGACTAATATGATGAGCTAAGCCTAAAAGAATGTGTCTTTCTTGGATACCTTTTGACGCTGAGAATGAGGCAGAATACATCGGGCAAAAACGTTCATGGCTATTAGTTACAATCAATACTCAAAGCCAGAGCCAATCAATGCACTCATAGCCGGAGCCAATCAAAGCACTCGGAGCCAATCAAAGCACTCGGAGCCAATCAAAGTGCCAATCAATGCACTCGGAGCCAATCAATGCACTCGGAGCCAATCAATGCACTCGGGGCCAATCAACATAATCGGAGCCAATCAACACGCGCGTTCATCACCAGGACGAAGTACGTATCATAGCTACGCAAACCTAGTAGTCGGTCAATAACAAACCAGGCATCTGACGTTGAAATAAGCGATAATTAAACGCTAATCTAAATATCTAACTATCATTTAAAAATAAAATTATTTAAAATTTAAAATTTTGCCTCTATTCTCTTTAGTTTCTAATGAAATTTAGTTCATGTGAATAATTTCATTGATAACGTGATAAACTAAGTGGATTGGTTTGTTTGAAGAACAAACAACGTTGTCAATTATCCGCGTCGTTCGTGAAGAAGTAGTTTCGTTATGATGTCAACGCCAGGTTAACCTGACCTGCTACATAGAGCGCAATAAAACCAGAGCAGCGCCAAGTTAACCTGATATCGTGGTATAGTCTAGCAAGTTGATTCCCTTTCTACGGCGCACGGACCTCATTTAACCCAAGGAAATGCAAGTCTATGATGAAATAACTCAAGGATTTAATATTAATCTAGCTTTTTTTGGAACAGTTTAAACTCATACAATCGAGGAAACAGCGCTTCTATATTTTACCTCTAGAAGAAATGTTAATTTAATAATTTCAATTGCGAAACGCCATTTCAAATGCGAAAATTATCGTCAAAAATTTCAAAATCAGGCACAACTTCGTCGAAAATTTTGTTTGAAATAGAATTGTTAGTTTGCAGCTGCGACCTATTCAAGTGCTGTCACTGGCAGTGATTGAAGCAAAACGGGAGATTATGGGGATTTTAAACACCACTTAATAAGAAAATAGAATTAGGAACAGTTCATGGGATTGCTATCAATGTCGGTAAAAATTCTGAATAGGAACGGAATAATTGGGATCAAAGGCTAATATGATGAAGGAAACGACAATATTCTGTACTTGAGGTCATTGCAAATACGAATAAGCCTGGGGTCTGTTGTCAGATAAGAGTGCAAGCGTTCATTGTGTGCTCTACTGCATGCAATCGCTCGGCTGAACAATTTTAATTTGGTAGCAGAATTTGAGAATTTCGACGCAGTTTCACACTTTGCAACACAGTTAATGTTTTGATGTTAATAAATGAAATAAGCACTAATATAGCATTGTTGTTTAACGTGAGTAAAGTAAACGTCTCATAAATTATTGTAGCGCAATAAATTCAAGAACTCTCTTCTTTAAAGGGACTATTTGACAGCTGCTCAATTTACTGCTCATTGTTTCTCCTCGATGCAGCTTATTAATCAATACTGCACTGGTCATTAGTGGACATTAACTTGCAGCAGACTCAGGTCGGTACCGAGGCTGCTTTCTTCTCCGCCATCAAGAAAAGTTTTCGTGCAGCGCCACAAAAAATAGCAATGCGCCACAATGTTACAAGGAACCCTAATTATTATCGTCTTAAAGCTTGAAAGGAATCGTTTCAATCGTTTCGTATAGTACTACGAATAGTGTTCTATCCCATGAATGTCTATGATTGCCTTTACAAAATTAACATTGAGTACGCAGGTGGCTAGAAAATAACCTTTGTGTTGCATCGTTCACCATGAATCGCCAACTCGTGCACAATTGTGTTAAAACTATCAAACATTAACGAGTTAATTATCTATTGTTTCTATCCTTCAATCACAAAGGACAGCATTCAGAAGTTCAAAACGTCGATCGGTCGTCGAAAACCGGCCTTTGTTATAAAAATGTTCGTCATTATGAAATAAGATTTTGTGACCAAAGAGTACCCGGTGTCCTAAAATGACAAACAAAAGCGAAAAGGTTGCCCCATAAATTAAGCATCTTACACCTGGGCTGAAGTCTCTCCGTCACGGGCATTATTCAGGGTAAAAAACACGGGCATTATTTAGGGTTAAAAAACCACGGGCATTATTCAGGGTAGAAAATAATAAATATGCCAAGCAATTTCTAGAATCGAAATAAAAATGTTCAATCACGAATATTATAAGGAAAATTGTGAATTTAACGAGCGTGCCAAAAAGTCTCCATAGATTTAAATTTCAGAGCTCCATATACTGATGAAACTAAACGGGGTTTTCAAGTTTAATGGCAAAAAATACAAGTTAAACTTTAAAAAGTTAGAAATTAAGAAAAAAATTCAAAATTTCAAGTATAATGGCAAAAGATAAAAGTTACCTGCGTTCTTGGAGTTAGTAATGTACGGGTCAGGCATCCAGAGGTACTGAAGAGCGTAAGCTGATAAGGGCAGAGGGCCGATGGAGAGGCGGTCCTTGACCATCGCTGAGTCGTCAAGGATTAGTCGTGTGTCTTCCCACGACATGTATAGGATGAGGTCAATCCTGCGTCCCAAATCATGATTATTATAGTAATTTAATAACGATTCATGATGATTTAACGGCAGAGCAGCTTGTAACTTATCCGGGAAACATGAATAGGATTATTACGCACGTTTGTACGAAGTAAAGTCAGTAAACCAAGAAAATTTAGCTGTTGATGATTGTAAATTTGATTTACTTCAGAGCGGGAACAAAAGAAATAAAAACATGGATCATCAACGATCACATGTGTCATCAACGCATATGTACTCAACAAATTAGTCTTAAGATTTGTCAAAAAGCTGTGTTCTGTATACACACCGGAACTCCATGTGTGCAGCGTTGAAGGAGGTGATGTCCTGGACGTAGACTGCGAACTCGACCTCGACGGGCTCGTCAGGCTCACTCGGCGGTAGGAACTCTGCAATGACTTCTGATATTTAATAATGCAATTATATTATTATTATTATTATTATTATTATTATTATATTATTATTATTATTATTATATTATTATTATTATTAATTAGGACTTAATTTTGCTATTATAATATTACGTGGAATAAGGCTAATTTAAAAGTACTGGATTTGAGCAGCGAAGAGTTACCATTACTCAGGTTCAGTGCGTCGCCGTACGGAAATTTCAATTTAGGAAAGAGAAATTCTGTCGACGTATTTCGTGCAATTCCTACCAAATCAAGAACCTCCATCTAAAAGGAGCATACATAGAAATAATTGGGCATAATGCTTCATTTATTTTAGTCAGAAAATGAATAAATCAACATTGTTGCAGGAAATCTAAAAATGTCTTGGGAATAAAATGCTTACTTTAATAAACGACTGGAAATCATTTAGCCAATAAACTCTTACAAAATTTTTTTTCCTTGAGAACGCTGAAGATCGCGTTGTATGAACAATGGATTGGCATTGAACTCGGCGCTCACTGGACACATTCTTGCTGAATTCCTCTAAGCTGAAATCCTCCTATATAAAACTGAAGTGCAACACCCATGGAAACGATTGAAAATTGTACAAGATTTAAAAAATTCCGTATCCGTTTCTTCTCATCGTCTTTGATGCTTGCAAGATGCGTGCATATAGCAGACATTCAAGATAATCTTCATCAGTGTTCATGTCACGCAGAATATGAGTGTTCATGTCACGCAGAATATCAGTGTTCATGTCACGCAGAATATAAGTGTTCATGTCACGCAGAATATCAGTGTTCATGTCACGCAGAATATGAGTGTTCATGTCACGCAAATATAAGAAGTCTGCAGACAAACACAAAGATCTTCGCGTGCGGCAGCTGACGCATTCATCAGACAAAATTGGTTGGTAAATATGCCTTTGTTTTGCATTTTAAATCTCTTGTATGCGCCGGATATCTCAGTTTCCATACATGTGTTACCCTGAACGCTGAACATAGAACGTTCTGGATAGTACGTTTGAGAATCTTCAAATTCTTGGGCTAGCCAAATACAAGCAAGCCGCTTAAATGGACAAACAAAGCGAGCAAGTAAAGTGATTGCCGCCAGAACGTCGATTATGCGAGTGATTGGTAACGTAAAGCAAGACTGATTATTATCTATCGTATTGAACAGGATAGTTATGATGTACTTTAGCACAAAGAGTAAGGTTTTGGGTTCATATATGTGTATAATATATATAGCTTTGACCAATATAGCCCAGAGCATGCAAATGCTTCGCCAGAGAAAACGAGCAACAGAGACGCCGTCTCTGTTGCACAAAATAATTTGTCACAAGAGATGCAATTAAAAAAAATATTTAAGATCGAATGCACCACAAATTTAGGCATTTTCTAGCATCGGTAAAAACAATGCATGAGGCAGCATCCACAAATCACGCTTCATTTCTGCGTTGAAACTCACTCTAGGACTGTCATTGAGACTCACGCTAGGACTGTCATGGAGACTCACTCTAGGACTGTCATGGAGACTCACTCGAGGACTGTCATGGAGACTCACGCTAGGACTGTCATGGAGACTCACTCTAGGACTGTCATGGAGACTCACTC